TCTCTGCACAGTCATCGAGTCTACGGTCATTTTTACAGTGAAAAACGTCAAAGGGAACATTGATTTGTTTTTCAAAATCGTCATTTTTTTTTACGTTACAGGGATTTCTTTAACTCAGCAAACGAACCCTATGCAGGTTCTTTACCAATGAATGGTCAGAACTATGAACAGTCAAGTTTGGAACCTCTAAACCTATCTTCGTACTCGCACAGAAATGGCGATCTCCAGGTCTGTCGTCTTTAACAAGTACTTTTTGGGTGTTTTTTTTATTTTTCTTTAAAAACAGTCTCAAATGTGTAATATAACTGTTACCCACGTAATTATAAAGGCAGGTAGGAAAATATCTCATCTCCCTTCTAGATCTACTTTATCGTGTGCTTTTGGTGGATGTGTTTTGCAGGGTTCTAACGTAGATGTAAATTGTAGTTAAGATGTACTGTGTTGTGTTTTGTGTGTGTGTATATCGTGTCTATCTGTCTGTATGTATGTGTACCGTATTGTGTGTGTGTGTCTATTGAGTCTGTGATTGATTGTCTGTGTGTGTATTGTGTTGAGTGTCTGTCTGTATTTTTTCTGTGTGTGGTGTGTATGGGGTGGGGTGAGGGGGGGGGGTGGTAGCAGTCCATGTGAATGCAGCATTTGATTACTATTGTACTTATCATAGATAATAAGGGTTGGTTTTGTGTCCCTAATGCTGGCTGGGGGAAAGGAGGGGGGTGGGGCGGTGTCTCATTACACCTGATCTGCGGAGAACGGATTCAGAGAGCTGCCGTTCGCCCCCTCCCCCCTTACACAGATAAACACACGTCGTATTTACTCTCTAACCCTCCTATTCCTCATTAAGTTCGATCTTTTAATTTTTGAGTTCGAGTTTGAGACCAACATTTTGAAGGCATGTTTGTCGATGGTGAGTTGAGACTCCGCTCCCACTAATGGGAATAATTTCGGGCTGAGATTCAAATACCAAAGAGCTCTTCAATGATGAAAGCATTTCACCACATCCTGCAGTGACCAAAGTTCCTTTGTGACTCTGCCTCCCTCTAAACCGCCATTGTTCCACACTGAAACCCAAGGTTATGGTTTTTGGATGTTCCTCTTTATCAAGCAAGTATCCGACTCGCACAGACTGGTAAGATTTAACCGAGGTGTTCAAAGTTATGAGGGCTTTTGATAGAGTAGATAGGGAGGAACTGTCTCCTCTGGCGTGCAGATGAGGGTTGCTAACCGGAGGGCACAGATCTAAGATAATTGGCAAAGAACCAGCGGGAAGACGAGGTGAAAATTTTTTTTTACCCAGCGCGTTGTTGAGATCTGGAATTCACTGCCGGAAAGGTTGGTGGACGCAGATCGGATAGTGGCTTACAAAAGGGAAGTGGATCGGTACTTAAAAAGGAAAAAAAAATGACGGGGCTGTGGGGTAAGTAAGGTAAGAGCGGGGGAGTGGGATTTGATGGGTAGCTTTTTCAAAGAGCCGGCACGATGGGCCAAATGGCCTCCTTTTGTTCTGTAAGAGTCTATGAAATAAGATCCCAGATTTAATGCTCACTCGATGGGTTGCTACTATTGAATTGAGCAGCCTATTGATTTAGTGGATATCAGCCAGGATTCCTTATATTTATTGCCTTGATATCCAGCAGCCTCTACTGGAGACGTGATGTGGCTTGGCTGCTCTGCTCTGCTCTGCTCCTCTGGAGGCTGAGTTACTCTGGCAGCCTTCCCTGTGCAGATTTGCACATGAGCCATCGACACTCGCACAAAGTGGCAGAGAGGAAAGAACTGCAGACAGTTTGTGTGGTTGCAATGCCAGTCCGTGGCTTTCAGGAGAGCCGGGAAGGGGAGAAAGTCAGTGAAGGAAATTAACTTTTTCTCCATTAAGCCCCCCCCCCCCCCAGAAATGAATGTTTGCAGTGCTATAGCCTCTGGTTCTAGTTCCCCTTTTCCTTGTTGTGTTTTGGCTCATCATCTTCGTACATTTCCTCCATGAACCAATTTATACATCCATCCCTAACCCTGCAGCCCTGTTATATATATATATAATATATATGTGTGTATATATACACACAACTGTCCTCTCTCCAGCTTGTAACATGTTGCTAGGTGTCACCACTTCTGTTTGGGATTAAAACGCCATCCACTTCAGGTCAGTGGAGATGGAGGAACCACACTTGAACCACACAATTCCAGGGAGCACAAACACACCGGGGCTGGGGGTGGGGAGTGTGCATGCTGTTCTGCGGTGTCTAGCAAACACTGAGCACCCAGACAAGAAAGGGGGAGAGAGAGAGAATGTTTGAGCAGTGACCAGGTATAATAAAGGATCAAATTCCGCTCTTACCACAACCGAACATGATTGACTGTAATCCCTCTCCTCACACCCCCACCTACGTGCCCCAGACATTCTGTGCACATAAACCACCAATATCAAACTGCAAGGATTATTATAATAAGAGGCAAAAGGTAGCTTTCATCAGCACCGCAGTAAAACTGGCCAACGCCGTCCCCTGCCCAGTCCAGGCCCCGGCCCCAGCCCCACACCTTGACTGGGGCTGAATGAACAAAAGAGATTACAATACAAGGTGAGACATGACGACTGGTGAAGTGAGGAGCGAGGACGTGCGAGGACCTGAGGCAGAGGGTGACCTGCTGGTGAAGGAGGTGCTGTTCTCCAGTGTAACCCAAGCGAGAGAGACAAAGGCACAATCTGTTCGGGCCGAGGAGTGAGGGGAATGCGGCAGGAACAATAAATTTAAAAAAAAATCACCAGTGCTATCACTCACAAGAGAGCACAGCCTGAGCAGGTGCCGGTGCTGATACGCGTGAAGGTTGTGGGGAGAGAAAGAGAGGGAGAGAGACACGACTGATGTGTGGGCAGAACAAAGGATGTGGGGCTGTGGGGGCGGGTGGGGGGGACAGTGGATCAAACGGGGCTTGTCGCAACAAAACGTGCTTTGTTCTCAGCATTGAGAAGCAACGCAAATCACCAGTTGTTACAAAAAGTCAAGTACCAGCCACTACGCTCCAAAGCTTTGGAACTCTCTCATTCAATCTCTCTGCCTTGCCCCCCTCCCTCCCTCCCTCCCTCCCCTATCAGCCATTCAAAGTTATTAAAAGCAAAGCCACAGTAGAGAGCCTGACGGGCATCGGAAAGATGGAAAAGGGACGAATAGAGTGGAAACCGAGGGCCTTGGCTTCTGCACAACACACAACATGACTCTAAAGTAATTTTGCAATGGAGTCCTCCTCACTGGGCTTCTTTCCCATATAAGGTGCTAATGCTCCACTTCCAGAGATGCAATCAAAATGCCCACACTCACCCTGAACCACACTCACCCGTACCCACAGTTACTTACAGTCATACACCCACCCCCCGCCCCCCACACTATCGTCATCGCAACCCAACCATGTGAACGCCACCCAGCCACAAGCCAGTAGGTCAGGCAAGCTGCTGTGAATAGAAATAATATTCCACAATTTGTAGCAACCATCGCTTGGGGCAGTGTCTCAAAGAACTTCACAGTAGCAGAACCTGATGCCAGGCCTGGGGGAGGGAGGAGCTGCCTGGAAGCACGGTCGAGGAGGAAGGTCTTCAATCATGATCCAAAAGAGTTGAAGGAGGGACCAAGGCGGAAGGATTGGGAGAGAGAGTTCCAAAGCTTCGGGGGGGTAGTGGCTGAAAGCACGGCAGCCAATAGTGGAACAGGGGTGGAGGGACGAGCAGGAGACCAGAGAGAGCTGAGCGGAGGCAGCAGGTAATGGAGTGGAGGGACAGCAGGTCGGAGAGGTAGGGAGGTGCCAGGACGTGAGCATTGGAAATTGATCCGTTCTGTGATAGGGAGCCAATGGGGCCTGGAGGACTGGTGTGATGGGTGTGTATGCGGACCGTGGAATGGTGACTGTGTAATATTTGCCAACAAATCACACAGTCACTACACTTGACAGTAGGATTCTGTGAAGTGCCTTGTGGGGTCCTCCCGACACGAGAGACACCTCATCAAATGCAAGGTTTATTATTAACACATTTTACAGCAATATCTCAGTAATTGCCAGTAAAATTGGCTCCTTGCATTGAATTTGCATCGCATAAATTTCCTCTTGGCAAAATTCCAAGTATCTTTGTCTCCAGATTATCCTGCCCCATTTAGACAGGAAGTGAACTGCAGGATAAATACGCCCCCTCATCACGAGGCGAAAGAGCATCTAATCACCTTTAGGGTATGTTCAGGTAACGAGGGCTCTGCTTGTGAGGGGAAATCCGGCCAAGAGTATAATTGCTATAATTGCCCAACAGTAGTAATAAGAATCCTTGCATTTGATGTAGAGCCTTTTCGTGTCGTTCGGACGTTTCAAAGCGCTTCACAGAATATACTGCAAAGTGTTTTATGGGTGAAATGCGACAGCCGATTGCACACAGCGGTTTGCACAGAGAATCATGGATTGAGTGGGAACATTTTTGGAGGAAAGGATCATTCCCGCTGGGGAAGGTCAGGGGGGGGTGGGGGTTGGGGGAGGTCTTCGAGAAAGGACTGTAACAGCCTCGACTCCAGTGATGTAAAGTGGTTGGATCCAAAGCGCACCCCCATTTACCCTAAAAGCACGTTCCGAACCGTGCCCCAAACATCGTCCACGCTGCTCAAAGGGTTAGCGTTCTGCCGTTAGCCCCGGTTTTATATTGAGCGTCTGGAAGTGAATCACAATCGTAAAAATAGGTTTGGTTTTTTTTTAAAAAAACGGATTTTCGATCATCGAAGAGTTAAAACAAATTAAAAAAAAGAAGAAAGCGCAGGGACTTCAAAAGGACGTTTTTGTTTTACGTTTTCGAACAGTTTCCCCATTTTAATACCTTCTTAACGTCTTGTGGGCCGTCGCGATTAGGAGAAGCTATTTGTTTACACTGCCTTGTGGTTAAATAGGGCCACTTACAGTAACATCGCAGATGACTGTCGGTAATTTCTCTTACCAAACGAACATCATTTCCTGTAAATACCCTCTTCCTCAAAGGAAGTTTTAAGGCCGATTGATGAGTAACCTCAGCCAGATATGCAAACCAGGCTGACAGTCAGCAGAAAGGAGGAGTTCTGTGTCGTGTGCTAATAATCCATGATCATTATGTTGTTCATATGATAGTAGAGGGAGAGTAGCTTTCACCGTTGTTATGTTTCTAACGAGTCCCTTCTGAGCTCTGCTTGGCAATGGATTTCAAAGTGCATTTATACAGTAAAATAGAAGCAGCTTGGAGACTTTTCAACAAGGTAGGTGGGACTCAGATTATTACTGTACAATACTTGTGAGGGTGCTACTCTGCCTTCGGTTTGGGTTTTGTGCCTCAGCACATGCTCAGTGCGCTGCTGTTTATGCTATGCTTCTGATTAATGCTTTTGCAAATGTTTTACAAACATTATTAACCTAAACCCTTCACCCTCCCTCCCTGAACAAAAATTGTCTATAATTGCTTTATTTTCCGATAAGTTTTGTTCTTCTCAATGACATTTGAAAACTTGCCATTCGTTGTGAACTGAGTTTCACAGCGAAGAGTTGGTGTGTTTCACAAGGGAAGAATTACAGTATAACGATGTTACTGAACACTATTAAATTGCTGCAGCGTTGAGACTGCGCTTTGAGAGACCTCTTTCCCGAAAGCATGAAAGGCGCTATCCATAAATCTAAATTGTATTGTCTAAATGCAGAAATGCCCTTATAATGATCCTTAATGATAATAATAATAATCCTTGCATTTGATACAGCGCCTTATCACGTCTTGGAGACGTCTCAAAGCACTTCACACAATATACTGTAAAGTGAATTGACTACTTTGTGGGTGAAACGCGGCAGCCAATTGCGCACAGCAGCGTCCCCCACAAACAACTGTGGGTTGATTGAGTGACCGAATTTTTAATTTTGCAGAGGATGTGTTGAAGACATGATTAGGTGCTATTTCAAATGCAAGAATTATTATTATTTGGGGTGCCCAGAAGGTGGAAATCAGTACATACTGTTTCCCCTTTTAGCAGTTAGTTATCACAATAAAAGCTCTATATTTAGTGAGTGCAAATTCAGCTGCTGGAACAGATGACCCTGTTGAATACACTTAATCTTTTCCTCATCAGAGCAAAGGGTAGGCTATTTCATAGCAGTTGAGCTTTACAGTTCCATAATTACAGTACATATTAGTTAGACGTACAGGCCTGCAGCGAACAGGATTGCGAAATGCACTTGACCTGCCCACATATTGGGAAACATTTACTGGCAGTGTTTGTTTCACTTTTTCACGGTTTATGCCCTGAGATAGGTTGGAGCTTTTTCGCTCTCTATATACTTTAACATGGTTGGACATATTTACTCACGCTTAAAGAATTCAGTTAAATTTGCTGCCTATAATAATAATAATAATAATAATAATAATAATAATAATAATCCTTGCATTTCATACAAGTGCCTTACCACCTCTTTGAAACGTCTCAAAGTGCTTCACAGAATATACTGTAAAATGAACTGAGTCAGCCAATTGCGCACAGCAGTGTCCCACAAACAGTCGTGGATTGAGTGACCAAATTATTATTATTTTTTTAAGGGATTATTACACCCCGGACAAGCGATCCACCAATTGACTGACAAGCGGGTTCCTACTTTGCTGCCGAGAAACAGAGGCGTGTAGAGTGAGGAAACTTCCCTAACGTTTCACTCTGCTGCTGCTTAGCCGACAAAATACAATCATTTACCGTAAATCTTGGGAGGCACTTTGAGATGTGCTCCCGGGATCATGAAAGGCGTTCTTTAAGAAAAATCCAGTTCTAGGCTGATACCAGCAAGGTCAGCAAATGTACTGATCAACACCGCCAAGGTTACTGTGTTTATTTGCAATAAGAATCACACCCCGAGCTTGCTAGGGGGTTGGAGCCCGTGACACTGGGCTTCACGTTGCTTTCTTGAGTGGATTTAAGGCCAGTTATGGCAATAATGTGGTCACTCAATCCCCGACTGTTTGTGCGGAACGCTGCTGTGCGCAATTGGCTGCCGCGTTTCACCCACAATATACACAATCAATTCACTTTACGGTATATTCTGTGAACCGCTTCGAGACGTCTCGAAGATGTGATAAGGCGTTGTGTCAAAAATCAAATGCAAGGATTATGTAAGACCTTTGCATCTCAGAGTGAGTTCTTGCAACTCGGACTCTGAATTTCCAATGGTGAGTGATTTTGTGACCCTGTTACGTCATTAGTGATTCAAGCCTGGCTCAAACTGTGAGACACACTCACAGCACATGGTTGAGTAGTGAAGCTGTAGCTGAACAGGAAACCTGAGGTTATCAGGGATGGATTGTGAGGGGACAGGCTGGGCTGAGATGAATGGAAAATGTTTGTGCTGTTGATTGTAAACCACTGCAGCATGCCAGGAAATCAGAGAGAAATGTATTTTCATTTTTCTTTCTACAGTCAGAATTTAAAAAAAAAATTCTGAGTAATTCAAGATTAAAATTAGCCTTCCTTCAAACTTAGTGCTTTCACTTTACCGGGTGATCATTTCTGCCCTTCATACCTGTTTTCATCATTTTGACCAATATGATGACAATATTAATTGTTGCATTTGATATAGCGCCTCATCACATCGTTGACACGTCTCAAAGTCCTTGACATAGTATACTGCCCTAGTTTCATTATGACAACCGATCAGTACACTATTTTTATCTATTGTTTGTCATTCCTTGCTGATTTAGTGACTTGTTTTACCTATGTAATGGATGCTGTCTCATCGCTGGGAGAAGGGAGATTGTCTTGGTCAACATCCCCCCCCCACCACCCGATCAAATTGGTCGTTCATATCGTGGGTATTTAGAGGACGCTGTGTGCAAATTGGCCCCCGCGTTTGCCTACCAATACAGTCACTACACTTCACAGTACATCCATTGAAGTGCCTTGAGATACCTCATTGTTGTGATAAGGAGCCGTATGAAATGTGAGGGTTGTTATGTTACATAATTTTTTTAAAAAGAAAGTCATTTTGTTTTGTTTTTTGTAATTGTTTTTGGGGTGGGGGGGGGGGGAGGCTATCTGGCAGAACGCTTATCGAAACCAGATTTCCATGTTACTTCCTTAAATACATCCTTCTTCTTACAAGCATATTATTACATTCCTAACAGGAGAAGTACATTTATAGGAGGGAAGAGGATTGAAAAGAAGTTTAGATGGAATGGTTCCTTACTATAATAATATTAATATAATAATAATAATCCTTGCATTTGATATAGCACCTTATCACGTCTACGAGATGTCTCAAAGAGCTTCACAGGATATACTGTCAAGTGAATTGACTCTACATTTTGTGGGCGAAATGCACAAGACACATGAAACAAAAGGCCTGGACATATGTGGGGATGTTCTGCGAACCTTGGAATCCTGCAGCTTATTCATAAAGTTGCTCCACTGCTGTTTAAGTGTGTGTTTTGCCAGCGCTGAGCTCACTGCCTTGACATGGCACCGTTAAAGCTCGGCACCAGGTACTCCCCGGTGTCGCGAGCACTGCCAGGATGGCCGGTGACGGAATCCGTGGGAGTCACACCGGGCTGAGCAGATGGACAGAATGCCCCCACGGCTGCTTATCCTCCCCTTACAGTTAGGAATCCCGGGGATAGGCCATTTGGCCCATCGAGTGGAGTCCTGTAGCTGTGGTTAGAGCACTCGCCTCACAAGGGAGAGAATCCGGGTCCGATTCCCGGGCAGAGAAAAATGTTTGGCAATTTAACACCTTATCAGGTCATTGAGACGTCTCAAAGCACTTCACAGAATATACTGTAAAGTGAAGTGACTGTATGTTTTGTGTCCCACAAACAGTTGTGGAATTGAGCGACCGAATTATTATCATTTATTTATATATATTTTTAAGGGATTATTACCGACGGAAAGTGATCCACCAAATTGACTAACAACTGGGTTCCTACTTACTGTTAGGTAAATTGTGATAAAGCACTGAGTTACATCTTAAGAGCGAGCTTGTGAGCGTTTCCCAAGTAAAGCCGGTTTTCCTCGTGTTGTTGGAGCAGGGATTATTTCCTGGAAAACTTAGGAACAGTCTGTGCTGAAAGCGCTGTTCAAAGGCAGTCAGTCAGTGGCCTGTGCGGCTGCCAAAGATAATTCACACTGGGGCAGATTATCTGTCGGTGGCAGTACAGATACCTGCTGTGGGGGTTGTAAGTTTACACCTTGAGTTTTGATTCATTCACTCGTTCGTATCACATTTTTTTAACGTAAAGTAAATAGTATTTGCTTGATGCCATGTTTTATGTATATATATATATCTATATATAATCACCATCGATAGCCACACTTTCAGCCACCGTGCCCCGAAACTCTGGAACATTCTCCTTCTTTCCCTCCGCCCTTACCCGCTTCCTTCCTCATCTTCAGGTCACGCCTGAAGACCTTCCTCTTCCGACTGTGCCTACAGTCACCTCCCCCCCTCCGCCCCCATTTTCACCCCCCCTCCGCCCCACTATGAAGCGTTCTGGAACACTACCCTGTGTGAGTAGCGTTGTATAAACCAGGATGTTGTTGTTGAATGGCCTCGCCTGATGTTGTTGTTGAGTACGGGCGTGATAGGGGGTTTGTGGGTGCAGTGCTGGGGGTATTGGAAGATGGCTTTCTGGCATCTGCTCCACACAGATGCCTGTGCTTCAACACAGCAGGGGTAGAAGGTCCACCTGGCTTCACACTGGCTTGATGTATGTGGTATTGTGTGGGGCTTTCTGTAGTCGCTTCAAAGAACAGAGAACTTCAGGACAATCAGCTTCAGACGTGAGAGGCTGTGAGACTGCCAAATCCCGGAGGGAGTAGGTCTGAATGACTGAGTGGAATCTCACAGGGTAATCACAATAGTGATCCTCGTGTTTGACCCGGCGCCTCGTCACGTCTTCGAGACGTCTCAAAGCGCTTCACAGGACACACTCTCAAGTGAATTGACTATGTTTTGTGCGCGAAACACGGCAGCCAATCGCGCACGGTAATGAGCGCCAGATCAAATGCAAGATTGTGATTGTGATTCAGGTTATTATTGGCTATTGAACCCTAAAGTGGTGTCACAGCCGAGCTCAACGCTGTGCTCGCCCCATGTCCACGCAAACGTGCTTTTTTTTAGCAGAAGTTCCAGAGTAACAATACAGAGCTGGAATTCTATCTGATTTTCCTCCTCTCTCTCTCTCTCTCTCGTTCTCTCTCTCGCGTTCACGTTTGTTAAGGCCGGTTGTGACCGGCTGGCCTCCCACCCCAACTCGGCTGAGATCAGATCATTCAATTACATTCGACAACGTGGAACGCGAGACTTTCCAGGTTTACGGGGCCCCTGGGGGTGACTCTCCACCAACAGCTCCACCCGGGACAGCTGGTCTGATGACAGTGACAATGACCCACTTTATGTGGGGGATTGTCGGCCTGGACACCCGGGGGCAGGAAACATCCCTACGCTTTTCAAGTGGCGCTGTGGAATCTTTAGCGTCCACCTGAAAGGGCATGGATGGGACCTCTGTTTAACGTCTCATCCGAAGGGTAGTAACTCCCACAAGGGATCACCACCGCCAGCACCCCACTGGAGCATCCGCCTGATGCCATGTGAGCTCAGAGTCCCTCCCTACAAGGGCTTCAACCCCCAAACCTTCTGACTCGAGAGCACCAGCGACTGACGCGCATTTTCGTTGTTGTTGCAAAAGGTGTTTTGTTTGATTCGGTTTAACATCAGACCTGGGATTAACACTTCGGCGAATTTAGTGGCCAGCGAGATCCAGATCTAGACAAACAGCAGCAGACATTGTAACAGGATCTTGCCATTCAGGCTGTACGTTAACTGACTGACTAACATAATCCTTTTGCCTAAAGGATTTGGCTGCCTAATTGTGCATAATGAACAGTAGGAATTCCTCGCATGGTGAGACCAGAGGAGTGTCAGTGCTGACCTCGGGAACTCTGACACCCTCACGCACAGTGTTAGATAGACACACTTTTCCTTACTTTAAAATAACATTAAAATGAATTAAAGCCCGAAACATCACTCTTCAAACATGAGGGCTCTCCAATACCCCCTCTGTGTGTGTGTGCGCGCGCGCGCCTGTGTGTGTGCATGTGTGTGTGTACGGTACCTTGTGTGATGTCTGTACAATTAGCAGAATGATTTTGCCCACAAAATATAGTCAATTCACTTTATAGTGTTTCCTCTGAAGCGCTTTGAGACGTCTCGAAGACGTGATGAGGCGCTGTATCAAACACAAGGATTATTATTATTGTGTTGGGAAACAATGCAAGTCCAACGCCAGGCATGACGAAGGACAATAGGTACTTCATATCAGATTTTCCTTTCAATAAGAGAGCATTCACAGCGAGCTTTGCATACGCACACATCAATTGTCCACACAGTTGCCCCGTCATTACAACGATCATAACTCCTCTCATGTACACAGGGATCCTGGAATCCTGTCCCCAGTGCCATTCAGCTGCAGGAAATGGTGACTCACACACACACACACACAATACTTCCTGTAGCTGTGTGTCACCCTGGCTCAGTTGGTCATATTCTTGCCCTCGTGTCCAAGGTTGTGAATTCAAGCCCCGTGTCGGGACTTTGAACTGGTTTAACTGGTTTCGGTGTGTGCGAATGCAAAGCTCGCTGTGAATGCTCTTATTAAAACCGATATGACTACCCATTGCCTTTTGTGGAGCCAGCTCTTTCAGGACTCTGCCACCCGCGTACTGACCCGGGTCTGACCAAGCTCCACTGGCTCCCCCCATCGAATGGATCGACTTCAATATCCTCCGTCTTGCCCCCTCTCTCCTCCTTTTTAAGTCCCGCCTGAAGACCTTCCTCTTCAACCGTGCTTACAGCCACCTCATCCCCCCTCCCCACCCCGCTCGGAGTCAGGCTCGGCCGCTGTTAAGCGCTCTGAGACGCTATCCTGCATGGAGGGCCCTATACAGGGGCAAGTTGTTGTTGGTTTAGTCTAGGTCAGACATAGCCAACTTGTGGCTCACATTACACATCTGTAAAATAGTCACCCAGGCCCAAGTTGGCCATCCTTTTCCTTCTCAATCCACGACTGTTGGTGGGACGCTGCTGTTGTGCAATTGGCTGCCACGTTTCACCCACAAAATACACAGTTAATTTACTCTAAGATATATTCTGCGTGGCGCTTTGAAATCAAATGCAAGGATTATTATAATTATTATTATTATTATTATTATCCATGCAAGTCCGAGGCTGATCCTCTAATAAAATGCCAATTGTTGGGCAGTGGTGTCTTCGTACCCCCTTCAAGCCCTTTTTTATTCACGTACCTGTTTACTTCCCTCTGAAATTCACATAGGTTGCATTAAAGGGAAGTGCGCCGTGTGGCTGATGTGTAGGTAATGTTGCATAATGGGAAAGAATTGAGACGCAGAGTAGTCACCCATTCGCTTCCGGTTGATTGATCACCAGCTGTCACAGCCACAGAATGTTTGTCCAAATAATTCTCAGAACAGTGCTTGTGCGCGCGTGTGTGTGTGCGCCCAAAGCTACCGTCCTCAGCCAGACACAAACAATCTGTGTAATAAATTAGGGCAGTTTTGGGAGAGATGAAAAGAATGAAACAGGCAAACCATTTTCTTTGGCTTATTATTATGAATAGTATTAATTATTGCCAAGATTTCGTCCTGCCCAGAAATCGAACCCACGTCCTAACTCTCGCTTGCGAGGCGAGTGCTCTAACCACTAAGTTACAGGACTCCACAAACCTGCTAATTAAGTTAGTGTTTCAGCTCTTGACACTATCGCTGTCAGAATTAAAGGATTTAATACTCCTGGGCTGATAGACACTTCTCCAGCAGCCTTGTATGTGGTGAACTGTGTCCTTGGACTAATTCCACATTCACCAGTTCTCAGCGAAAGCCAGGACGCTCACTGATGGTCAATTTATAACAGCCGATGGGGTCACTAAATGCTTCCAACTTGAGCAGAGTTCCGTTAATCATACATTGCAGCTATATTGTTCCTCTGGGAAGGCACAGCACTAAATCCCCTGAGGGATGGGATTTTACTTTGTTCAGTGTAGCCTCAGTGATTTCATAGTTTCATATGTCTGACTGTGTGTCGAAAGCAGCTTCTAATCATCTCTTGTTATCTTGTGGAGAAGTTGGCATTTTTAATGGCCAAATGCAGTCTCCTCTTGTTTTGGAATCCTCAATAGTTTTGACTCCTGTACCCTTCAAATGGTCACCTACCCTACCTTGTTAATGGTTGCTGATTTTTGGCTCTGTGTGTTGCAGGATTATTTGGAGAACAGTTCTCTCTTCTCCTCGCCTGCCACGTCTCTCACTGACATCGCCGACGCTGATGATTTTAACCTGGACAGCCTCACACAACTCCCAAACATCTGGGACCCAAGCAACAGTATAGAGGTCAGTGCTGAATAGCTAGACGCACCATTGTGTGTAGAACAAATCTGCGGAGACATTACTTCAGCGAGCGGGTAGTAAATGTATGGAATTGGGTCCTGAGGGAGACAGACGGTGGAAGCATAAAGTGTTGTTTGTTTGAAGAACAAATGAGTTGGATTTCAGTTAGAAATGAATAGCTGGAAAGACAGTGTGTAGTTTGGGGACACGACATATCAAGCGACTGCCAGGCTGGTGGTGGAAGGCGAACTGGATGGACCTTAGTTTTCTTTGGCCAGCAAATTCTTATGTTCTTAATGCCGGTGTTTATTGTGGCAGTGAGCTTTTCACCTGGAAAGCTCCCAACCAACTCCCTCGCTTGTGCTGTCCGTGTTTATAGCAATGTGACACTGGAAGCAGCGAGAGTTAACAGGAAGTAATGCTATCTTTCATTCTGAAATTCTAGGCCAGAGAAACTGAAAATGAGAAGGGAGTGCATTCCTGCGCTTGTCCAAAACCCAACCTCGCCCGGCTCTGTCTGACCCGCCAGACACAAAAGTATCTGCGACTCCCCTCTTATACATTGATTGAGATATATGGCCATTTGTCACCTCCTGTGGGAGGTTAGAGTTTATTCGAACAGGATTCTCACTGCTTAATATTGATCTCTCTGTCTCCCTTCCTGACTTTTTGTGTCTTAAATAATAATAATAATCCTTGCATTTGATATAGCGCCTTCTCACGTTGTTGATATTGTAGCCATTTGCCCACAGCAGTGTCCCACTGTGCCGGCTCTTTGAAAGAGCTACCAACTAGCCCCACTACACCCCCCACCCTCCGCCCTTACCACATAGCCCGACACATTTTTCCTTTTCAAGAATCTATTCAATTCCCTTTTGAAAGCTCCTATCAAATCTGTTTCCACCACCCTATCGGGCAGTGCATTCCAAACCGTAGCAACTCTCTGGGTAAAAAAAATTCATGAATTGTTCAGTTGACTTTTAGATTGTAAGTACTTTCCCACTTCCCCTCTACACAGACACACAATAATGTTCCCTTCAACACTGAAACTAAGTTTGCAGCTTTTTTTTTTGCTTATAAGTTTCACTTTGCATTCTTTTGAATTCGCTGCCACCATTTCTCTCTCCCCCTCGGTGTTTAGTTATTGGGTTGTGTGGCTGGATTGTGTGTGAAGCTGACACACCCATCCTCACCGCTTACTCATACACCCTGTGAGTTGACTTTGCTAAATAGCAATTTGATCCTCCAGATTAGGATTGATTTTTCCAGTTGGAAAACACAAAAGGTTTGGCGCATGTTGTTTTAAGGTTGACATTCTGTTGGTGAAGCAGCCTTGATTAATCGGCCCTGTATATGCCTTTATCTTTAAAAATAATTCAGTTACAAACGTTTTTAAGTGTCTAAATGGTGAAAAATTAACTCATTCCTGTTAGGTTGTTGTGCGGGGGGGACGGGAGGGAATGTCAGGCAGCTTGGATTAACCCACCTCATTGAGTGCTGTGGGGAGTCATTGTGATGTCTTGTAGCTCAGTGGTTAGAGCCCTCGCCTCGCAAGTGAGAGGACCTGGGTGCGATTCCTGGGCGGGTCAGGGCAAAACCTTAGGCAAGTTTCCTTACTCCACACACACACACGCCTCTGTTTACCCAACAGCGAGCAGGAACCCGGTTGTTAATCGATTGGCGGATCGCTTTCCTGGGTGTAACAATCAAAAAAAATAAGAATAATAATTTGGTCACTCAGTCCACGACTGTTTGTGGGGCACTGCTGTGCGCAATTGGCTGCCGCGTTTCGTCCGCACAATATACACTCAATTCACTTTACAGTATATTCTGTGAAGCTCTTCGACACGTCTCGAAAACGTGATAAAGCGCTATATCAAATGCAAGGATTGTTATTAATAATAATAATAATAATAATCCTTGCATTTGATATAGCGCTTTTCACGTCGGGAGGACGTCCCAAAGCGCTTCACAGAATATACTGTAAAGTGAATTGACTGTATATTTGTGGGCGAACGCGGCAGCCAATTGCGCACAGCAATGTCCACAAACAGTCGTAGATTGAAAATGACCAATTTATTATTGTTTTTTTTGGTTTTGGAGGGATTATTATTAGGCTCTGTGTGGAGTAAGGAAACTTGCCCAAGGTTTCGCCCTCTGCCTGGAATTGAACTCAGGTCTCTCGCTTGCAAAGCGAGTGCTCTAACCACTGAGCTACAGGACTCCACTTTTTATTATTATTAGATGCAGGAGCAATAATTGGGCTGGTGTGACAAGTTGTGTAGAAATTTCATATGTTAACTTGTTTTAGAATTAAAACTAATGATATTGCTTTTTATTTTGGTTAATTTTACATTGTGAACTAACTCCTGGATGTTGCCATCTTACAGCTGGTCCATTCAAATCCACCGTATTCCCAAGTTTATTCTCAACAGATATTTCCAGTTCCCTCGTATCCTGACCCAGCTATCCCTAACTTTCAGGTAATCTTTCCATCGATTTCTAAATGTTCCTTTCACAAGACTCGATCGCCTTGACTCTTTGAGGGGTTTTAACACATTCCAGGCTCTCTCAAAACAGGAACAAAACCGTCATTTGTTTTTGCTTAAAAGTCAATTAATGGACATCAAAGTACGGAATGTAACCGTTTTATTTCCTCAGAGGCAACAGATTTTTTTTTGGCGTTGTTATAGACTAAATCAAGTCAGTACATTTATCCGTGTTTATTGATCAATCGGGCGACAAATGACTTGCGAACACTTGACATGAGATCTCTGACTATGGACTAATATCAGGTGACCATTTTGTACACATCAAGCCCAGATTAAAATAAATACCACTCACAGTAACATAGAAAGACAAAGAGAATGAGAGACAAACACACGGAGGGAGGACGAAGAGAGAGATACACACACACACAAACTCACCGAACAAGGAGAGAAACAAACATGGAGGCACATTGAGAGGGAGACAAACACACACACATATAGAGGACAGAGAGAGAGAGTTACTTACAAACACACAGGGTAGAGTGTATATACACACAAAGGCACACACAGAGAGAGACACTCACACACAAATGTACAGCCAGTTAGGGGTGGACTGCAATGGGCAGCTCGTTTGTTTGTTGTGTGTTTTTCAAGTGTGTTGAGTTACGAGAAGAGATGTTTTGGGCAATGTGACATTTCAGACTCAGCTCCTCCTGCTTCCTGTATGGTTAACTTTTCTCTTAACGTCTGATAAAACACACGCGGGTTTTCAGAACCCAGGAGTCTCAACCGGTAAAACATTCTGTGTTGTCAGCGTTTCTGGTTTGTGGGCGACATTTTCCCAATGAATAAAGTCAGTTATTAATATCGATTCCACTAGACACCGTGACAGTATTAAGTCCAGTGCGAGACACTCAGTAGAGGGGTTTCATATCAGAAATGTTTGTATAACAATCATACTGTCAAAAGCAAGCATTCAAAATAGATCAGAACATGCCTGAGCTGTTGACATCACACTTATGTTAACTTATGTAATAAGTTAATAATCCTTGCGTTTGATATAGCGCCTTATCATGTCTTCGAGACGTCTCATAGAGCTTCAGAGGGATACGTGGTAAAGTGTAGTGACACGACAGCCAATTGCAGACAGCGACGTCCCACAGACAGTCGTGGATCGAGTGACCACATTTTTAAAAATTTTTTGAAAGGATTATTAGCCCCTCTCTTTCCCCCCCATACCCCTCCTCCTTTCTCTTACCCCCTCTACCCGCACCCCCACTCCACTCTCTCTCTCTCTCCTCTTCTCTCTCAACCTCTCACACCCCCTGTCACAGTCATGACTTGCTCTAGGAGTTGCCTGGCGTGGGGCGGGTGGGTGGGTGGGTGGGGAGGAGGGAGTAAAGAATTTGCTGTTTTTTGAACTTAACTTCCAGAATCAGAATGGTGCGGTTTGGCTTCTGTTATGTTTCATCGTATGATCAAATTGGTGGATTGTGGCTGGGGCCTTCGGGAAGCCTGGCTTGCTGTCGGCTCTGATTAAATCCATGTTTTTTCCCTCGAGTCATACAGAGGGACCTGATCAGAACCTATCAGGAACTGGCAGTGAATTTTCCGCGCCTTCTCCCAAGCTCCCAGTGCGTGTTAGACTTTTTTATGGTTTCCAAGTAAAATATCAGGTTTCAAAGCGGAACAATCCTGATATTATTATCCAGCACTTTATTACATTTTCCTTATAGAAACCCCAAATTGGGCAAGTTCCCTCACCTACACACACCCCTCTGTTTGCCCAGCAGTGAGTAGGGAACCTGGTTGTTAGTCGATTGGCGGATCACTTTCCGGGGGGGTAAACACTCAATTGGATCACACGAGTGTTTGTGGGGACGCTGCTGTGCACTATTGGCTGCCGTGTTTCACCCACAAGACAATACAGTCAGTTCACTTTACAGTGTGTTCTGTGAAGCGCTTTAAGACGTCTCGGAGACGTGATGAGGCACTGTGTTATGAATCTGGTTAGAAACATTAACATGAACTGAAATGGTGTGAATGACCCTGTGATGGGCTTTTGATGCTCTTATTGCAGTCTCCACTACAACCAGAGGAGGAAGAGGAAGGTGATGATGAAGAGACTGAAGAACTGGGGCACGCGGAAACGTATGCGGATTACGTCCCGTCCAAATGTACGTCAGAGTGAATTATTGAAGCCCCGTTCGTCCGTCTGTCTGTCTGTCCGTCCGTCCGTCTGTCTGTTTGTTTGTTAGTTACATGTCTGTAATGATGTGCTTTCCTCCCGAGAATAAAATCTTATGTGATATTCAGCCGCGGTTGTGTTTTGACGGCAGAATCCTATTTTAAAAATAGTCTCCAAAAAACTACAATGAAATAGAATAAATTAAATAAAATAACGCCCCCTCTTTCTCCTCCTCTCTCTTGCCCCGTCTCTCTCCCTCTCCACCTGTCTCCCCTCCCCGCGTCACAGTCAGGACTTGTTGTTATTATGTTTATTATATTATTTATTATATTATAAATGGTGGGCGATAGCGGAAATGGCTCCCGCCGCTGTTCCACGTGTGCTTTAGAAGCTCTGTTATTCTGAGTGTGAGATGTGCAGCTGGAAGGTAACTGGCTTCTTCCTCCCCACAGCAAAGATCGGTATCAGCCACCCAGACAGAGTGGTCGAAACCAGTACTTTGTCGAGCGTCCCACCTCCAGACATCTCCTATTCCCTCTGCCTTTCTCCAGAGACCATTACCAATGGTTCATTGTCTGCACTACAGCTTGAAGCTATCACCTACGCCTGTCAGGTAAGGAGTTAAGCACCACGTTTACTTCAGGACTTAAAAGTGGTGGCTCAGTGGTTAGAGGATCTGGGTTTGATTCCCGGTCAGGGCGAAACTTTGGGCAAGTTTCCTTACTCAACACGCGCGCCTCTGTTTACGTAGCAGTCAGTAGGAGCCCGGTTGTTAGTCGATTGGCGGATAGTTTTCTGGGAGGTAATAATCCCTTTAAAAATATAAAGTAATAATGTGGTCGCCCAATCCACGACTGTTTGTGGGGACGCTGCTGTGTGCAATTGGCTGCTGCGTTTCACCCACAAAATATACGGTCAATTCACTTTACAGCGTATCCTGTGAAGCGCTTTGAGACGTCTCAAAACCGGTGCTTTATATCAAATGCAAGGATTATTATTATTTTTATTATAATGTAATCTCACATCATGTTTGTCTTTGCCATCTCCGTTTCTAGCAACATGAAATCCTGCTGGAAAATAACCACCGGGCTGGCTTCCTGATCGGTGACGGGGCCGGGGTGGGAAAGGGACGTACAGTGGCGGGCATCATATTAGAAAATTACAGACGGGGCAGGAGAAAGTCCTTGTGGTAAGTGGGAAATAACCCTGGCCCACACGCTGACAGCCTGGGGAGCCGGTGGGGAGGAGGACCGTAGGCGCGGGTCCAAGAGGAAGGTGTTTAAGCGCGACTTTAAGGTAAGGAAGGGAGGGGCGAGGAGTACATTCCATGTGGCGTTTTGGTGACAAAACAGCGAGCAGTTACACTGGTACAGATGGCGGTGGTTGTTGTCTTTAATAAAAGGCAAAATCCTGCAGATGTTGGAAATCTGAAATAAAAGCAGAAGTGTCTGGGAACACCCAGCGGGTCAGGCAACATCTAGGGAGAATGGAAAGTGGGTTAACCTTTCAGTTCTGACGAAAGGTCATCCACCTGAAACGTTGACTCACTTTCCTCTCAATAGGTGCTGCCTGACCCGCTGAGCGTTCCCAGTGACTTTTGTGTTTACCTCGTCTTAAAGGTTTAACAAGAAGAGTACTGACCACAAAGGTCACAGCACTGTTTAGGAGTAGTTGCGATGTCAGCATCCAGACATTTTCTTGAAATCTGCTAATCAGCACTCGGGTTCTCGAGGTGTTTCACCATCTAAATTAATGGACAAAATGAAAAGTTACTGGAACTAATTAACCCAAGTGTTCAGGTGAAAGGCAGAGAAATAAGGACAATGCTTAAATGACTTTGGTCTATACTAAAAATGCACTATCGCTGCACTCTACAGGAAATCCTGTGAAGCAATTTCAGATGTGATAAGATGCAAGGATTAGGATTATTTTCAGCCACAAAATATACAGTCAATTCGCTTTACAGTGTATGAAGCGCTTTGAGACGTCTCGAGGACCTGATAAGGCGCTGTATCAAATACAGGGATTATTATTGTTATTGATAATAATGTTGATTTTATTACATATTTATTTGATAGGTTTAGCGTCTCCAACGACCTGAAATACGACACTGAACGGGATCTCAGAGATATCAACGCTGCAGATATCCCAGTGCACGCCCTCAACAAGGTACAGAGAGAGTTAGAGTAATGTTACAGTGAGGGTTAGAACTGACTCAAAGTCTCACTCGTGTTATGTGTGTGTGTGTGTGTTTTGGGGGGAAGGGGAGGGTGATACGGGAGAATTCTGGGGAAAGTCTATGATAATGGAGTAATCCCTGGTTTGCCGTAAAACGTGGCATTGATGGAGCAAACGGGCTCCACTGCACTGCGAGTCTTCGGTGTAATACTCTACGCCTTGGTTCTGCCCTGGTGTGACCTACCCTGCGAAGGGGCAGATAGACAGTCCAGTCCGTCCATCCCTTGCGTTCCTCCACCCAGGCACTGGGAGGCGCTCCAGGCCAGCTTGATCGGGATGCGTTTTGGGGGGTGGGGGGGGGATCAAGCCACGATCTCACGGAATGTCGGAACAGGCTCGAGGGGCTGAATGGCCTCCTCCTGTCCCTTGGACGTTCCGCTCAGTGGGAAGCGTCCGAGTTGAACAGAGAGGAGGTCAGAGCCGGTGTGTTACTGTCCGGAATGTTTCTGTGGTCGCCTCGGGGTGGGGGAGGCTACCCTGCCTGAGGGGCGCTGTGTAGGCGCAGGTGGTTTGCAGTCGCCCCCTAATCAGTGGGCCTCGTTTCTCGGCCCCTCTGCTTTCACCAGATAAAGTACGGTGACACCACGGCCTGCGAGGGGGTGTTGTTCGCCACCTACTCAGCACTGATTGGGGAGAGCCAGGCGGGCGGGCAGCACCGAACCCGGCTACAGCAGATCCTGGACTGGTGCGGGGAGAACTTTGACGGCGTCGTATCCTTTTCACGCCGCAAAGCGGGCTCTCGCGGCCACGACAGTGACATCAGAGACGGAGCAAAAAGGTGGCCGCTGCTCAGTAAAACGGCATCTCAGGGGCAGATTCCACCCCCCCCCCCCCACCCGCACACACCCCACCCACCCTCACCACCACCCCACCCCACCCCTGTCCCCAGCCGGCAGCTCTCTGGTCCTGCCTCGCTAAAACAATAACTATACAGTTGCTCAGTCCCAGTTGGCTGCCGCGTTTCGCCCGCAAAGCACGCAGTCGCTCCGCTTCACGGGACACTCCGCGGGACGTCGCGATGCTGTGATCAGGCGCGGTGCCAAAGGGCAGGATTGTTAACGTTGTACTCAGGACGGGGCAGTGAGGCAGCTCTGGAGCGCTGGGTATTCCTTGACCGTTTTCACCGCTCAGATCGTGTTTGACGAATGCCACAAAGCGAAAAACGTCTGTGTGAACGGCAGCGCCAAGTCCACCAAAACCGGCCAGGCCGTGCTGGAGCTGCAGAACAGGCTGCAATCTGCTCGCGTCGTGTACGCAAGTGCCACAGGTAGGCCCCGGAGACGAGCGGCTCGCGCGACCTGCTTTGGGGGGGGGCGCGGGGGGGGGTGTCCTCTATTGAGAGGAAAGCGCAGTCGGCTGCCGCGTTTCGCCCACGAAATGCACAGCCGGTTCCACTTTGCGGCGCGTTCCGTGAAGGGCTTCGAAGGCGTCTCGAAAAGACAGCGTCAGTCATCGTTCCTGTTCATTATTTTGTGCAGGCGCCTCGGAACCAAAGAACATGGCCTACATGTGCCGGCTGGGGATCTGGGGGGAAGGAACACCCTTTCGACAATTTGAGGATTTCCTTCACGCCATTGAGAAGCGGTGAGTCCCGATTTCCGCCTTAACCGCACGGCGTTCAAACACCGGCGCGTTTGAGGTCCCAGAGATCTCATGGCACCATTTGAAAAGAGAAGGGAGTTTGTCTCTCTCTCTCTCTCTCTCTCTCCCTGTGTCCTGGCCGACACCCCTCCCTCCGGATAAAATTGGACCCTCCGCTCAATCCGACGCCGGGCGCAACTGTGCTGCCACGTTTCACCCACAAAAATACGCAGTTTACTTTAAAGCGTATCCTGTGAAGCGCTCTGAGACGTATCTCACTGGCGTGGTAAGGCGCTGCGTCAAAGGCAAGGATTATTATTTTTGTGATGATGATGATGATGATGGTGATGATGGTGTGTTTCCTGGGTTTCAGTGGGGTGGGAGCCATGGAGATCGTTGCCATGGATATGAAAGTGAGCGGCATGTACATTGCGCGGCAGCTGAGCTTCTCCGGGGTGACGTTCCGAATAGAAGAAATACCCCTCGACGATGGATTCAAACTGGTGTATAACAGCGCAGCGCTGCTGGTAAGAACGGGCAGCAGTGCAGTAACCGTCGCTGCTGGTTTGGAGAGAGAAAAAACCCAACAGCCCTGCGCCGTGCGACGCCTTTAGCGTTGTTATTCACGTGTCCCCCACCACCGCCCCAGGTTGACAATTCTGCTTCCGATCACCAGCGCTCAGCCCAGTCCCGAGACAAGGCTCTCACATCTCCCGTCGACCTCCTCTTGATCAACTTCCCCAATTCCCCCCCTCCCCCCGTACAGCACGTCCAGTCGGACCTGGGCTCACATCACACACAGCGTCACAGCAAACACCTCGGCCCAACTAGTCCATGTTTATACACCACACTGGTCTGCAGCCCTCCCACACCCTCTCCCTCCCACACCCTCTCCCTCCCACACATCGTCTCCCTCCCACACATCGTCTCCCTCCCACACCCTCTCCCTCCCACACATCGTCTCCCTCCTACACATCGTCTCCCTCCCACATCCTCTCCCTCCCACACCCTCTCCCTCCCACACACCCTCTCCCTCCCACAGCCTCTCCCTCCCACAGCCTCTCCCTCCCACATCCTCTCTCCCAACCCCCTCTCTTCCTCACCCCTCTACTCCTTTCTCCCTTGAGTATTCAGCCAGCACGTGAACTATATATTGGAACTGCATTGATCAGTCACACATGAGGGAACGAGAGGCGATTGACTGAGTGCGAGAGGTTTCTGACGTGAAGAGTTTGCCAGCGAAAGTGACGGTTTTAGTAACGTTTTTTTCCAGCAGATTTTGTTAAAGTGACCCTGAGCGTGTGCTTGTCTCCCCAGTGGGCCGAGGCGATGAATCTGTTCCAGCGCACGGCAGATCTGATCGGCTTGGAGTCCAGGAAGTCCCTCTGGGGGCAGTTCTGGTCGGCGCATCAACGCTTCTTCAAGTACCTGTGTATCGCTGCCAAAATTAGACGTTTAGTGGAGATCGTCAGACAGGAGCTGCGCAAAGGCAAGGTGAGAGGCCGCTTTCTACCTGCCAGCCTGACCAACAACACTGCCTTTCTCTTAATGATTATTGTGGAGTCCTGCAGCTCAGTGGTTAGAGCCCTCGCCTCGCAGGCGAGAGGACCCGGGCAGGTCAGGTCAGGGTGAAACCTAAGGCAACTTTCCTTACTCCACACACACACAGTGAGAGACACACATACAGTGAGAGACACACACGCACACACAGTGAGAGACACACACACACACAGTGAGAGACACACACACACAGTGAGAGACACACACACACAGTGAGAGACACACACACACACACACACAGTGAGAGACACAATCACACACACAGTGAGAGATACACACACAGTGAGAGACACACACACACACACAGTGAGAGACACAATCACACACACAGTGAGAGATACACACACAGTGAGAGACACACACACACACACAGTGAGAGACACAATCACACACACAGTGAGAGACACACATACAGTGAGAGACACACGCACACACAGTGAGAGACACACACACACAGTGAGAGACACACACACAGTGAGAGACACACACACACACAGTGAGAGACACAATCACACACAGTGAGAGGCACACACACAGTGAGAGACACACACACACACACACAGTGAGAGATACAATCACACACACAGTGAGAGACACACACGCACACACAGTGAGACACACACACAGTGAGAGACACACACACACAGTGAGAGACACACATGCACACACAGTGAGACACACACACGCACACACAGTGAGAGACACACGCACACACAGTGAGAGACACACGCACACACAGTGAGAGACACACGCACACACAGTGAGACACACACACGCACACACAGTGAGAGACACACACACACACAGTGAGAGACACACACGCACACACAGTGAGAGACACACACACACACACAGTGAGAGACACACACACACACAGTGAGAGACACACACACACCTCTGTTTACCGGCAGTAAGTAGAAACCCAGTTGTTAGTCGATTGGCGGATGGCTTTTCTGGGGGTAACAATCTGCTAATAATAATGCGGTCACTCAATCCACGACTGTTTGTGGGGACGCTGCTGTGCGCAGTTGGCTTCTGTGTTGCGCCCACAAAGTACACAGTCAATTCACTTTGCAGTGTATCCTGTGAAGCGCTTTGAGACGTCTCGAAAACGTGATAAGGCGCCGGGTCACATCAGGGATTATTGTTGTTATTATTATTGGTCAGCGAGAGGACGGGTTGGGCTCGCTTGCGCTGGTGTGGCTCACGGTGTGTGGGTTCGCACGTTGGGAGAGCCACCCAGAGCGAGGCGAGCTGTCGGGCACATCTCAGACAAAAGGCGCATATGCTTCCTCTTGACTGTCGCCGAGCGTGTATCATTGACTGAGCCAGTCAGTGTGTGTCTGGGTGTGTGTGTGTGGAGGCTGAGCTTTGGGCCAGCTGTTGGGACGTGCTGGTTCTGCTGACTCGCGGTTACAGCGTAGGGAATTGTCTGCCTCAGTAACTGCCCAGCTCCCATGATGGGATCTCACAGGTTGGCCACTCGCCAGCCACAATATTTGCATCTTGCGTGTCAGTCCAAGGCCTGTAATTGAGTTTAAGTAAAACCATCCCAACATTGTTTGCAAATCAGGCCTTGGTTTCCCGACAGTCTTTCTGTTGCTCCACAATTAATATCTCATTAAAATCTGTCCCAGTCTCTCTCTCTCTCTCTCTCTCTCTCTCACACACCCCTTTCCTTAAAAAAATAATAATTTGGTCACTGAATCCACGACTGTTTGTGGGACACAGTTGTGCGCAATTCACTTTACAGTATATTCTGTGAAACGCTTTGAGACATTTCAATGATGTGATGAGGCACTATATTAAATGCAAGGATTATTATTAGAGCTTACTTCGGTCATGCTGAGTTGTATCAGTATTTTAACGTCTGTGTGTGTGTAGTGTGTATTTGTGTGGTATGTGTGTATGTGTGTGTGTGTGTGTTTGGTTGGTGTGTGTGGGGGCTGGTGTGTGGGGGGTGGTGTATGTGTGTGCATGTGCGTGTGGTGGTGTGTGTGCGTATGTGGTGTGTATGTGGTGTGTCTGTGTGTGTGTGGCGTGTGTGTGCGTGTGGTGGTGTGTGTGTGTATATGGTGTGTATGTGTGTGTGTGCGCGTGTGGTGGTGTGTCTGTGTATGTGGTGTGTCTGTGTGTGTATCTGGCTTGTGTGTGGTGGTGTGTGTGTGTGGCGTGTGTGTGTGCGTGTGATGGTGTGTGTGTGGTGTGTGATCTTGTGATGGGCTGCACACTGTGATGCGAGTCTCTGGGCTGTTGGCTATGGTTTGCGTTATCAAAGCAGATATCAATCTGATGACTGAGAATGGTATAAATAGCATTTACACCCCCACCCCTCGCCCCCACCCCTGACTGTCCTCCAACCTACGCATTAACGTAGATATGCAATTCAGCCCCTAATTAGCAGTGGGGGAGGGGGTGTGGTGGTGGTGTGGGTGAAAGGTCTTGATAACAGATGAATGAGAGCAGCAGTGACCTGCGCTCTTCAATGTGTTTCTTTTCTTCTCTTCCCCCCTTCCCCATTATTTTCTACATCACACGTTATCCGATCTGCCCGCCTCCCTCCCCTTACACCCACCCGCCCGCCTGCCTCCCTCCCTCCCCTTACACCCACCCGCCCGCCTGCCTCCCTCCCTCCCCTTACACCCACCCGCCCGCCTGCCTGCCTGCCTCCCTCCCCTTACACCCACCCGTCCGCCTGCCTGCCCGCCTGCCTGCCTCCCTCCCTCCCCTTACACCCACCCGCCCGCCTGCCCGCCTGCCTGCCTGCCCGCCTCCCTCCCCTTACACCCACCCGCGTGCCTGCCCGCCTGCCTGCCTCCCTCCCCTTACACCCACCCGCCTGCCTGCCCGCCTGCCTGCCCGCCTCCCTCCCCTTACACCCACCCGCCTGCCTGCCCGCCTGCCTGCCTCCCTCCCCTTACACCCACCCGCCTGCCTGCCCGCCTGCCTGCCTCCCTCCCCTTACACCCACCCGCCTGCTTGCCCGCCTGCCTGCCCGCCTCCCTCCCCTTACACCCGCCCGCCTGCCTGCCTCCCCTTACACCCGCCCGCCTGCCTGCCCTCCTGCCTGCCCGCCTCCCTCCCCTTACACCCGCCTGCCCTGCCTGTTTGCCTGCCTGTCTATCTGTCTGCCTGCTTGCCTCTCTGTGTGTTTCTCTGCCCTGCCTGCCCGGCTTGCTCCCAACAGTGAGAGCTGCAGTGATCCATGCCAGGACCTTACAGCTGCTGCTCCACGATATGCCGACAGGCGGAAGCTATTAATAGGACAGACAAGCAGCTAATTCTGTGTCTCTCCCCATTCTCCCTCCCCTCGCCCCTCCTCTCCTCCCCCCCTCGCCTCTCCTCTTTGCCCTCCCCTCTCCCCCCCCCCTTCTCTCCCTCACTCCTGGATGTTGTCCTGCCGTACACTGGGAGCTGGGAGCTGACCTGCCTCGTCCCCGGCATCAAATAATAATATTAATAATCCTTGCATTTAACCCAGCGCCTTATCACCTCGTCAATGTCTCAAAGCGCTTCACAGGACACACTGTAAGAGTGGATTGATTGACTGTATTGTGTATGTGGAATACTCATACTAAGTGAGTAAGACACCTGGACAGACCGTCCAGACTAAACCTTGTAATAGTCCAGTCAGGAGCTGTGATTATGGGGAGAGAAAGTGAGGGGAAACAGTGGGAGAGGTTCCTGTCTCTCAGTATAATATGAACATCGCACCTTCTAACAAGACAGACACTGGAATATCTGCTGCTGTTTGGAATGATGGCTGGGGGTGGAGGGCGGAGGACTCAGGAGGGAAGGGAGGGGAGGGGAGGGAATGACGGACTATTTAATCAGGACAGCTCTCTCCCTCTCTCTCTCTCTCTCCCGCAGTGTGTTGTGATTGGCCTCCAGTCCACAGGCGAAGCTCGCACACGAGAAGTCCTTGACGAGAACGACGGGCACTTGAACTGCTTCGTTTCTGCCGCTGAGTGAGTATAGAGCAACAGCCAGCAACAACAACAACTTGCAGGCGGGGTAGCGTCCTGGGGGCGCTTGACAGTGGCGGAGTCTGACCCCGAGCCGGCTGGGGTGGGGGGCGAGAGAGAGGGAGGTGCTGCAACAATAACAGTAAACGGTAACGGATTCCCAGAGCACGATTACCTTTTCCATGCAGGATGGAGCCTTTTAACGCGGTGACTTACGTCACTGCTTTCTCGCTGTAGAATGTGTGAAATCCTGACATGATAACTTTGTAATGAATCCACACACAGTCGCGACACGTTTATAGTTTCAGTCAGATTAGTCACTCGACCTCCAGTGGGCATGTGTTCGACGTGTAGTCACGGTTATCACATACGAACATGTAAATAGTCTTGACATTTGCATCACCCATGAACATAAATAGCTTTGAACTTTGTCACAGACACACAATTAGCCCCGACCTTTCCGTCGAGGGCCTTTAAGATTCGAGAGAGAACTGGGTGGTTCAGAGTTGGCTTGCTGAACGGGGAATGGAACGAGGTCCCCGAGCCTGTTCCACCGTTCTATTAGATCATGGCTGATCTGTACCTCAACTCCCAATTTTCCAGGCTCAGGTGGATAGACGCTTGTTAGGTCAGGGAGTCGGGGCAGAGGCAAGTAATACGTACTAAGCATACAGTGGGCTCTGTCTTCTAAAGACTTGTGGAAGTAGGAATGACGTAGAATATGCAGCTTCTGTAGGCTGTATTAACAAGCCGCCTGTGCGCGAGAGCCACTACATAAATGTTATTGTTTTAGTAATAAATTACAATCAGTTGATGTTCAGGAGTAATGTGCTGTGAGGAATTTAAACGTCTCTGCGGCTTCATTAAGTCTTTACGTTCCACTTACAGAGGAGTCTTTCAGTCACTAATTCAGAAGCACTTTCCTTCAACAAAGAGAAAGAAAGAGAAAGGAGCAGGAATGAAGAGAAAACGTAAGATTAACGACTGTTATTGACACTAACTGAGCAACTTAATGGCATTTCTGAATTCTTGACTGATACGTGGACAGAGTTTATATTACACTCACTCACTCACCCACCCACCCACCCACACACTCACAGTCGTCCGTCCCTCTGCTACAGCACACAGTCCGCTCAGTCATCAAGCCCCCGAAGCACCAATCATTGAGTCTCTGCACAACGCCAGTCGTGGTCAAGGTGGCTGTGTGATCGGGTAACAGGGCAGGTGTCTGTCGCGGGAGGACCCTGAAGCCAGGTTGCGGGGTTCCTGTGGGAGGGAGCCCCCACTGGGTGTATTTGACAATCAGTGTGGCTGACTTCGAGCTTCCGTGCAGCCAGTTAGACAAAGCACCTTCCTTTCCTCTCAGCAAGATTCTGGCAGGAGATAACAGCGAGACCACAGACACAAGCAGATCACCACAGACTAACAACACCGGGCAGAACCCGCCACTGTTTGTGCTGAATAACAAGTCAAGCCTTTTCATGTTCACTGCGCTGTGTTTGTTTCTACACCTTATGGTTCCCTAAACTCAACCAGGTCTTTATAATTCAGTTGTGTAATAGCCTTGAAACATTGCAGCCCCCTCTCTCCCCACCCCCACCCCCACCCCAACATAGCTTCACAACAAGACCAAGGTATTTGCATTAAAATAGTTGTGGGCGGTGTAGACTGTAGGGGAGATAACCTCTGGTTACATTGGTAAACGTTTGGTTTGTAATAATGGAACATTTTGGAGAGAGATTCCGTGTAGCTTTATTTTGGGGGGTGGGAGGAGAGAGTTGTGGGGTGGGGTGGAGGGGGTTTCAAAGAAAGTATTGTTTTCCTAAATTTATGCGATTCCTTAAGCGTTTTCTTTTCTGCTTCGTTCATCAACGTTTCCTTTGATTTTTTGTCCCCCAAATAATCCGCGCCCACGGCAGGGAAACAGCGAGGACGGCCGCAGAAGCATTTCCGGAACATTGGCGACGTTTGCTTGATTAAGAGCAGCGACGACAGCAGCTGCGATTCCGACCTGGAGACTGACAGCGATCCCAACTCCTCCCCCGCCTCCGCCATGGAGATATCCGAGGACAACGATGTCATCGCCCTGGATCCTCCCATCAACGGATTTCAGTCCGCGGAGAAAGGTAACAACAACAACAACAAGTTTGCATTTATACAGCGGCCTTCACCCAGGGTTGTGTCAGAAGGAGGACATTTAGCCCATTGTGCCTCTGCCTCTGCCTCTGCCGGCTCTTTGAAAGAGCTACCAACAGTCCCCCTCCCCCACTCTTACCCCAACTGCCCCACTCCCCCACTCGTACCTTACCCCACAGTCCTGCACATTTTTTCCTTTTTCAGTCCCTATCCAATTCCCTTTCGAAACCCACTGTTGAATCTGCTTCCATCGGCCTTTGAGGCCGTACATTCCAGACTGTAACAACTCTCTGGGTAACAGCATGTCTCCTCGTCTCCCCTCTGGTTCTTTTGCCAATTATCTTAAATCTGTCCTCCGGTTACCGACCCAGCCACACACCAGAGGAAACAGTTTCTCCCTATCTCCTTCTATCAGAATCACTCATAAATTTGAACACGTGAATTAAATCCCAGAACAATCCCACTCTCTATTCTCTCCACATAAACAAAGTCACTCATCTCTGGTATCCCCAAGGAATACAGTGTGGGGAAGCGAGGTGTGTGGGAGATTGCCACACCACATAGCCTGGGGCTTCCACAAGGAATAGGCTCAACACGTCTGACACGGGAATTTCCGTGTGTAGGTGGGCATGCACAGAACGCTGTGTGATTCCGGACGCTGTTCAGCACCACACGTTGCTGGGTGTGTCAGACGCCCGCCCCCAGCTGCCCAAATCAATACCCTCCCTTTTCCACTCGGGAGGCGCTGTATAAATGTCGACGGTTTATGGCGCCTTCTTTCCTCTGGTGCGGATGATTAATCCGAGCTGTCCTCCCCACACAGCAACACTAGAATATGTGGAGAAAGTCAAGCTGGAGCTGCTAGCCAAGGTGGCTGTCCTGGGAAAAGATCTACCTCTCAACACACTGGACGAACTGATTGACTTGTTTGGTGGCCCTGAGCACGTGGCTGAGGTAACGTTAGGAGGCTGGCGTACCTCGCATTGCCTTGGTTGCGGAGTCCTGGAGTTTAGTGGTTAGAGCGCTCGCCTCGCGAGCGAGAGGACCCGGGATCATTTCCCGGGAAGGGCGAAACCTTAGGCAACTTTCCTTACTCCGCGCACACACCTCTGTTTACCAGCAGTAAGTAGGAACCTGTTTGTTAGTCAATTAGTGGATTGCTTCAATAGATAAGTAATAATAATTTGGTCATTCAATCCACGACTGTTTGTGGGGGACGCAACCGGGCGCAATTGGCTGCCCCGCTTCGCCCACAAAATACACAGTTAATTGACTTTACAGTATAGTCTGTGAACAACAACAAATTACATTTGTAAAGTTCCTTTACACTTCTGGAGGACGTTCCCGAGGATGCTGGAGTGTCAGAGATTTGACACGCAGCGCTTTGAAACATTCTCCAAGACGTGATAAATACAAGGATTATTACTACTATTATTATTATTATCTCATTATCCTTCGGCGTTTCCGCAGATGACGGGGAGGAAGGGCCGAGTGGTTCGCAAAGCCGACGGCTCGGTTTGTTACGAGTCTCGAGCGGAGCAGAACCTTTCCATCGACCACGTGAACTTGAAGGAAAAGGAGCGATTCATGAACGGGGAGAAGGTGAGTTGGTTACCGTAGCGCTGATCAAAAAGGGGAGTTTCTCCCTCCCTCCCTCCCTCCCCCCCTCTCTCTCTCGCTCTTTATCAAATGCATGGATTATTATTATTGTTCAGTTTCCGGACACACCCTCCCGCCCGCCTGGTCTGGGTATATGTTTGTGGGGCGGAGACTGTATATATAATATATATATTGGATTGATTCTCGCTAACGCACAGGTGTTTGTGTGATTTGTCCAGTTTGTGGCCATTATCTCTGAAGCAGCGAGTTCAGGGATTTCACTTCAGGCCGACAGGAGGATAAAGAACCAGCGGAGGAGAGTGCACATGACCCTGGAGCTGCCCTGGAGTGCTGACCGCGCCATCCAGCAGTTTGGTCAGTCACCGGAGAGGCTCCGACAATCGCTGAACGTTTAATCTTTGTGTCTTGTGCTGGTACTCGTTCTCCTACTGGAGCTAACGGCTCCATCCCCCTGCTCTCTCTCCCCATCGTGTCTGTGCTGGGGCTCGCTCCCCCACTGGAGCTCTCTACTCTAACCCCATTCCCTGCTCTCTCTCCCCATCGTGTCTGTGCTGGGGCTCGCTCCCCCACTGGAGCTCTCTACTCTAACCCCATTCCCTGCTCTCTCTCCCCATCGTGTCTGTGCTGGGGCTCACTCCCCCACTGGAGCTCTCTACTCTAACCCCATTCCCTGCTCTCTCCCCCCATGGTGTCTGTGCTGGGGCTCACTCCCCCACTGGAGCTCTCTACTCTAACCCCATTCCTCTGCTCTCTCCCTGTATTTTGCAAGAAGTGGTAACTGTTCAGCCATTCGGGTGTGTGTGTGCTGTTTGACTGACTGTGGGATTGCACTGTATTTCTTCCATTATCTAACGCTTATTGTCATTTCAGGCCGCACTCACAGGTCAAACCAAGTGTCGGCTCCGGAGTACATCTTCCTCATCTCTGAACTCGCTGGTGAAAGACGCTTTGCTTCCATAGTGGCCAAGCGGCTGGAGAGCCTGGTAATGTCACCCACTTTAGTGCGGAGCAACAAGAACTCCCTAACGACATAGAATAATAATCCTGGCATTTGATACAGAGCCTTATCACGTCTTCGAGGCGTCTCAAAGGGCTTCACAGGATAGACTGTAAAATGGAGCAGCTGCGTATTTTGTTGAAGAATTAACAGTAAACAACAGCAAAATACATTTACACATCGCCTTCACGGGGGAGGATAGCTCAAGGCACTGGACAGTTAAGGGTTTGCAGTCGAGCTGGGGGCGGGGATCAAGAGGCGGGGAGGGTAGGCGGTGGGTGGGGGTAGGAGGGTGGCCAAAGTGGGAGGTCTTGAGACGGGCGAAGGAGGCGGCAAAGCAGAGGGATTCGGGGGGTGGAATTCTGGAGGGTTGGGGCTGAGGCCAAGCTGTTCAGTAGAGGCTAAAAGTATTCCTCACACAGCGAGGTGGGAATGTGGGATTCTCTGCCTCAAACCACCGTCCCAGCCCCAGCGGATTCCCATCAATTCCTGGATGGATATTTTTGAAAAGAGGAACGAGTAATAGTTACCGGGAGCGAGTAGCCGGGTGCGGAGGCAACTCCAGCCCTGTAAGTAACTGGAGGGGGGGCGGGAATAAAGATTCAATAAGGATGGATGGCAAACAGATTTACTAGGAAACTGCGATGAATGGTTCAGTCCCACAGACACACAGACTAATGCTGAGACTTTGCTGTTGCTGACAGGGGGCACTGACCCACGGTGACAGGAGAGCCACAGAATCCCGAGACCTGAGCAAGTTCAACTTTGACAACAAGGTAGGACAGAGCAGAGCCACTGAGACGGGAGTCACTATGCCCTTCACTGCATTGTGGACCACCGTGTGTGTTGGTGTTGGTGTTGGGTGGGGGGGGCAAAGCAGGAGCCCACTCCCCCTCCCACCCCGTTAGCACTGGTGTATTCTGTGTAAATGTGTGTCAGACATTTCACTGGGCGTCATGGAGCTTTCCACCACAGGAGGAGGCCATTCTCAACCCACCACTTCTCTGCTGGCTCTCGGAGTGAGCTGTGCATTCGGGTATTATTAGAAATAGTGAGAGAGAGCGCGAGAGAGAGATACAGAGAGAGAGAGAGAGATAGAGCGAGAGAAAGAGCGAGAGAGAGAGATAGAGAGAGGGAAAGAGTAAGAGAGAGCGCGACAGAGAGAGTTCCAAGTTGCTCTCATGCACCTCCTTGTGGTCCGTTAGAGAACAGCAGGTCACGGGGAGTTGGGAATCGGTCGCTTTCCGGCTCAGCCGCAGAATAGTCAAAAATAGTTCCCGGATTTTCCCCCTATTTTACCCCGGTGCTTACTCCTCGTTTACTCCATAGCTACGCCCTGTTTACTCCTCATTCACCACCCGTTTGCTCCCAGTATTAGCTCATTTATATACTGTGTTAATAGTTATGTTAATATGTGTGTGTGTGTGATCGGATGGGATGTGTAAAGCTGTTTCGAGCGCCGTGTTTGTGACGAGCTTGTGTCTGAGTGAGTTTTACCCTCCGTTCCCAGTACGGAAGCAGAGCACTGGATAAAGTCATCAAAACCATCCTGGGGCAGATCGAAAACAGAGTACTGCCTCCCTCAGATTACCTTGGGGGGCCCATCGATTTCTTTGCAGGTAAGAAGTGGGTTCATTGCCATAAAACTGTGACCTGACAATAATAATAATAATAATAATAATCCGAGCACTTGATACAGCGCCTTTCGTGTCACATCTCCAAGTGCTTCACAGAATTTGCTATAAGGCGCAGTGACTGTGTAGTCTGATGGTGATTTACACTTGGAGTCCTGTAGCTTAGTGGCTGGAGCACTCGCCTCACAAGCGAGAGAACCTGGGTTCGACTCCACGACTGTTTGTGGGACGCTGCTGTGCGCAGTTGGCTGCACTGTTCGACCGCAAAGTATACAGTCACTATAGTTTACAGCATATTCTGTGAAACGCTTTGAAACGTCTCGAAGACTCCATATTAAATGCAAGGATTATTATTATTATACTTAACCTGCCGACTAAAGGCACATATTAAGTTTCCGACGCTTTGTTTCAATGTAAAAAAGAAAGTCTGCTTTTGAAAACATTATCAAAGGAGGGATTTCTGTCTGTATCTCTGAGACAAAATGGAAATGTTTAAACCGTTTGGGGGGTGTGGGTGTGGGAAGGAAATCTTATGAAATCCTACACGTGTGTATGTTACAGACATGAAGAAGGGGCTGACAGCTGTCGGGGTGTTTTGCAAAGAGAACCGTTATGGATGTATAAATGTAGAGAAGGGTAAGAATTTATATATATATATGTGTGTGTACAAACTTTACTGAATTACCGTACAGTAATGACCGTGTTAACATAAGCATCACAGTTATTTAACAAATGCTAAAGTACCGGCAATGATCCTGACGGGAGTTGTGTGTTTGTGTCTCAGACTGCAGCATCACCAAATTCCTCAATCGGATCCTGGGTCTGGAGGTTCACAAGCAAAATGCACTTTTTCAATATTTCACTGACACCTTCGATTATCTCATCGACAAGGACAAAAAGGATGGAAAATACGACATGGGGATCCTGGGTAGGTCAGAGCTAAAGTGTCGTCGTCGGTAACACCACCAGCTCCCCACCTCTCTCTCTCTAATCTCTCGCTCGACCTGTAGCGGTCCCTGGTACCCAGAGAGGGCTCAGAGGGATGGAGTCCTGTGGTGTAGTGCTTAGCCCACTCTCGCCTCACAAGCGAGAGGACCTGGGTTCGATTCCCAGGCGGGTCAGGACGAAACCTCAGGCAAGTTTCCTTCCTCCGCGCACACCTCTCAGCGGGTGGATTGTGCTCCTGCTATCTATACTCCCGCTGGGCTGGTTTCCATCTTAACAGAATCGCTTTAACAGGATGTCAAAGGCCGGCGCCGTGCCAACCCTCACCAATCTGTGGCTCTTCCCATTTCCCCAGATTTAGCTCCGGGAGTCGAGGAGATCTACGAGGAGAGTCAGGAGGTTTTCCTGACCCCGGGTCACCCTCAGGATGGACAAGTGGTTCTGTACAAGGTAAACCCCGGTCTTTATATCCCTCCCTGCCTCGCTGTGTGTCGCTCTGCACACGGGCACATTCACAGGGAAACGGGAGAAATTGTATAAATAGCAGAGGTGACGGAGGTCTTGTTTGTTCTCTGCAGATCAGTGTGGACAGGGGTCTGACCTGGGAAGAAGCTTATCAGAAGTCACAAGCGTTGACGGGGACTTTCGATGGTTTCTACCTTTCGTACAGGGTTAGTATCAGGTCTCACGGACGGTCACACACTCACTCACTCACACTCACTCACTCACACACACGCACTCACACACACGCACTCACACACTCACACACTCACTCACTCAAACTCACACACACGAGTAATTACAGTCAACCCTGGACTCTCGGAACAAAGGAAGAAATAAAACCTAATTGAGGTTTCAAAAGAACCTGCCATTAGATTCCAAACTCCAACCCAAACAATGATGGACATTTTCAGCATTAGTTCCGCAGACCCAATATTACTCCAATTGCAAATAAACAGGCACTACACTTAATATCAGAGCACACTGAGATGCCTTGACAATGTGATGAGGCTCTATATCAAGTGGAAAGATTATTATTATAACATAAAATAATATTGCTAACAGCTTGTCCCCAGCTAGGCAGGGCGAGGGGACTCAAGTCTAATCACAGCATTTGGTTATAATAAAATCCTGCTGTCTGCCTGTTCCTCTTTCCGCAGCTGAGAGGGACTGAACCGTACCCACTTCTGGCAGAGCAGCATACAGCAAAGCATTTTGTTTTGTACAAACCAAACATCGGGAAACAGATACAGCCCGAAAGCCTGGATAACTTGAAGAAGAAATACAAGAAGGTGAGTGAGAGTTAAGGACAGGGTCCTTTCACGCTGTTAGTTACAATTCCTTGAACGGGTTTGAGGCAGTAAACCCTCTATCATAGAATCATAGAATCATACAGCACAAAAAGAGGCCATTCGGCCCATCGAGTCTGTGCCGGCTCTTTGAATAGAGCAATGTAGTGTCAATCCCACTCCCCAGCCCTTTCCCCATAACCTGCAAACCCGTCCTCCTCAAATACCCGTCCACCACGTTTTTAATCGGCCTCGACCGCCCTTTCAGGCGATGCGTTCCAGATTCAAACAACTCGCTGCGTGAAAACCGAGCAGTATTCTAACTGAGGCCTAACCAGTGTTTTATATCGGTTAATCATAACCTCCTGACTCTTGTACTCTGTGCCCCTAGTATCCCATATGCCCTTTTTACAGCTTTATCTCCCTGTCCTGCCACCTTCAAGGATTCATTTACCTGCCCCCCCCCAGGTCTCTCTGTTCTTTCACCCCCTTAAGATTGTATTTCCAGCCTATATTGCCTCCATTCATTCTTTCTACCAAAATGCATTACCTTGCAATTCTCCACATTGAAATTCATCTAACATGGCAAGGCAGCAGGAACAGTATAATTAATTTATTTAATTTAATTAAATTGTTTAATTTATATTGACGTGAGCAGGATTCACGGGCTGGAAATTAGCAATTTCAGGACAGACACCAGGAAGTGTTTCTTCACTCTATATAGAGAGAGTCACTCTATGTCTGTCCTTCGGTTGAGACCTTAAACCTGTCCAGGTGGACATTGAAGATCCTGTGACACTATTCAAAAAGAGAAGGGAGTTTCTCTCTCTTTCTCTCTCTCCTGGTGTCCCAGTCAACAATCCCCCAGGTAAAATCGGTCACTCACTCCGTGGCTGTTTGTGGGACGTTGTTGTGGGTAAACTGACTGCCGTGTTTCGCCCACAAAATACACAGTCACTACACTTTACAGTATATCCTGTGAAGCGTTTTGAAGCGGTTCGGGCAAAGTTAGGAGAGTGCGGATTACTTTGACTCTTGTCAGGATCGGTGCAATAATTTAATAAATATATATTTTTTCTATCTTAGGTTGAACCAGATGAGGCTAAATTGTACTGGGAAAGACTGTACAAGTTCTCCCTCCAGAAATGCAGTCACGCCTCATGGTAAGGGGTTTGCTCTGTTGCTTTAACTTCCATCGTGCGCACTTCCCTCTCTCGAACAAGATTATAATAACGCAGCACTGAGGCTAGAGTCCCTGTTTCCCCTCTTCTACACTCCTTTATTTCCCTCTCCTACACCGCTCTATTCCCCTCTCCCACATCCCTCTATTCCCCCCGCCTTATCCAAGGTAAAAAGCTCTAACCTGCCCACTGTTTCCTGCTAAGTTCTTTCCTCTCGATCCTGATTGCATCCCAGGAAATGGGGAACCTTTTGATCATTCGCATGTGCAAGTCAGTGCTGAGGCTGATGCGATTATTTCCCTGCGTCCTCTCCCTGTTCACCCTCAGGACCGGCAAGTGCAAGTTAGTGCAGCAAGGCAAGGACTGCTGTCAGGGAATGCGGATCCGCCATTACTACATGCTGTGCGGGGCGCTGCTGCGGGTTTGGAACAAGGTGGGAAACATCATGTCTGACGTCACGAGTTCCAGTCACTTACAGATTGTGCGGCTGAAAACCAAACACCAAAAGAAGCAAGTCGGTGAGTTCCGTGTCATTGCTTTCACCATTTACAAGGCAAAACTGTAGTCAAATCCTTACTTTACTCCACACACGCCCCTGTTTACCAGTTCAGCAGTCAGTAGGAACCGGTTGTTAGTTGATTGGAAGATCGCTTTTCCGGGTGTAATAATTCCTTCAAACAAAAAAAAATAATCTGGTGACTTCAATCCACGACTGTTTGTGGGGACAGACGCTGCTGTGCACCAATTGGCTGCCACGTTTCGCCCACAAAATACACTGTCACTACACTTTACCGTGTATCCTGCGAAGTGCTTTGAGACGTGATCAGGCGCCGTATCAAACGCCAGGAATATTGTCCTTGTTATCATTAATGTCATTGTTAATCTGCAGGTATAAAGATCCCCGAGAGCTGCGTGAAGAGAGTGATGGACGAGCTGAAGAAAATGCACAACGAGGTGAAAAAGAAGCACGAGGAATCACGGCTCCAGCTGCTGGCCAGCCAGGACCTGCAGCTCTCCCCAAACCCCGTACAGATGCCGTTACCGTTGCCGTTACCGGCCGTACAGCAGCCACCCTTCGCTAACGAGACTCAGATCCTGTCGGATTCCTTCGACCCTGTGCTGGTCCTGCAGGAACTGCTGGGAATCGGCTTCGACCTGGGGCACGAAGATCAACTGATCAGCCAGGACCGACAGTCAGTCATCCAGTTCGGGCAGCCCTCACACCTGTGGGACGCGGGCTGAGAGGGGCTGAGGACCAGCCAAGCCGCTCCACTCCGCTCTGCTGAAGTGCCTGACGCCAAAGTCAAACAGACCTTCTCCTTTCACCACCAACAAGGTCCAGGCTGGAAATTTTGACAACGTCATTGACTTTCCCCACGACAGTGCCTGCGTCTTAATCAACAAACAAAATACCGGGGACAAAGCTGTGCGTTCTCTTCGGAAGCCGTTCTTCTGTGAAGTTGGCTTCGAAGGCGGGTTTCCGCCAGCCTCGAATCGTCGAGTGGGTTTGGGTGTCACTGGAGACTTCCAAAGTTACCAACTCTCTAACCCTCTCTTCTCCCCCCCCCCCTCAACCCCCCGTCCTCAACCCCTCCCTCCTTCGCTCCATCGCTGTAGGTATCAGCGAGTTTCTCTGCAGGGATTTGCACAAGTGAAAGCTAATGAGGAAGGAGAAGGGGTTGTGGAGGAGAAACACAGCTAAACACAGGAAACTCCTGATAACCCCTCGCACCGAGGGAAAAGGGCTCAGTGAGGAGTTATCAGGAGTGACGTGTATGTATGAATACTCAACGCGGATGGGATACTGACTTAAGCGCGATGACTTAAGTGTCGGTGACAGGTTAAAGCCAGGGTCGAGTTACCAGGAGTTAACTCTTTAACGAGGTTCAACGGTTGCGAACTAAACCGAGTCCCAGCCGAGCGCAAGCTCCCTGCCCCCCCCGTCCTCCGCCCCCCCCCCCCGTCCCCCGTCCCCCAACGCAGAGTCCAGCAAAACGTGAGTGAAAAGTCTGCCTTTCTGAGAAAGAGAACCGTTTGTCTGTCTCCTCACCGTGTTACCTGCTGTCGGCACAACTTCTAAATCTCAAAAAAAAAAGCTCCTTTTCAAGGGGGATTTAAATAAGCGTTTAATTAACGGCGATGTACATTACAGCACAGTCAAACTATTCAGCAACTAACGTACTTCAACTAATTAACTGCACCCAACACACAGTGGGATCCCAACACACAGTGGGATCCCAACTTACAGTGGGATCCCAACACACAGTGGGATCCCAACTCACACAGTGGGGGGCGCAGACGGAGAGAATTAAAGTGCTGGACACAGGACCTGACTTGATAGGGGACACACCATTTGGGCAAAGTAGAGGCATTGCGGAATTTTAACTTATTTCCTTCATTCCATTGTGGATTTTCTTTTGTAAGTAACATTTTGTTTTAAACCTATCGTTTCTGTCGCGATTCTTTTTACTTTTCTTCCCCTTAATTTATATTTCTGTGACTTGTTCCCTTGTCCCTCTCCCCCCACCCCATCCTCTCCCCCACACCACCCCCATCCTCTCCCCCACACACCACCCCCATCCTCTCCCCCACACACCACCCCCATCCTCTCCCCCACCACCCCCACCGACCACCTCGTCGTCCGCAGGGGATCTGCAAATCCAAACAATTCCGAAATAGAAGCAGAGGAGGGGTTCAGTTCAGTTCTGGGGTGAGATTGTCGAGATTCCTGATCGCGGTTTTTTGATGTCATTGCAGCGTTTACTTGGGGTTCAGGGAAAATTCTCTGAATCCAGTGGTTAGACCGGGGTCAGGAGGGTGCGGTTGGTTGTTGGTTGTAAACAGCATCAATCTCTTTAATTAGTTGGTCATTAAGTGAGACGGGGACTCGACAATCATCAGCTGTCCACGTTGCACCTGATGGATGGGGTAATCAGTTGGGAGGGAGGGGGGGGTTTTGCTTAAGGAACTCTCCTTGAACCAAACTCGTTGTGTTGCGGTCGGGAGACAAACCCACGTCCAACACGTTGGGGGAACACGGGTGCATTTTACAGGAAAAAAGCAAAAGCCAAGCATCGAACCCCCCAAAACTACCCGTAACGCCGGAAAGCAAAGCTGCGCTAAAGTCACTGCGGTTTGGATGGGCTGAGAGTTAAAAGTGATCGAATTTTGAACGGTTCTATACTTTAAACGTCATTGACTGTACAGTGATGGCTTTTGGCTCATTCCCCTCAGGGCTCAGTCTCTGCAGATCCACCAACTGTGTGTACTCACCCGGTCCTGTTGTGCTGAAAGGAACCCCGGACACAGGTCTGCGTGTGTGTGGGGGGGGGGGGGGCAGGTGGTGGGGGAGGAGGTGGTGGTGGGAGGAAGAGAAAGTGAAATGAAAATTGATCCAATTTTTCCACCGACTCCACATGATATGACCCGACAAATCGATGTTATATCGTGAGTCAACTTTTAACGTAAATTTTAAACAAAAGATTTTTTTTTAATTCAGGGACTGCTGCAAAGCTTTTTTTTAAAAAATAAATAAAGAAGAAACCTGCTTTAACCTGCCATTAGACAAATTTGGATGCACTGTATTATTATTATTAGAAACCCAAGATTAATTGCTATGTGCCCTTATACTACTATCAGAGTATTCTAATTAGGATAGAACACAAATACCAAAGTATTCTCCATCTTACGTTGCCTGGTATAAATTTCTCTGTCTCAGGAACAGATCCGATGGCCCCCTTTTTTCTACCTTTTGTATATCAGGGTTCTCGACGTGAATTGAACATTCACGTTACTTTTTTTTTTGTTCGTTCATTAAAAACAGTACATTTTGACTTTTTTACATAAATTATTTTGTTAAACCAATGTGGTTCTATTGATTGTAGCTATTGTATATGCTGTGGGTATTTGTAAACAATGCAAGCACTTTGCCTACTTACAATTTTACTGGGTTTTGTCTTTATTTTCTATGTGTATTTATAAGTGTAGGAAATGAAGTGGTATACAGTATATGTAAAAAAAATCAAAATGTGCCTTAAAACTAATTATTCTTAATTTTCTACTTTTGTCGACAGAATATAGTAGCATGCTTTCAATTTTATGATAAAGACTATTTTCTTTTATATATATATATATAACTCGCAATTCAGTCTCTGAATGTACGTGTGCTTTTGTTTTCGGCATTTTTTTTGTAATATATTAAAAGAGAACGTCTACTTGATACTTAATTGTCGAACAGTCATTGTTGGTACCAAACAATATCAATATGGTCTCCCAAAGCCCACAAGACAGTTGCACTAAAGATTGTTTGTCTTATGATGCAATATTCTCATTTTGCAGCAATAAAGGTTGCGTAAATCTGCTTGTCTTGGGCTGAAAGTGTTTTTCGGTTATGCCTCCGCCAGTGAGTGGCAGATCGGGTCTGGAATGTCGTGTCCTCTGCAGTTTTTTATCATTCCGAACTTCCTTTTCCCTCCAATTGAAAAAGCGTCAAAGATGGCCTTCATTTACACACACCCTTCACGTAGGACAACACATTATATATTTATATTGTGGTATCAAGGGATATAATAATACTTGTGTTTGACATAGTGCCTGATCACAACAAAGCACTTAATATGAGGCAAGTGTAATTGGACTTGAGGTATCGATCACCCATGATCTAATAGGATGATGGAACAGGCTCAAGGAGCTGAATGGCCTCCTCCTGCTCCTACGACTCACCAGCTTATCCTACGTTCTACCGCTTCCAATTGCCAAGTACTGTTCCCCAGTCTCGACCGGAGCAAAAACACCTACTAAAGATTCACGGAAATTGGGAATTTAATTCCATTAATAGTGGCCGAGTTTACATTTTTATAAACTGAAGCTCACCAGTTGGAGAGTTTGGGGTAATATTTTATTTTACAAACTGTATACAGGCAAGGATCCAAGAGGCCCAAATGATGCAGGAAAAAATTAATCCAAAAAGCATAATATAATGGAGACACAGACTGCTGAATAGGAAATCCCAACCAAAAAAAACTCAAAGACAGCGTTATATACACCAGCGTTCGAACGCCCAGGGGGTTGCACGCCACTGACATCCGGTTCACCTTCCCTTACGTCACAGGTTTAAAGGCAGACCATCATTGGTCTGGGCTGAAACACTGATCTATACAGTTAGTGCAATGAGCTTGGCTTCGGATGCAAATCCACCAGCTTCTTCATCTCATCTATAGGAAATTGGGAAGATCCTTTTCAACGACCTGTGTGAAAAGAGGAAATGTGAAGGTACAAATCAAGCTCAGTGTCTGCCTTGACCTACAATTACCATCAGGGGTTTAAACCTCACCAAAAAAGGTCAGCATTTATGAAGAATTGTGTTGACTTTCTCATCAAGTCTGCAGCCAAAGTTTCCCTGTGCTCTTCTGGACTGGGCCATTAACACATCAGACTCCATCCAGCCAAATGATTCCCATCCTCTGCCTCTATCTTACCAATAGGCAGTAAGAACTATTAAGTTTTTTTTAAATCAATTATAAATACCCATTTTGGGGGATTGGAATTCCAAAATGGGTGAGAAAAAAATTCAACAAAATCTATTTTCATAAAAAACATCTTCACTGGTGCTAACAGGAAATGGTGTGTTGAGCTTTTAGAGCGAATTACTAAACTGTTAGCGTGTGAGCAAACAGGGAATATTGCCAAATTCGGAGAGGTGGTGTTAGGGGAGGGGGGGGGGGGATTGTGGGTCACTGGGAAGGCAATTCCAACAAAGAAAAAGAAGTCAGGACAATCCTTGTTTAAACTAACTTGCTTTTCCATTTACCTGATTCTTTTCTCTCCTCCACTGGTCTCTGTCTAAATTCTTTCAAAGTCTTTCAGTTTCCTCTCCTGTCGGGTCTCTCACTGAATAACTAGCCGAGGACCTTTTGGACCAAGCTTTCCTACTCAGAAATACAAAACCAAACTCTTCACGTCTGACAAACTCTATCCCTCTCTACACCGGAACCGCAAGTCAAACCTGAGTGATTAGCGATGCGAACGGAGGTTAGTTGGTGACGATAGCAGCAAGTTTTAATAGTCCAGCCCAGGAGGAAATCCCCACTCAGTTCCTCATTGAGGCACATTCACTTGCGAAGTGGCTGAGTGCTGGTCTGACTAAACCTGAAGTTACTTAACATGACACTGGCCTATTTTAATCGTTTGATTTAGGAAACCAGAAACCAAAGCCATCACAGATCCCCAGATGCCTGGATTGGGACTGCAACTCTCCACTGTTACAACCCATTAAATAAAATAAAATTAAAATCAATGTTACGGTTCACACAAAGAATGGCAGGTTGTGATGTGCTTACCTGAGGGTCATCAATAGGAGAATATCTCTTAACAACCTGACCTTCACGATTAATCAGAAACTATAGAGAAAAAAAACACAAGTTTATGTCAGTCACCAATCATCCACTCAGCGAGCGCACGGATTAATAAAATTCAGGAAAAACAGGATGGTTTCCGTGTATTCCTGTCCCCCAGCAGCAAATGGGAGGAAATTTAGTAAAACTGGGAACCAGTAGAGAAACCCATAGCAGTAACTGCCCCAACCCAATCGGAACCCATCCCGAGGGTCAAAACTCTGCTTTTTAATCGCGGTTTCTTATGCGGGAGGAAGAGAGGGAGGAGCACACGGGACATTGAAACATTGCTGCGTTACCTTAGTGAAGTTCCACTTGATGGCACTGTCAAGAAAAAAGAAAAAAAGAAATGTGATGTTTTTTTTCCAGGAACGAAAATCAGAGTTGTTTAAAAGTATTGACATTGCTGCGGTGGTTCAATCTATGAGCTGAATGGAGACCGGGTGAGACCAACATAGCACTGGGTCCTCAGCCCTGAGACTAGGTTCAAGCCAAGCCCACAATAAAGGGACAGCACCTCTCTCCAGATCGGAGAAGGAGGGTGTTTGGGTGCAGTAAATGATACCTCTCCTTCTATCCCCCATAACTTGCCTCCTCCTGTTCCCAAGTTCTTATTTAAAAGCCTAAATGTTTTAAAAACAGAAACAAAATGAAGACAAGCTCTGTTAAGTATGGACAGAGGAGACACTCTGGCCCCTCTCCAGGCGAGCACACACAAGCTGGTAATCTTGCTATTAGGATGTGACGGACGAGGAGGGGATGGGTTTGACAGAGCTCCTGTCTCCACAGAGGCCAATGAACAGTTTGCTGGTTACAAAGCTGTGAAGATGACTTACTTCCCGAGGGTGCCTTTACCCTTCGGCTGATCTTTCAACCATTTCCAGAGTGGGTGTGCGTTCTCTCCGTTCACCTCAACCTTACTGAACATGTCAAAGTTCACATCGAAGCCTTTGGCAAACTCTTTAATCTCTGCATTACTTCCAGGTTCCTTCACAAATCAAAATGTGTGCGCGGGGTGGTGGGGGGGGGGGGGAAGGAGGGGAAGGATGAGAGGGAAAAAAAAAGTTAAGCAACTTTCAGGTTAGAAGTGTAAATTCAGTTGGTGATGTTAATCATAATAATTCTGATATAGCGCCTTACTACATCTTCAAGATGCCTCAAAGAGCTTCACAGAATATACTGTAATGTGAATTGACTGTATATTTTGTGAGCGAAACGCGGAAGACAATTGCGCTCAGCAGTGTCCCACAGTTGTGGATTGAGTGACCAAATTATTATTATTTCAAAATTTATTATGAAATGTGAAATTAGTTCCACTGAAATAGTTTCCAGATGGACAATCATTCTGATCACTGTCATTACCCTGTGGTAACCTCACACCTCTACCCTCTGAATGAAGAAATGTTTTCTCAACTCAGTTCTGAAAGGCTGACCTTTAATCCGGAGATGATGACCCCTAGTTTTAGATTCTCCAACCGGGGGAAACAATCTCACACTATCTACCCTGTCAAGACCCTTAAGAATCTTATAGGTTTCTATAAGATCACCTCTAATTCTTCTATATTCTAGAGAATATAGGTCTAGTCTACTCAACCTCACCTCGTAGGTCAACCCCCTTATCCCAGAGAAACCAATCTAGTAAATATCCTTTCTTAGATAAGGAGACCAAAACTGCACACAATATTCCAGGTGGGGACTCACCAAGGCCTTATACAACTGCAGCAAGACTTCCCTACTCATGTACTTTGCAATAAACGCTAACGTGCTATTAGCCTTTCTAATTGCTTGCTGTACCTTTCTGTGACTGGTGTACAAGGACACCTAAATTCCTCTGAGTACTACCTAGTCTCTCCCCCTCTGGAAAATAATCTGCTTTTCTATTTTTTTCTACCTAGGTGAATAACTCCCACATATTATACTCCATCTACCATCTTCTTGCCCACTAACTTAACCTATCTATATCCCTTTGCATCCTCCTTGTGTCCTCTTCACAGTTTACTTTCCCACCTAGCTTTGTAAGGAGAGATGATCTGGACTTTAACCAGCTTAGAATCTAGACCACCACCATGACTACCCCTCTATCCCCCAATCCCCACCCAACTAACCTCGATGATTCAGGCTTTCACAACAATCTCACATAATCACCTAAGACAGTGAACAGCTCAGAAGAACCTAAACAGGTTCTTCTTTCAGAATATACTCACTCTTTCTCACTCAAATGCATACACACACTCTCCCTCTTTCTCGGTCACTGACATAGACACACACAATCTCTCTGTCACACACACTCTCTCTCACACAAGGCTATTTGACTGCCGGTATTAACCACAGCTCACCTGTTTCCCGAACTGGTTACACGGGAAACCAAGGATGCGTAAACCTTGCTCAGCAAGCTTGGCGTGCATTTTAGCGAGCTGAGTGTAGTTTACTGCAGTCCTTCCTCATTTGGATGCCAGATTGGTTATAATGCAGACAAGCCCCCTGAATAGACAAAAGAAAGATAAAGGTCTGGCTTACTGATGGATAAAATTAGGCAGTAAATCGATATACTCTGAGAACTGTCTGGGGAAGTGAGAAGGTCATAGAATCCAGTGACCACATTCGCTCACCTGTACTTCTCTAGCGAGACATCGTTGCCCTCTATGTCCGTCACAGTGAATTCGTAGATGGATTTGGCTGCCTTCCAGTCTGCTGGTTGTGCACTCTGAAAGGCAAAGGTAAACCATGAATAACAGTTGAAAATAGCTGGAGAAAAAACAAACTAACTGTGGAAGTGACCGCGACAAACAAAAGGTCGACTTGTACATGTCGTGCGCAGACTAGGCTTTTGAGCACCGCCCACACGATAGGAACCTGGAGCTCACTCCAACCACCAGCATCTCCAAATATGACCTCATGCATTCAGACAAGACTGAGTTTGTATTAACATCTGGACGGTCACCAACCGTTTACACAAACATCGGGCAACGAGGGCGGGAGATACGCAAGCAATGTCTATTAGCTCATCCACCCATTCTGCCTCGCGCGACCCCACTCTCCAGACAACCAGACTTTGCCCACGCAGATTTTGAAACCCAGATCAGGTCATGACAACTTTGGAATCGATGGGATGCTCGTAGCCGCCAGATAGACGTCTGTTTTCAAATTCAGAGTGATAACATGTTATCCCTGAACTGTGAGTTATATTTAATACCGAAGATATCTCTGGAAGTGTGCCCTCCTGCACCATAACTCACACATGGAACGGCTCTGAGTGAAGATACCAACAATGTCTCAAGTAACTGGGAAATTCTCAGCTTCGCTCGCACTTTGATGCAGAGTCCATTAATGTCATAACACTGGTACAGGCTGTGAGTCTCAACGCTGAGACGTTCACAAAACACACACCGCGGACGAGTTTCCGACTGCAGCTCCCTGAGGCTTTACAGCAGGGAAGGGGGTTTGTCTTTCTCTCTTCCCCCGTCCGTCCCCCCCACCCTCCCAGCTGTGACCTTCTGCCCAAATTGTTCCGTGCTGCATTCTAATACTCACCGACTGTTAACACAGCCTGAGATTTATTAGGATTGCAGGCAAAAGCTGCCCAAACCAATTTAGCTTCAACAAGCCACACGTGCGCTCCAACGCACAGCGGCCCTCGCTGCTCAGAGAGAGATAGGGTCACTAATCAGAGAGATCACACCGCTCCGAGGGGGGGGGGGGAGAGGGGCCAACATTCACAGACGAGGTGGCGGGAGCAAAGGTTCGACTCTTGTCTAACCTCGAGACTGTGATTAGCTAAGACACAGGGGCCGCCCCGTGCGCTCCCGGCTCTTTTAAGTCGCAGTTCTGCCAATTCAGCAAACATTCGTTTCGGGGTGTTTTTTTTTAAAAAAAAAATACACATATATACATATATATTGATACTAAAAGCAGAAATAACTGCAGGGCAAGCGAAAGCTCACGGCTCTCTGGTGGTGAGTCAGCGAGAGACCGTCCCGAGCGTTCCCATCCCCGCTCTGCACCAAGTTGACGAAGCTTCGATTTAATTATCAGTGCTAAGCTTTGGACTTTGGTATCGGCGGCGCCTCGGGACTAATCCTCGCATTCGACACAGCGCTTGTGCAAACCGTGCGAGAAGGGCAAGAAATAAAGACAATTAAACAGTCTCTCCCCACCCCCCCCCACCCACCCCCACCCGTCCCAGGACCAGAGAGAGAGAGGGTGGGGTGGGGCAGTGCAAGTGATCTCAGGCTTAAAATGAAATGAAACACTGCAGCTCCCACAGGCTGATGGCAATAATAATAATAATAATAATAATCCGTGCGGTTGACTGGGGGCCCCTTATCATGTCTTGGAGACGTCTCAAAGCGCTTCACGGGACGCACGGTCAAGTGTAGTGACTGTGGGCGGAACGCGCCGGTAAAAAAAAACGAATAAAATATATTTCGGCGCAACATTGAAGGATAACAACGATGACCGTCACCACATAAACGGATCGCAGTCAGAACACCGCCGTCGTATCGCACGACGTTGCAGTGGAAACATAAAAAAATAACAACCGCGCGCGACAATGACAGAAATAACAAAACACCGCGAAAAAAAAATAACAGCATTAACAATAGTAATAATATAACAACAATAAGATAATAATAATAATAATAATAATCCGTCCCATTTGATATCGCGTCCCTATCAGAAACGTCTCTCTCTCTCTCAGCGATAATCTCCGGCGATAATCTGTTTAACTGAGTCACGAGGCCGGAGATTGCGGTCCCGGGGATTGCGGTCCCGGGGGGGGGGGGGGAGGCCGGGGGTTGCGGTGTGTGTGTGGGCGCCGGTCTGAAGGGCATCTCTCGGGCCCGATACGGGCGGCGGGAGAGCAGCAGCAGCGGCCGGTGGTGAGGGGCTGAGGGGGGACCCGGTGAGGGAGGGAGGGGGGGAGAGGCGGACAGTAACCCGCCACCCTGACTGACTGACTGACTACCCGCCCCGCCCGCCCCAGCCCCTACCCGCTGCCCCTCTCACCATGGCCGCCGTTGCCCTCGGTCCCCGCAGCACAGCCGCCCCCAACAGCAGCAGTAACCGCCCGCCCTCCCGCAGCGCCGCGCGCATTTATCATCGCTCCCGCCCTCCCGCCCGCCCGCCCGCCCTCGCGCTGCGTCGCTGCGCGCGCGCGGCCGCCTGTGATTGACAGCAGCAGCAACCACCCGCCTGACAGCGCCGCGCGCACCGGCCTATCTCCCGCCCGCCCGCCTCGCGCTGCGTCGCGGCGCACGCACGCACGCACGCACGTACGCACGCATCCGGCCTGTGATTGGCGGCCGCCCCGCCCCGCCCCCTCCTCGCGCGGCCTCTCGTCACGTCACGTCTCGCGTCTGAGCGCATGCGCGGCCATCGGCGGGTCGCGGCTGAGGCTCACGTGCGCCTGCGCCGTACAGCGCGCGCCGGGAGGTGGCGGTTTCCCGTGCGTCCGCCCTCTCCCCACACAGACACAGACCCTCACACACACACACACACACAGAGAGACAGAGACTGAGAAAGGATGGATGACGAGGAGGAGACCTACCGCCTGTGGAAGATCCGCAAAACCATCATGCAGGTGCGGGGGGGGCTTAACGCGAGGCCGAGGCTTGGGCCTGGCCTCTGGGGCCTGGAGAGAGAGAGAGGCCGTCCTGAGCTTTACTTACCATTATAACAATAATAAACGTGTGTGTGTGTGGGGGGGGGCGGGGGGGGAGGGGTGTGGGTTGGGGGGGAGGGTTGGGGGCTTGGGGGGGGGGGGGGGGTTGGGGGGGAGGGTTGGGGGGGGGGGGAGGGAGGGTTGGGGTGTGGGGGCTTGGGGTGGGGGAGGGTTGGGGGGGTCACACAGGTAAATAATAAATCTATAATAAATAATAGTTTCAGCTCCAGTCTTCCCGCGCAGCACTGATCTTAGCCTCCGACGAGGACCAGGGGAGCGGCAGCCACGCTCTCAGCTGCCTCCATCCATCCTTGTGCATTTCTCGCCCACACAAATACAGTCCCCGTTGAACTTCGCAGTATATTCTTTTGTAGACGTCGAGAAGGTGTCTGTGTTGATCAGCGGTTAATTAGCCAAACTGTGAAGTAAATGCACTGGGATGTGTTCTTCCAGAGCAGGACAGGATCAGCGAAACGACGACGATGTCCTATCCTTTTCTATAATTTGCAGCTTTGCCACGACCGGGGGTACTTGGTCACGCAGGACGAGTTGGATCAGACGCTGGAGGAGTTTAGGAATCAGTTTGGAGATAAGCCGAGCGAGGGCCATCCTCGGCGATCAGACTTGACGGTGCTTGTTGCTCATAACGATGATCCCACCGATCAGATGTTTGTTTTCTTCCCAGGTACACAAAGCCGGTTCCTAGGGGTAGCTTTTCCTTTCAGTTTACGCTTTATTCTTTCTCTTGCTCTCACACCCCCCACCCCACACACACCACCACCACCCCCCCCCTGCCCCCCAGTTAATGCTGTGGTTGTTGGCTGGGACAGGAACAGTACAGTAGACAATAATGTTTAGTGAACACTAACCTTCACCATTGTTTTCTGGTATTAACAAATGATGATTTGTTGTACAGAGGAGCCTAAAGTTGGGATTAAAACCATCAAGATGTATTGCCAGCGCATGCAGGAAGAGAACATCACCAGAGCTATCATTGTGGTACAACAAGGAATGACCCCATCAGCCAAACAGTCCCTCGTTGACATGGCTCCCAAGTACATCCTCGAGCAATTCCTGCAGCAGGAACTTCTGATTAACATCACAGAACACGAGGTGAGCTCCGCAGCGATTCAGATGCTCCGGGCCCATTGCGTCTCTGTTTTCCCGTCCGATTTGCAGGGAAACTCTTCACATTAAAAAAAAGTGGAAACAACAACAACAAATCTACATTTATACAGCGCTGTTCACATCAGGAGGACGCCTGTAGACTATGGAACATGTCCATAGTTTGAATATCCACACCATGTGTGAAGGGTGCTCTATAAATGCAAATTGTTGTCGTTGTCAATGTAACGGAAAGAGTCTGAATCACTCTTAATTCACTTCCATTTGTAGCTGGTTCCAGAGCATATAGTGATGACCAAGGAGGAGGTGACAGAGTTACTTGCACGATAGTATCCTTTGTTACAGTGGACGCCACACAGACAGCACAGACATTGCTTGGGCTCTTAAAACACTGGGTGACAGTAATTGTGGTGCATTAGCATAATGTGGTCACTCAATCCACGACTGTTTTTGGGATACTGTTGGGCGCAATTGGCTACTGTGTTTCGCCCACAAAATAGACAGTCACTACACTTTACAGTATATTCTGTGAAGCGATTTGAGACATCTCGAAGATGTGATAAGGCGCAATATCAAATGCAAGGAATATTATTATATACATGTCTTAACTATGGTTCCCAGCAAACTAAAGGAAAGCCAGCTGCCTAGGATACAAGCTGGTGATCCTGTGGCCCGATACTTTGGATTAAAAAGAGGACAGGTACGTATGTGACTGCTGTGGATCAGCAGCTCTCATTCTGTGGAATTCGAGGGTTCCATATAATTTCCAACACATGGAAATTTCCCTATGTCTAAGACAGAGCACTCGCTCTCTCTTCCCCCACCCTAAAGAGTGGGATGCATCCTGCTTTCCTTATCCCAGAAAGTAAAGGTTAAGCATCAAATATAACTTACATTCTCTCTTTGTAACGATTCTCAATCCACGACACTGGTGTATTAAATAACTTCCTTATTCTCCACTCCCAACAATTCAATAATGCAGCCATAAACCCACACTCCAGCATCCTTTTATACTTCCTGCTTCTATTGTCATTGGCTCTTTCTTAAGGGATTTTTGCTTCTTTTACAAAGGATATCCTTTTGCTTGTTTTTAGGTTATTAAGATTATCAGACCCAGCGAAACTGCAGGAAGGTACATAACCTACAGATTGGTACAGTGACCCGTGCTGTGAGTATCTTGGAAGAACATGTCCCAGTGAGATTTCACCCTATTTATTGATTGTAACGTTTGGTTAGGGGGTAAAGCTAATGAGTGCAAAGGAGGTGATCTGTTGAGTCCATTACAACAGAGAAAATGACTGTAAATATAGAGGCTGGAGCTGAAATGATTTGATGTATTGCTGAGGGAATGTGCAGTGGACTAGATTTAGCTCACCGTTTTCAGAAGGCAGCGGAGAAACCAAGCCCTTATCTCTCTCTCTCTCTCATTGTCACAGGTGCGCTGATTTGCCCCGATTCATTGGCAAAGGGAGTCTTTTGGTTAGTTCTATAACCAACCGTATGGGACTTGAAATTTACCTTTTTTTTAAAAAATGAACAGCTTGGTGCTCGTGTGTTGAGATGGCGGAAACGGCCGTTTATACCGATGACAAGAAAGTGAATCGCCATTTAGTCTTAAAGTTCGCATTTTAATAACTCGCTTTTACACTGCATTATGTCATCACGGTTAATAAAGTGAAAGAGCAGCACAAATGTCTGACAGCGCTGTGTTGTTTACATCACACAACGTACTTCTACAATACTTCTACAATCAGAGGTGCCATACATAACATAACATAACATGTAGGAGCAGGAGGAGGCCATTCGGCCCTTCGAGCCTGCCCCGCCATTCAATCATGGGTGATCATCTAATCTAACTCCAGCTAATAACCTGACCCTGCCTTACCCCCATATCCCTTAATCCCTTTTGCAATAAGAAATCAATCTATCTCAGTCTTGAATATGTTCAAGGACTGAGCGTCAACAGCCCTTTGGGGTAGTGAGTTCCATACATACAGAGGAGACATTGAACCAACGTCCCGTCCATCTGTGTCCATTCAAGTGGACGTTAAAAATCCCACGAAAAGCGATGGCAGTTTCTCTGACAAACAAAACCCATCCAATTCAGTCATGAAACTGTGTCCCTAAAGGGTTAACAGCCTGCAAAGAGAACTAGAGCTGAAAGCTTAAAACAACCCCAGTGCACAAAATACACAGTCACTACACTTTACAGTATATTCTGTGAAGTAAGCGCTTTGAGACGTCTCAACAACGCGGTAAGGCGCTGTATCAAATGCAAGGATTATTATTAATTACTGTTGTTGTAAAACTTAACTTGGATACAAAGGTGAAGTGCAACACGGAACACCAAGGGCAGTGGGGCTAATTATCTGGGAAAGGTCCAAATAGCCGGACTGTTAGGAAATCGATGTCTGTCTCTCTGTCTGTGTCTCTGGGCTCTCTCTGTCAGTCTGTCACATCGATGATGAATGGGGTCACGTACTCGGAGTGCCTGACCCCCAGTGAGAAAGCGGGGACACTGGGCTTGTGGAGGTTGACCTTCTCCGGTCTGTGGGCCCCGGGGCCCGGTCTCTGTGCGAGGTTCCGGGGCTCCGGGCCGCGGCCGAGCATTGAGTAGGCTGGGGGCCGGCGCAGGTACACACTGGGGTCCGTGCTGTTGTACTTGCCGGGTCCCGGTGTCTTGGACAGATCCTCGGCAAAGCCGCCGGCCTGGACTCTGCCGGATACGGTGTAGCTGGCGCTGGCGGGTTTGGTGGGGACGCGGGGGCCGAGCAGTGAGGGCAGAGTGTAGCGATTGGGGGCCGGGACGCTGTCTAGTTTCCGGTACTTGGTGCGGGAGCCCATGGAGTAAGCGGGAGGTCGGTGCTCGTTGAGTGGGGGGCCGCTCGGAGCACTGTACGCTCCTGGCCCAGGGGTCTCGGGCACCTGAGGGAGGTCTGAGCAATACAATTAATTAGTAACAGTAACTGGATGGCACTGCACTGTGAGAGGGCGCAGGTTCCACAACAGCTTTAAAAACGGAATTGGATCAGTACGGAAAAATGTGCAGAGCTGTGGGGATGAGTTGGTCTGTGTGAGTGAGCGTGGGTCTGTGTGGGTGCGTGTCTGTGGTTGTGTACATCTGTGTCTGCTTGTGTAGATCTGTGTGAGGGTGGGTGTGTGTGTACGTATGTCTGTCTGTGTGTGTGTGTGTATACGTGTGTGACAGACTGTGTATGTGACCTCTCCCTGGGGCAATCACAATAACTTAACGAAGGTAATACTTACTGGAATGTTTTGCTCGGCCTAACATGGAGTAAGCTGGAGTTCCGTTTTGACCGAATCGTGTGATTTTCGGGTCCACGTAATACTGGGGTCCTGGGCTGCAGTCACTGTAATATACTGAGCACAGAGAGAGATACACAGAGACAGACAGAGATACGCAGAGACAGAGTCACAGTCTAATCCACATCGAGTCCCACTCCACCTTCCACTCGGCTGTTTCGCCCGGGACATCACTGTGTGCAAATCAGCTGCCGGGTTTCGCCCACAAGCCACACACAGTCACTACACTTTGCAGTGTCTCCCGTGAAGCGCTTTGAGGTGTGTTCTCCGGATGTGGGAGACGGGCGCTGGGTATGAATGTGTTGTACGTGTTGTTTCTCCGCATTTACATTTCTCGATCCCGTGAGTTTTTTTAAACATTGTGACATCTCCACAACATTCCCTCCCGGTCGCCCTGTTCACGAGTGACGGGATAACTGGGATTCAGGGGAAGAGGTTTAGACCTTCTGAATGAGCGTCTGGCGGAGCGTAAGGGAGAGGTCACATACACGGTCTGTCACACACACACACACACACAGACTGACCCACACAGACACATACATTGACACACACAGACTGACACACTCAGACACATACACGGATGCACACACACTGCATGGCGGGTGGGGAGGGGGGGGTTGGCAGGGATGGCTGTGCTCAGGGCTCGTGAGAGGAGAATCTCAGACACTTACGTGCGCTCGTGTGTTTCTTCCCAAACGAGTACGCGGGGTTGGCATGTCTGGTGAAGTCGTGACCCACAGAGCCGATGGTTGGGGGCAGCGCGTATCTCCCGGGGCCAGGCCCTGTAAGCACAACAAGAAAACAGTCAGATTTATGGGGCTGAGACACCCCACCTCACATCGGGAGGACGTCCCAAAGCGCTTCACAAATGTGAATGTGAATCTGAATGTGCAGTGGAGTCGCTGTGTGTTTGAGGGCAATTTTGCACCCAGCGACGTCCCACAAACAGCTCTATCGATCCAACGAAGGGAATGTGGGAGAATAATCGTCACGCTTACCAGGGAACGTTTCAGATCAGGAGGACGTCTCAAAGTGCTTCACACGAGGCACACGGTAAAGCGTAGTGACCGTACTAACCCGGCAGCTGATTTCCGCACGCCATACGCCCTGTGTAACAGTGACAGAGAGTTCACACAAGCCCCCCGCCACCCCCGCTCCCCCAGCACTAAATAGGAACCTGGTTGGCAGATGGCTGAAAGTAATAATTGCTTAAAAAAAAAATGGGTCACTCAATCCACGGCTGGGACGCTGCTGTGTGCAATTGACTGCCCACAAAGTATACAGTCAATTCACTTTATATTCTATGAAGCGCTTTAAGACGTCTCGAAGATGTGATAAGGTCAAATGCTAGGATTATTATTATTATTATTTAGACTAACGCAGGTGGGAGGTTAGTGCCACTGACCTCTCTCGTGGGCAGCAATTCTGGGCCGGAGTTTATCCGGTGTCTCTCCCATTCCTTGCTCCTCTCTTGGAGATGTCGAGAATTCCTGGGAAGAGGCTGGAGACGCAGAGACCAGGCAGAGGGAATGCAATGCTGTGCCGGGCGATGATGTGCGTGGGGGGGTGTGGGTGGAACGGTACAAGAGGTGCTGTCTCCAACAACCATCGCGTTGTCATGGAGCCTGGCTCACACACAGCTCGTCCAGGCATAGAGTTACACACACTCTCCTGATCCACCGCCCATCACACACCTGCTGTCTCCATCCCACTGTCACACAGTGAATATAACACAGGTTCAATGTGCACACACACGCATACACACATGCACACACGCACTCACATGCACGCGCGCACACACACACATATACGCAAAAGAAATGTGACTCAATCCGCGAATGTTTGCGGGACACTGCAATACGCAATTGGCTGCTGCATTTCGCCCACAAAATACACAATCACTACACTTTACGTTACACTTTCTGAAGCGCTTTGGGATGTCTCGACGAGTTGATAGGGCGCTATAACAAATGCAAGGATTATTATTATTAGTAGTATTTCTATTATCATCAGGACTTTAAGCTCAGGCTGCCACCCCACTGCAGTAATGGGGAGGGGGAGTGAGACAATAAACCGAGCTCTCAGGCTGTGCCCTGTTCAGGTGGACGTAAAAGATCCCACGGCGAGACTCAAAAAGAGCAGAGTTTCTCTCTCTCTCTGTGTCCTGGCCGACAATCCCCGTTTCCGCCCCCCACCACCACCGATAAAATTATCATTCACCTGATGCGTTTGCTGTGTGCAAATTGGCTGCCGTGTTTGCCCACGAAACACACAGTCACTAAACTCTACAGTGCAGGCTTGAGACATTCCCACCCTGTGTGTATAAATGTAAATTGTTGCAGGTGATTGGTGTGATATTGTCACTGTGAACGGCTGTGTGGAATGCGCCTCGGCTGGTAACAATGCCTGTGCAGAATAAATGACAAGACGCATCCATTATTAAACAGGCCAGTAATATAATATCAGGAAAATAATAATCCATTTCTGCTTTCCTCTCCCAAACCAAAGAACAAATGCAAAAGTAGAGCTAGGCGATGGTGAGGTGAGCAATTTCCTCATCCATCTCAGTGCATAGACAGACACACAAACACTTACACACACACACACAAACTTGCACAAATACACACACATTTACATACACACACACAAACGCGCACACACACACAAACTTACAACAACTTGTATTTATATAATGTCCCTCATGTGGGATAGCGTCTCAAAAGCGCTCACACACGATATACACACACGTATGTTTAGAAACACACACAGATGCACCCACAAGCACTTACACACAGAGGCACAGACAGACACAAACACTCAGACGCACACACAGAAAAAAATATTATTTATATAAATCGCTGTTACACAGAACAAATGTTTTCCCATAAAAAAAATCCCTCCCCAAATAATAATCCCCAAAAAGCCCGCACAGTGAGTGAGTGTGTGTATGTGGGTGGTGTGTGCGTGTGTGGGGGGAGTGGGGGTGTTTGTGGGTGGGGGGGGTGTACAAAAAATTAAGGTGTCATTGAATTGCTGAGAATTCTTACGACACCGGATTTAACCCGGGAACCAAATAGGCTTTTCCTGTCGTGATCTCCTTACGAATCCACTCCCCACTGCACATCCCAATCCCGATGTCCCACCAGACAAATTCCTGATTTCCAGAGTAGAACAGTCTATGTTTCCAGGTGCCGGACATTGTTCGATTGGTTGGTGTTAGACTCCACCAGGGCAGGGGTGGGGCTGGAGCCCTGGGGGTCTCCTGGGAGCCCCTCGCTCTCCCCCCCATCGCCCCCGAGGCCGGAGTTTCCGGGATGATCCTCAGTCTGTGACAGATCGGGATCCGAGTCGGGATCCTGTAGGTTTCCGGTAACAGCCTCTTCCTCCTCCTCCTCTTCCTCCACACCGTCCGTGCTGCTCACGCTGGTCTGCTCAGCCCCCCGGACCCTCGCTCCCGATCCCGGCCCAGACACTCCGCTTTCCGAGGCTGCGTCGTCCAACTCCGAGTCCGAGTCCAGAGAGCGTTCCCGGGACCCCAACGATCGCTCTGATCCCTGAGAGTTTCCTGGGAAAAGTAGAGCAAGCAAAGTTTCAAACAGTCACTACACTTTACAGTGTATTCTGGGAAGCACTTTGAGACATCTCAATGATGTGATAAAGAGCCGGGGGGGGTGCGGGGGGAAGGGCACGTGTATTGGGGTGGGGGCTGTTTGTGTGTATGTGTATGAGGGGGGCTGTATGTACATTGGGAGGGTGTGGGGGGAGCTGTATGTGTATGGAGGGGGATGTGTATGGAGGGGGATGGGGTGTGTGGGGGTGGGGGGTGCTATCTTACCACACTGAGGGTCCACCCTGTCGATGGAGGACAGTCTGTCTCTGGGAAACTCGGACGCCTTGTCCAGACCCGGCGAGTCAGCGGCTGATTGTGTTGGAGCTGGTGAGGAGTCGGCCTGGAGAGTGACCGCGAGATCAGATCAGTCACCGCAGCTCAGAGTACAGACTACTAACGTTTGAACAAAGGTTCTTACACCAACAAAGGAGGCCATTCGGCTGTGCTGGAGCTCTCACTCCCCTGCCTTCTCCCCCCACCCCCACCGCATCCCCCCCCCAACCCACTCACCCACACCAACTAAACCAGTCAGTGAGTGACTCAATGAAACCAGTTGGTACATAGGAAACATTCAGCCCCTCGAGCCCATTCTCTTCGCTCACGGCTGATCTGTATCTCAACTCCAATTACCCGCCTTTGCCCCATATCCTTGATCCCGACCCCACAAACACCAACTCAACAGAAGTAAGGTTCATACGTAAAACCTACATGAACCCTCACCTCCTCAATCCCCTCCTGCCCCCCACCCCCCCGTCTCACCTCGCTGTAACCCTCACTCGGGCTCTTTTGCTCCGAGCTGTCGCTTTGGCCCCCGGGGGTCGTGGCCAACTCTCTCTCCTTCACCTCGAAGATGGTGGTGTAGAAGACAATGAGGAGCTCGAGGATGCGAGCCTGGTGAGGGTAGTCAACCAGGGAGGAGAGCGAGACGGTGGCCTCTGTGGGTCTGGGTCTCATCAGTGTTGGCCCAAAGACAATGCCCAGGTTACTGGACGACATCTTGTTGCTCTGCTCCAGCTCTGCGATCCTGAGGGTGACAGAGACATGTTGGTTACACATGGCAATCTCCTCATCCCCCCAACCCCCCCACCCCCCCAACCCGCTCACTAACTTCACCTTAAAGGTCAGGTCAAAGGCCACTGGCCCAATGGGAGGGTGAGAGGACGATAGTTATCAGGAGAGGCACCGAATCCTATCCCCCACCCTCCCCATGCCCCCATCTCCCCCCAGGCGCTGGGCCATGTTCTGTCTGTGTGGGGCTGCGCTGGGAGACATTTCCATGTGTAAAGTGTGAGGCTGTTGTAATAACACAGTCTGTGCCTCGGGCTCCGCCACTGTTAAGCGCTCAGAGAAGCTGCCCCGTGTGAAGGACACTGTAATTGCACTGTCTGGTGTGATACACTGACAAAACCTTCCCCCACTTCTCTCTCTCTCTCTCCCCCCTCTCCTCCCAGCCCACCCCCCCCAACCCCCTCTCTCTCTCCCTGACTCTCTCCGCCCTCTTTCTCTGTGTCATTGTAAGGTGCTGTTAGCGAGAGATCCCGCACTGACTTGCTGAGGTGCCCGATGATGTAGCGCAAGGTGGCCTTGTTGGCTGACGGCAGATCCTGGAGAAGGTCCTTCAGCCTGGACACGATGGCCACGACCTCCTTGTCCGTCTGCGGGCCCTTGTCCACGATCTCGAGTCCCTTGGCCTTGTGGCCCTCCCCGGTCCCCTGCTTGCTCTCCTTGGCCAGGCCCATCAGGTCATGGTAGAGGCGGAAGAGCATGAGAGGCTCTGGGAGCTGTGAGAGAACATCACACACATGTGCCAGGCTGCCTTCAGCTCACAATTTAGCATTCTTATTCTTATCCAACACGTATGAGCCTCTACATTCTGCCCTCGCTCGGTGTCTGATCTCAGACACTGTCCTGCATGCATGGCGCTGTGTAACATGCAAGTTGTGTGTGGATTCCCTGTAACTTAGTGGTTAGAGCACTCGCCTCGCAAGCGAGAGGAACTGGGTTTGATTCCCGGGTGGGTCAAACCTTAGGCAAGTAACTTACTCCACACACAAACACACACATCACCCACACACACACACACGTCTCTGTTTACCGGCAGTAAACAGGAATCCACTTGTTATATCCCTCACCCACAAACAATTTGATCACTCAATCCACGGCTGTTTGTGGGGACGCTGCTGTGCGCAATTGGCTGCCGCATTTCGTCCGCACAATATACACTCAATTCACTTTACAGTATATTCTGTGAAGCTCTTCGAGACGTCTCGAAAACGTGATAAAGCGCTATATCAAATGCAAGGATTGTTATTATTATTAGATGCAGGGGCAATAATTGGGCTGGTGCGACAAGTTGTGTAGAAATTTCATATGTTAACTTGTTTTAGAATTAAAACTAATGATATTGCTTTTTATTTTGGTTAACTTTACATTGTGAACTAACTCCTGGATGTTGCCATCTTACAGCTGGTCCATTCAAATCCAAAGTCACTACACTTTACGGTATATTCTGTGAAGCGCTTTGAGACGTCTCGAAGACGTGATAAGGCGCTGTGTCAAATGCAAGGCTTATTATTAAGTTGTTGATGGTCAGTGACTCCATCACGTCAGGATGGCTGAGAGCGTTTCCCAGGTGTTCCCAGGCCGTGGAGTGCAGGTGATCACGGTGGCTGTTTGCCACACGGCCCGAGGTCAGGTGTGTGTTTACCTGCCGCAGGTACAGCTTGAGGACGTTACTGATGTCGTGAGGAGAGGCCTGGGACAGCTCCACCAGCTCCTTCCCATTCTCAAAGGCCTGACACAGCTTCTCCACTCGGGTCTTCACCCCATTTACACGGTAGATTCCCTGGGGAACAAGCGAGCAGGGGTCAGAGTTGGTGAGTGTGTGTTGGTGGGTGAGTTTATGTTGGTGAGTGAGTCTGAGTGGGTGTGCGTCGGCGAGTGAGTGTGTGTTAGCAGGTGAGTGTGAGCGGGTGTGAGTTGGCGGGTGAGTGGGCGAGTGAGTGAGTGTAAGGGTTACCTTGGTGTGCAGGGCTCGGCTCTCGATCTCGGAGATACACTTCTTGATGATGAAGGGGATGCCATCGCTGCTGTCCTGGGCTGAACGAGCGAACTCTCTACCAAACAACTGCAGCTTCCTCTGGAGCTTCTTGTGGCCGCATTGAATGGCCAATGTCTCCAGACACTTCCTGTGGCAGGCGAGATTACACTGCGGGCGCAGACAGGGCTCACGTTAACACGGAGCCAATGGCTTCGGCAGCCTCACTCTCCCCCTCCCCCAACTCCACGCACCCCCCCACTGCGCCCACCCATCCATCCACACCCCATACCCCACCACCTATTTCCCCCCCACCCCCCACTTCTCCAACACCCCCGGCCCCCCACAACACCCCAGCTCCCCAAATCCCACCCCACACCCACCTCTCCCCCATCCATCCCCACCCCAAACCCCCCACTATTTCCCCCCCAACCTCTCCAACACCCTCCCTCATCCCTCCTCCCCACAGCGCCTCACCTCCAGCCACTCTGCCCCAGCTCTCTGGAACTCTCTCTCTTGTCTCTATCTGTTTTCCCATTCTCTTCTCTTCTCCCCCCCCCCCACCGCACCCCCACCACCATCAATCACATCTCACCCACCTCCTCACACTCCGCTCCCTGAAAGTAAACGTAGCTGTCACACTCGCGGCACTTTGACGGTGTGCGCAGTTTCTTGAGGCGATGTGTCTGAGCCGCTCTGGACAGACGAACGTTCCTGAAGGGACCGGTGGGTACAGCCATCTCGGGAGCCATCCCATTGATACCTGCTCCAGAGAGAGAGGGCGAGAGAGAGCAGCTACTGAGCAACAACGACGACAACACCGCCTTCAACACTGGCTCAACACACAACCTCCATGTGGGCCATTGGCCATTTCATGGCTGTTTCTGGGAAGGTGCTGTGTGTCAATTGGGCTGCCCATAAATACACAGTCACTCCATTTCACAGTAAATCCTGTGAAGCGCTTTGTGCACAGGTTTTCCGATCAGATAAGGCGCTTTACCAGATGCAAGAAGTATTAGTATTGGATCGTCACGGTTGTTTGTGGGGACGTGCGCAATCAGTTCGTCTATACAGTCACAACACTTTACAGTGTATCCCGGGAAGCGCTTTGAGATGTCCTCTCGAATGTGAAAGGCCCTGAACCAAATGCGGGGATTGTTATTATTATAATCATTGTTATTAATATTATAATTAAGTTCCGAGTCGCTTACTTTGCTCAAAGGAGGAGGAGCTCCCGTCCTTATCAGCCGACTCCTCCGGGAATGAGATGGTGCCAGACGAGGGGATTCTCGGCAGTTTCCGAGAAAAATCTCCTGGGATTCGAATGGTTTCAGTCATTTGGTGCAGGCAAAATAAAAAAAACATTATTATTGTTATTATTCTCGTGAACCCCCAAATAAAAAAACCCTTGTGTTAATATATATACATATATTTTAATCTCTCGAATCAAACGCGGGGGAAATGTGGCTCCTTTAATTGCCGGCAAAATTTAAACTCCACCCGCAGAGCAACACAGGGGAAGTGAAGCTGATCCATTGGCTGCTACGTTTCGCCCCACAAAACATACAGTCACTGCACTTCACAGTGAGAAGCTCTTTGAGACGTCGCGCGAAGATGTGATAAGGCGCTTTATCAAATGCAAAGATTATTATTATTATTGTTCGACCAGGACCCAGCAGTTCATCTCCACTCCACTGGGGGACAGGAGAACACAGGGAAAGACGCAGGTGTTTTATACAGATTGGTTTGGATGCAGAAGTCCCTTTGAAGTACCTCCAGAACACCCTCAGCCCCACACACCCACCCCCACCCACCCCCATGGCCACCCTGTCCCACTGGTTGATTCCTCTCTGGGGATTGAGTTGCCCACCTGCGGCAGACGAAGGGGAGTCCAGGGAGCTGCCACCTCCGACCCCATCCGTCTCCGTCATGGTGGTGGGCCATGACTTGTGGAGCTGGTGCCCTCGGACTCCTGAAGATAAGAGAGAAGATCAGCAAAAGTCACTGGGGATTCAGACCCCACTGAACCCCCCACCTTGTCACTGACCCCCAATTCGAACTCTACCGCACTGTAGGCTAGAGCAGCTTTCACAAGTGGCAGAGCGAAGGGTGGGCAGTGCAGTCACACGGACCACCCACTGCCCGAGGTCAGGAGCCCCTTCTCTGCCCACTTCACACCTCAGTGAAGTCACGGGACCTGAAATGGGCTGCGTCCATTCGACTCAGGGTTGGAAGGGGGGTGGGGGTGGGGGACGGGAACTAGTGCCAAGACCCTGCTCTTGGCCGTTTGACCACACAGCGGTCGCCTCCAAACCATTTCCTCAAAACATTTTCTTTTAAACCAACAAAAAACATTTGAGATTTCGCAAACCCTCCCCGGCCTGGATTGGTGGCTTCTCACTCACGAGTGCCTCAAACGGTTAAGGTTTGTTTCAACATCGCAGCGAATCGTGAAGTAACAGGAGAGATGGATCCGTCCACCGGGTCTCAGAATTCCTATGAGTTTAGAAGGTTTCAAATCTAATTGAGGTGTTTAGAATGATAAAGGGATTCGATAGGGTAGCTACACAGAAACTCGCTCCTCTCGGGGGAAATCCAGCAGAAAGGGGCATCATCTTATCTTAAATTAGAGTCAGACTATTTAGGAGTGAAATCAGGAAGTCCCTCTATATACACACACACACACACAGGAAATGTGGAACTCTCTCCCTCCTCCGAAATGCTGCGGTTACTGATCAATTGACTGAGGTGGATTAGATGTTTGTCAGGTCAGGGTGTCCAGGGATGTGGGGCAAAGGCGGGTAATGGGAGTTGAGATACAGATCAGCCATGATCTTATAGAATGAAGGAACAGGCTCGAGGGCTGAATGGCCTCCTCCTGTTCCTAAGAGAGAGAGCGAGAGAGACAGACAGACAGAGCTCCCCATTGATCTGGTTATTGAGCGAGCCTCTCACACTCCCCCAGGTGTGTGTGTAGGGGGCGAGGGGGGGTGTTTGGGGTAGGGGGAGAGTCAATAACAGGCAGTGTCTGCACTCAGTGAAACACTCACCTCGTCGCTCAGCGAGAGCGCTGGAGGCTTTGGAAGTTGGGCTTCCGGGCTCTTCCACGGAGGACTGGGAGTGCAGCTCTGCACTCGAGCTGTTGGAGGCAAAGTCGTGAGAACCGAAGCTGCCTTTTCGGGTGCGGAAATGGGGAGAACTGCGGAGAGAGAGAGAGAGAGGTTTAAAGACTCATCAACAGGCCGACTGAGAGAGTGAGGGGAGAGCGAACCACTTGCAGATTCGTGAACCGTTTTATAATAACAACAATAATAATGATCCTTGCATTTGACACAGCGCCTTATCAGGTTATTGAAACGTCCGAAAGCGCTTCGCAGGATATATTTTGTGTGCCTTTGGCCACCAAAACACACAGTCACTACACTTATAATACAGTATATTCTGTGAAGCGCTTTGAGACGTCTCGAAAGGCGTGATAAGACCCTGTATCAAATGCGAGTATTATTATTATTATACTGTAACGTGTGGTGACTGTGTATTTTGTGGGCGAAACACGGTTAGTCAGTTGCGCACAGCAGTGTCCCACAAACAGTCGTGGATTGAGTCAACACATTATCATTATTGTTACACACACACACACACGGAGCGATGATAAAAGTCTCGCCTCCTCTCTCTCTCTCACTCACTCACTCACTCACTCGGAGCCGGCCGGGAGACAGAAAGGGTGACGTGTCGTGTCCCTGGGGAGTGGGGGAGTGGGGGTGGGGGTGGGGGAGGAGAGGTACTTACGGTTCAAAGTCATACTGCGCCTCTGACTCGGCTTCCATCTGCAGACCCCGCACGTAGGAGGCGTATTGCTGCCCGGGGTCGTACAGCTTACTGCTCTCACACAGAGTCTGGAAGTGAACCGGGAGTGGGGCCGTCTGCATGTGCATGATCTGGTAGTAAGAGATGGAGGCCTGTGCACAACAACAACAACAACAACACTGTGAAGATTTCCAAATGGCCACCATCAGCAGTCAGGCCTTCAGCCTCTCTGCCCCCACCCCCTGAACTCCGTTCCGCAGCCCTCCACCTCGCTCCCTCCTCTGCCTCCTTCAAGGCCCTCCTCTTCGGTCGCGCCTTTGGCCACCCTCTGACCCTCCCTGATCCCAAACCCAGCTCAGGTCCAAATCCTCTTGGGACGCATTATCTTTCACGTCCAGCGCCTTGGGGCGTCCTCCCGACGTGCAAGGGCTCGGTGTAAATGTCACAGCTACTGCTGTTGTTGTTAACCCCGAGGCCTTCCTCACGTACTGATTTGAGGATCTGGTCGCTCTGTTTGATGACCTCCTGGAGCTGCCGCAACACGTTCACCTTCACGTCCTCCAGCTCCTGCTTCTGGGTCTTGGCGTCAGCGATACACGTGCGGTACGTAGCCTCGGCCTCCTCCGCCTGGGCCCCGAGACAATCATTAATAATCACCACCAATCACCGCTCCCGATCATCAATCAATAACAGCTAATCAGTCACAATTATTGAAATAATGATCCTCAATGCGCAACAGTCAGGGCCAAAGCTGGTGTTGGGGGGGTCTGGTATTGGTGGGCCGGAGTTGGGGGGCCGGGGTTGGAGGTCTGGTGTCGGTGTCGGGGGGCCGGGGTTGGGGGCCGGGGTCGGGGAGCTGGTGTCGGGGGGCGGTTGGGGGGTGGGTGTTGGGGGGCCACTGGCTCACACTACCTTGTTGCGAGCCTCGTCCTCCATGCGCCGCCTCTTGTCCAAGGCTTTGCTGGCGTTGCTGCTGCTGGTGCCGTGGACATCCTCCTCGGCCTTCACCGTCAGCTGCTTGGCTTTTTCGTGCTCGTCCGAGCGCTGCAAGTAGGCCTGACGGGCCTTCTTCAGGTTCGACTCTGCCTCTTGCTGCAAAACAGATTCACTGTTAGCCCAACCCACAGCCCAGGCCCCAACCCATAACTCAGGCCCCAACCTATAGCCCAGGCCCCAACCTATAGCCCAGGCCCCAACCCATAGCCCAGGCCCCAACCCATAGCCCAGGCCCCAACCCATAACTCAGGCCCCAACCCACAGCCCAGGCCCCAACCCACAGCCCAGGCCCCAACCCACAGCCCAGGCCCCAACCCACAGCCCAGGCCCCAACCCATAGCTCAGGCCCCAACCCATAGCCCAGGCCCCAACCCACAGCCCAGGCCCCAACCCACAGCCCAGGCCCCAACCTCAGCCTGAACCACAAACCCACAAGACCGGTCCTAATGTGAAACACTTGTAGTTACTCCATCTATCCCTCCGCCTTGCCTCCGTTCCTCCTTCCCCATCTTCAGGTCGCACCTGAAGACCTTCCTCTTTGACATGGCCTAGGGTCACCTGCCCCCTCCCCCCCGGCTCGGTGTCGCGCTCTGCCATTCTCAAGCTCTCTGGGACACTGCCCTGCGTGAGGGGGCACTGGGGAAATGCAAGTTGTTGTGGTGGTGGTGGTGTGATTTAACCTGAATTGTGCAGAATTCCTAGTTTGGAAGTTGATGGTATTAAAGTGCTGCGGAAAATAATTACAATAATGATAATTCTTTTGGGGTGGTGGGTGTCCGAGCGCTGTCCACCCTCGCTGCCCCCCGCCCTCGCTGCTCCCCCCACCGCTCTCGCTGCCCCCACCCCCACCCTCGCTGTTCCCCACCCCCACCCTCACTGCCCTCCCCCTCCCCACTCTCGCTGGCTCACTCACCAGCTTCCTCTGCGCTCGGTGCCATTGGTCTTTGATCTCTTTCCTGCGTTTCTCATGTTCCAGTCGTCTCATAGTCAACGGCTGTTAAACACCAACAACAGCCCAACACGGCAATCAGTACGCCATGTCATGGCGTCAACTGGAGATGGGTGGAGAGCATGGGGATGGGAGGGGGGGTGGTGGATGGGAGGGGGGAGGAGGAGATGAGGGGGAGGAGGATAGTGGGCGAGACAGGGAGATGGGGGCGGGGGGAGTTGGTGGAAGAGAGAGTTGATTACCGGGGAGCGAAAGGAGGGGAGAGGGGAAGATGGGAGGGGAAAGAAGTGGTGGTGAGGGGGTGGGGGAGGGGGGGAGGGGAGATGAGGGGAGGGGCGGTGGGGGAAGCGCTGACTGACCTGTAGGAAGGTCTGGTTCTGCAGGATGATGGCAGTTTGCATCATACTGTTTCCATGTTCCAGGTCCTGCTCCAAGGCCAACGAGTAGATGGACTGGAACGGCACATGGCACTGCGGAGAGACAGCTCGTCACCGTCAGTCATCAACAGCCCCCGCCCTCGCTCCCGGTAATCCCCCCTCCTCGCTCCCGGTAATCCCCCCTCCTCGCTCCCGGTAATCCCCCCTCCTCGCTCCCGGTAATCCCCCCTCCTCGCTCCCGGTAATCCCCCCTCCTCGCTCCCGGTAATCCCCCCTCCTCGCTCCCGGTAATCCTCCCTCCTCGCTCCCGGTAATCCCCCCTTCTCGCTCCCGGTAATCCCCCCTTCTCGCTCCCGGTAATACCCCCTTCTCGCTCCCGGTAATACCCCCTCCTCACTCCCGGTAATACCCCCTCCTCGCTCCCGGTAATACCCCCTCCCCGCTCCCGGTAATACCCCCTCCTCGCTCCCGGTAATACCCCCTCCTCGCTCCCGGTAATGCCCTCCTCGCTCCCGGTAATCACCCTCCACCGGGGTACGGGAGCCACGGGGAGGAGGGGGGCAGGGGACGTACCTCCTGTGCGATGAGAGGCCGACATGTGTGGATCAGTTTGGTCAGGCCTTTGGCAAACTCCATCTCTGTAAATCAGTAATTATATAGTAATATAATAATAATAATCCTGGCATTTGATATAGCGCCTTATCATGTCTACGAGAAATCTCAAAGCGCTTCACAGAATGTGGTGTAAAGTGTAGTGACTGTGTATTTTGTGGGCGAAACCGAGGGAATGGGGGTATAACCGAGGAAATGGGAGGCTGTAATTTGGGGAACGTCTCTGGATGTGGAGGCCATGTTGAACGTGAATGTAGGACAGCCTCACCCAAAACCGTCCTCTTCTCCAGGTAATAGATCAGGTCCTTCAAGTACTTGGAGATGGTCTTCGCATATTGTAGGGCAGCCTCCACACCCCCTTCCGACCTCTGCAGCATGATGTCCACCTCCTCCGCAGACATGCTCCCTGTAGACCAGCACACAGCAGGTCAGCCCATCCCAGCCCAGAGCAGCCCAGCACAGCCCAGAGCAGCACAGCCCAGCACAGCCCAGCCCAGCCCAGCACAGCCCAGCCCAGAGCAGCACAGCCCAGCACAGCCCAGCCCAGAGCAGCACAGCCCAGCACAGCCCAGAGCAGCCCAGGTCAGCACAACACAGCCCAGGTCAGCACAGAGCAGCCCAGCACAACACAGCACAGAGCAGCCCAGCCCAGCCCAGAGCAGCACAGCCCAGCACAGCCCAGCCCAGAGCAGCACAGCCCAGCCCAGAGCAGCCCAGCCCAGCCCAGAGCAGCACAGCCCAGCACAGCCCAGCACAGCCCAGCCCAGAGCAGCACAGCCCAGCACAGCCCAGAGCAGCCCAGGTCAACACAACACAGCCCAGGTCAGCACAGAGCAGCCCAGCACAACACAGCACAGAGCAGCACAACAACAACAAGATTCCATTTATAGAGCGCCTTTCACGTCGGGAGGACGTCCCAAGGCACAGCCCAGCACAGTACAGAGCAGCCCAGCACAGAGCAGCCCACAGCAGACCAGCCCAGCCCAACACAGGTTAGCACAGCACACAGCACAGAGAGTCTCCTTACACAGGTCAGTACAGAGCAGTGCAGATACAGGGACAGATATACAGACACAGGGAGGGACACAAGTCCATGTACACAGACACACAGTTACCGGTTATTATTATTATTATTACCCAAGTAACTCAGCTCCTCTCTGGCCGGCATCATGTCAGCTGTGATCCCACCGCACAGATTCTCCATGGACTGAAACCAACAGACAGTCACGCTCCATCAGTGAGGGAGCAAGAGCGAGAGCCCGAGACACTAGCTGTCAAAGTGGGGGACAGACACAGCACACCTTCAACTCCCCCCACCCACCCCCCAACCCCCACCCCAACCACCTCCCACCCTGAGGCCCAAAATTCCACCTAGTCACAGCCTAGGGGGGCAATCTCAACTTAAATGTTAACCAAAGAATTGATGCAAATTCTTTGACTCAGTCTTAATTTGGCTTTTAGTATCGGTTCCTGAAATAGGGACTCAACCCAAAGTAACATTCCAGTATAAAGGGTTAACAGGTTTCTGTTCTTAATGTTTTATACGGGGCAGAAATTAGTTTAATTCAGGCCGAATCTGAAGCCGGTTTTGTTTTTGAGGAACACCGGGGAAGGAAATGGCGTCTGAATGAAGCGGAAATGAAATAAAGAATATATTTATGTTAGATTTTTAAGACCCCAACCCCCAGCTCGCGTCCAAATCCTTGACCGTCCAGCACCTTGGGACATTCTCCTGACGTGAAAGGCGCCGTGTAAATGTAATGTTGTTGTTGTAGTAAGATAGTGGTGTGACACGCTGAGCCTAGACATCTCTCTCTGTCTCTCCCCTCAGCCTCAATGTGTCGCAGTCACACGTGTAACGTGTGTGCAGTGTGTTGCGTGTGCGGTGTGTGGCATGTACGGTATGGGCCAGACTCACCCTGCTTTTGTCTGCTGGCGGCAGAGACAGTAATGTGCTGCTGTCCATCTCTCCCATGAGGAAATCCGACACACTGCGGCCAGAGAGAGGAGTTACAGTTACAGGGTCAGACTCGAGCCGAGACCCGTTGCAGAATTACAGAATCATAGGATTATACGGCGCAGAAGGAGGCCATTCGGCCCATCGTGTCTGTGCAGCTCTGAAAAGAGCCAAATCAACCCCACTCCATAGCTCTGAAAACTTGTCCTTCCCATCGTCCCCTCCAACAGGAAGCAGCCTCCGCGCACACATGGTGTCAGCGAGATATCAGGAGGTCTGTGTGCGTGTGGGTGTGTGTCTGTGTGTGCGCGTATGCCTGTGTGTGTGTGTACACGTGCCTGCGTGTGTGTGCGCAGGTGTGTGACTGTGTATTTGTGATGAACGCAGCAGCCTATTTGCACACAGCGGCTGTGAAGCGAGCGATTGTACCCGTGGCTGTCACTCACTTGCTGCTGAAAGCCACCGCTATCGTCTCGATCGTTTTGTCAAAGTCCAGTTTATCAGCTTCGTTGCTGGATTCATAGTGAAAGCCTGAGGGGAGGAGGAGACAGCTGTGAGGGTATGTGTGTGTGGGGGGGCAATGTGTGGGCATGTGTGTGTGTGGGGGGGGGGGGGGTGGCAGTGTGTGTGTGTGTAGTGTGGGCCGAATGGCATCTCTGTGCTGTGAATCTCTCTGGTTCTCTGGGAAGCGCTGCCCCCACCCCCAAACCGCTCCCAACCACACCCCCCCCCCCCCCGGCCCCCCGCGCCCCCCCCACCTCCCAGCACTGCACTGGAGCATCAGTAACAGCGACAACAAATTGCATTTCCACAGCTCCTGCCTTTCACGTTGGGAGAGGACGTCCCGAGGTGCTGGACAATGGGGGGCTTGCACCCGAGCTGCGGACGGGTGAGATGGGGTACGAGGCGAGTGAGAGGAGACCGAGAGGAATAAGAATCAGCAGGTGACGGTGTGTGGCTGCGAGAGAGAGAGAGTCACACACTCGCTGCTGTGGCCGGTACCTTTGACTTTGGATATCAGAGTGCCGGCTGCCGTCAGCGTTTCCACCGTGTTGAGCAGAGGGTATTTGCCGATAATCTGCCTCAGCACCCACAGCACCTCCCCCAACGCCTCATGTGCCACCGGCCGCCGAGATTCCTCTTCCTCTGTCATCGCGGAGAAGAGAAGGTCACAGGTTAACAGCTGTGACGACGACAACAGCAACAACAGCAACAACAAATGGCATTTACACAGTGCCCTTCACGTTGGAGGTTGGGGGTACAGATCAGCTATGACCTAATAGAATGGCGGAACCAGGCTTGAGGGGCTGAATGGCCTCCTCCTGTATTCCTGTGTCCCCAAGGCGCTGGGCAATGAAGGGTTTGCACCCGAGCTGGGGGGGGGGGCGGGGTGAGGGGGGATCAGGAGGAGTGGAGGGCAGGGGGGGTAAGGGTAGGAGGGTGACCGAAGACGAGGTTGAAGAGGAGGATCTTGAAGGAGGCAACGGGAGGGGGTGAGACGAGGGGGACTGGGCGATGGAGTTACAGAGGGTGGGGCTTTTTTTGGTTCATAACCCGGTGACGGAGTTCGGACCCTGTGACTGGGGCGGGGGGGCAATATTGCAATATTTGGGGGTACAGTGTAAACGAGGGGTTCGGGACACGTCAAGCGACTGCCAGGCGAGGCGGGCGGGAGGTGAACCGGATGGAACTTGGTCTTCTTCGGGTGGTCTAGCAATTCTTATGGTTCCCAGGGGTGACCCGAAAGGCTCGCGTCTCGGAGCGCTCGAATAAGTGGAACGGTACAACGCGTTTTCTGGGGGTTGGTTAGAGGCAGGAAACAAGAGCACACAGGATGAGGTTTGCTAAAGAGGAAGGCAGAAAGATCACTGTGCACATCAGCCAACCTCACTGCTAACAACTGACTCTCTTTCTCGCGCTCTCTCTCTCTCCCGCGTTCGGTCTCTCTCTCTCTCTCTCGCTCTCTCTCTTTTCTCGCTCGCTCTCGCTCTGGCGACAAGTTGTTTACTCGACTAAAACAAACATGAAAGGACTTGCCATTTTTTTATGGCGTCTCATCGCATCGGGAGGACATCTCAAAACGCTGCCCGACAGTTATTCGGTGGCGACCACATCAGTCGCCCACCCCTGTCCCGCTTGGTTATCTAGTCACCGTCACGTAGGCCCGCTCAATGCGTTAAAGCGATCGACTCTTGAGACGGTTCGAGATGCCCGACTCCAAGAGGACCACAGGCAGGTGTCCGGCCAAAGAGAACAGGGCGGCGAGAGGCGGGGCTGAGCGGCGAGGGGTGGGACTGTGCTGAGAGGAGGGGGTGGGGCTGTGAGGAGAGGGAGGAGCTGCGAGGAGACGGTGGGGGTGCGGAGGCGGCGTCAACCAACATCTCAACGAGGACAACATCATAAAAAATTCACTAAACACACAGCGACGGCCGGAGGAAGGGAGTGGCTTCCTGTGTCTCTGGTCCAAACCCTGAATTAAACGATTGACTGAAACTCTCAATCGTTTCCTTTACTGTTTCCCAGCCCCGGGTTCCTGGCTCCCAGCAAAAGGCTGCTGTTGGCCTGGGCCGGCGCGTGGCCTTATCTGAGCTGCCACCAGCCCGAGACCGAGCCTCGGCAATCGAGAACTGGAGGATAAACAGGAAACCCGGCTGTAGCGAAAATAGCTACCAGACAGGAAGTGTTGTCATTGCGAGCTGATCGCTTATCCCCCCTCCACCCCCCCCCCAATCACCAGCTCATCCCCACACACAGAGCAGCTGCTCGTATATATACAGATATACACACACACATATACACATATACATATATATATTGTAATCCTTGCTTCTGATATAGCGCCTTATCATGTCGTTGAGACATCTCAAAGAAAGAGGGTGGAGGTTGTAGAGAGAGAGGGGGGAGTACAGAGGGGGGAGTGAGGTAGAGAGAGGGGAATGAGGTACAGANGGGGGAGTTGGGAAGACTGGTGGAGGAAGACGGCAGATTTTGAGCCAGAAAAAGCTCAAAGCCAAGGATCGACAGGCCAGTGGACTCTCAATCACCGGGTCAGTTGCTGAAGTTATTGATCGTAACAATAATAATAATCCTTGTAAATAACATCTTGCATTTGGTTCAGCGCCTCATCACATCGGGAGGACGTCTCAGAGCGCTTCACAGGAATTACAGTGAAATGGAGCGACTGTATATTTGTAGGGCAAATGTTTATAATTTGGTGGGCAAAATTATAGCTAAAAGGAGAGAACTTTCTTCTTAAAAAGTGTTTGGTACAATTGCTCCGCCACCCCCCACCCCCCCACCACCACACACGACATACATGCACACACATACTCACGCCACATGCACCCGAATACGCACTCACATACGCAACAACAACAACAAAATGACATTTATAGAGCGCCTTTCACGTCGGAAGGATGTCCCAAAGCGCTGAACAGTCAGGTGTCGGGGTCCCAGCCGGGGGGAGGGGGTGGTAGGGGTGAGGGAAGGCAGAGAGGTGGAGGGAGACCAAAGGCACGGTTGAAGAGAAGGGTCTTAAGACCCTCCTTGAAGGAGGTGAGGGAGGAAGCGAGGCAAAGGGACCACGGGAAGGAGTTCCAGAGTGTGGGGCAGAGAGGCTAAAAGCCCGGCCACCGATGGTAGGGCAGGTCGGGCGGGAGACATGGAGCAGACCGGAGCCCGGTGAACGGAGGGAGCGGGCAGGTTGGTAGGGAATCACGAGGTCAGAAAGGTAGAGGGGGCGAGGACATGGATGGCCTTAAAGGTGAGGACGAGGATCTTGAACTCGATCCTCTGGGGGAATGGAGAGCCAGTGGAGTTGGGCGAGGGTGGGGGTGATGGGGTCGGGCGAGGGTGGGAGTGATGGGGTCGGGCGAGGGTGGGAGTGATGGGGTCACGGAGCCTGGTGCGTTAGAGTACATGAGCTGCAGAGTTTTGGATGATCTGCAGTGTGTGAAGGGAAGAGTTGGGAAGGCCGATGAGGAGAGGGTTCCCGTAATCGAGCCTTGAGGTGACGAATGTGTGGGTGAGGGTTTGGGGGCCTGAGGGGTGAGCAGTGGCGGAGTTTCATGCACTCTCACACACAACCCCATCACTGACACGCTCTCTATCACTGCGCTGTGTGTTCACGCCAGGACTTCCTGCTATTGACAAAGCTTTAAATCACCCTCGAAACTCAAAAGGCTAAACGTTTCAGTAACAGATAAAGGGGAGAGATCCATGCCTGAAACCTTCTCCGCAGCAACCCCTCCCCTCGCTGCCCACCCTAAACCCCCCACTCCCCTCTGCACACAGCCCACACACACCCCCCACCCCGCTCTCCTGTACGTTGCTCCAGTTTTCGGGAACGCTGCCCGGCACAACAACAACAACTTGTATTTTCGCAGCGACCCCCAGATAGGAACAGGAGAAGCTATTCAGCTACTTTATAAGATCACGGCTGGTCTGTACCTCAAGTGCAGTCCTCTCCTTGCCCCATATCCCTCAATACCCTGACCTAACAAATAGCAATCTAAGGTCTATCTAATAATCTACCCTCACGCAGGACAGCATCTCAGAGTGTTTGACAGGAGCGGAGCACCCGGGGGGCTGTGGGGGGAGCAGGGGAGGTGACTGTGCACACAAGTCAAAGAGGAAGGTCTTCAGGCACGAAGACCCGAAGATGGGGAAGGTGGGAAGGGAAGAGGGCGAGGCGGAGGGATAGAGGAAGGCCTTGGACAGGGAGCTGAGGACAGAGCAGAGGCAGGAAGCAGGAGCCAGCACTGAGATAAGGGCTGAATGTCACAGGCCTGCTGCTGACTCACGCCCGCCCGACCGTACACAGAGAGGAAACATGTAGTTGTCATGGGCACGGCAATGATGATGATGGTTGTTGGTGTCCTGCTGATCAGCTGATGGGACATTTGTCCTGTTCCACGGGAAGGAGATGTTCCCCAAATGGCCTTCCCTATGTCTCCCGCCCCATCGGCCTCACTCACGCCAGTCTTCCTGTGTTCTCCTTAGCCCTCCCTTTGCCACAACGCCTTCCCCCCCTCCAGACATCTCAAAGCCCTCAACAATCTTTTATTTCTCTGTGAAGTGTAGTGACTGTGTTTATGTGGGCAACCGCGGCAGCCAGTTTCCTTACTCCTGTTTACCCAGCAGTCGGTAGGAAACCAGTTGTTGATCAGTTGGTGGATCACTTTCCGGGGGTAGTAATCCCTTTCAAAAAACAAATTAGTGATAATCCACAGCTGTTTGTGGGGACGCTGCTGTGCGCCAATTGGCTGCCTCGTTTCGTCCGCAAAATACACAGTCACTAGACTTTACAGTGTATCCTATGAAGCGCTTTGAGACGTCTTAACGACGTGATAAGGCACTGGGTCAAATGCAAGGATTATGAGGACTGGAAGGGTTCAAACCCCAGGGATAAGCCTGGGGAAGGGGGGAGGGGAGGAAGGGGAGTGGGTGCAGAAGGAGATTGCGTTAGAAAGATTTATCTCTGGGTGTGTAAGCGAGCGAGAGGAGCCAATGGGGCACATTTCCTGTCTGTGTGCGGTGAGCCACGAGCTACAGAACAGGAAGCTGAAGGTCAGTGTTGTGCAAGTTGCTGTTTTTCCCTCGCGGGCTCACTCTCAAGCTCACTCTCGAGCTGTAAGGAAACCATCAGCTAGAAGGAAGGGAGGGTGAGAGAGAGAGAGAGAGAGAGAGAAAGGGTTTTGTGGGTTGGAAGCTTAAGTCCTCTCTCGCTCTCTCTCTTTTCACACCTTAATTTACTAAACCACTTCCAGGCAGGAAACACAAACATCTCTCAATGTTCCTGTTCAGTCAAAAAGAGGCCATTCGGCCCATCGTGCTCAAACCGACTGAGCGTCTCTCTCAGAGCGAGCTGTGCGATCTGTCCCCCTACCCCTCCCACTGGCACTATCGCTCTGTCCCTCATATCCCTGTCCCTCTCGCTCGGAAAGCCCAGGACAGACCCCCCCCCCCCACCTCCCTCCCTCCCACCCATCCAACAGGATCTTTAACACTCACCTCAGTTCACCATCTCATCTAATGGACGGCACCTTTGACAATGTCCCTCCAATACGGAGCTATAACGGCTCCATGTAACATAACTTCCTGATTCACAAAGCAACAGTCCGACCAACTGAGCGACAGACTGACAGTGTATGACACCACACTGTAGGCAAGAGCACCACTGTGTGCCAGACTGGCTCAGTGGGTAGCGCTCTCTCTCTCTCGCGCTCTCCTCTGAGACAGAAGGTTGTAGGTTCAAGCCCCCACATCGGGACTTGGAATCACACAGTCTAAGCTGACACTCCAATACAGCGCTGGGGGGGGGAGTGGGAGGGGGGGGGGGGTTTGAACTGTCAGAGACACCGTCCTTCAGATGAGACATTAATCTGAGCTCCCCGTCTGCTTGTACAGGTGGATATTAAAGATCCGGAGGTAATATTAGAAAAGAGGAGGGAGGTTCTCTCTCTCTCCCAACAAGTGTCCTGGCCAACAATCTCCCAAACAAAATGAGTCACTCACTCCACAACTGTCGCTACTGGTGCACAATTGGCTGTCGCGTTTCGCCCGCAAAATACGGACACTGCACTTCACGGTATATCCTATGAAGCGATTTACATTTCATTCAAGGAACTGAAACTGAGACAGTGACGTCTGGAGCCTATTTTTCAGAAATAATTGGATGCAATGCTGCCAGCTGCGGGGAGCATGATTACCACCTCATCACCAACCTGCTCCGACACGCAAGTTCGGGGCTGATGTCAAGGGGAAAGATTCCCCGAAACAACTGCAACAAGAAGACTCTCCCATTCAGCCCCCATCCACATGCCCCCCCAACCCCACATACCTCCCCCACCCAGCCTAGACCAAACCCTTCCCAAACTACGACAACTGTGCTCCTTCACCATCCCGTAAATGAGGAGAGGACCAATTCCCACCCCCACCAACTGGGTGTACAGACTGAGAAATGACCCCCCAGGGAGAGAATATGCTGTTCATTCCACACACACACACACACACGAAACACATAGGGAAATTCCCATGTGTGGGTGGCAGAAATATATGGAACTCTTAGTATGGTTTGGAAACTCTAATGAACAGTGACGGGTTTCCGTGTGTGTCAGACACCCGGCTGGTCACGGTGACGGGTTTCCGTGTGTGTCAAACACCCGGCTGGTCACGGTGACGGGTTTCCGTGTGTGTCAGACACCCGGCTGGTCACGGTGACGGGGTTTCCGTGTGTGTCAGACACCCGGCCGGTCACGGTGACGGGTTTCTGTTTGTGTCAGACACCCGGCCGGTCACGGTGACGGGTTTCTGTTTGTGTCAGACACCCGCCGGGTCACGGTGACGGGTTTCCGTGTGTGTCAAACACTCGGCTGGTCAAGGTGACGGGTTTCTGTGTGTGTCAGACACCCGGCTGGTCACGGTGACGGGTTTCTGTTTGTGTCTGTGTCAGATACCCGGCTGACCGTTCAAGGCTCTCTCCACACTTACCTTCTCCCAATACTATGTCCTTCAGCTTCTCCACAGCCTCGGAGAATCTGCTCACGTGGTGCAGCAACTGGGGGATGTCCTCCACGTCAGGCACCTCGTAGCTGTCAGGGTTGGAGGTGGGAGAGGACTTATAGCCTTTACTGTAGCCCCAGGTCCCCGTGATGGGCATCGAGAAGCCGGCAGCGCTGGAGTGACGGCTCAGGGTGGTGGGTCTCTTCAAGGTACTGACCCCACTCGGGCTGCTGCTCAGTCGCGAGGCATTCCCTGTGGCCACGTCCGCCGTAGCCGAGCTCGGAACCAGCGGCGACTCCGACTGGTCCTTCCGAGGGAGTTCCTGACACACACAAACAGGCACACACACACACAGAAACACACACACACAGAAACACACACACACACAGAAACACACACACACACACAGACACAAACAAACCAGAGGTAAGACTGGAGACATGACCGACCGACAACACAGAAAACGGCTCGAGTCCCAGCCACAGAGCGGGGAAACTGTGTCAGAGGATTGTGGGTTCAAGCCCCCCAGCCCCACTCCCACCCACATCATGGACTTTGAGCTCACAGTCTAGGCTGACGCTCCAGTGTTGTGCTGGGACGGAGAGCGCCGTTTCACCCACAAAATATACAGTCACTACACTTTACAGTGTATCCTGTGAAGTGCTTTGAGACGTCCCAAAGACGTGATAAGGGGCTGGGTCAACTGCAAGGATTATTATTATTATTATTATTATTATTATTGTCAGAGATGCCGTCCTTTGGATGAGACATTAAACCTCATTCCCTGCCTGTGCCCTGCTCAAAAGAGGAGGGAGTTTCTCTCTCAGTCGCCTAGTGACTTGGCCAGGAATCCCCCCGATAAAATAGGTCATTCACGTCACGGTTGTTGGTGGGACATTGCTGTGCGCAAATTGGCTACCGAGTTTCACCCACAGAGTGCACAGTCACTACACTCGCCGAAGGTTCTCTTTGAAGGGCTTTGAGATGTTTTTTGGTGTGATGGCCATTGTATCAAATGAGGAATATCAAGGCTCTCAACACGAATACGATCCTTGCTTTTCACTCGGGAGGATGTCACGGCAGTTACAGTAAAGTGTAGTGACTGTGCTTCGAGGGCAAAGTGTTCATTAACACGGGGAAGGGGCCAAGGAATGCCGTGACTTCCCTGATGTCGGAGTTTCTGCAGAGAGGGTTACACCCAGCTCCTGTCCTCATGGGGATGTGTGTGACGCACTCTCACCCTGTGCTACAGTCAACCACACTCACAGCTGCGAAGGACCACACCTGACAGCTTGTCATACTGTTTCTCTCTGTCTCCCTGCTCCCCCCAGCCCCCCACCCGCCACCCCACAACTCCTCTCTTCCTCTCGCTCTCTCTCTCTCCACCCAATCTCTCTCTTCCTCTGTTTCCATCTCCCTCTCTCTGTCTCCAGCTCTCTCTGCGTCTTTCTCTCCCTGCCTCCATCTCTCCGTCTCTCTCTGTCTCTCTCTTTCTCGGTGTTTCTGTCTCTCTCTCTGCTCCCACCCCACCCCCAGCCCTCTCTCTCGCTGCCATGTCTCGTTTGGATAAAATGAACAAAAGTAACCAAAATACCCCAAAACAAGAGAAAGTGTAATTTTGGTCGGTCAGTCTCCTGAGCCTGGTGACCAGATCAGCTCAGGGAATCGCTGCCGCGGTGGCTGACAGTGAGTGTGAGGCCAGGCAGGGATTAAACCCCTCACCTCCCCGGCCTGACTGAGGAGCTCAGAGATTCTGGGTGTGTTCCTCAGAGCCTGACCAACTCTCTGCCTCCTCCATCCTCACGCCCCTCACTATCCAATTTATGGCTGTCAGTGTTCACACGGTTCTCGTTAGTGGTTTTGTTGTTGATTAACAGTAAGAGTGTAATTTACCGGGAACATTCTACTTCGAACTATAGACATTTACTGTATGTGTGTGTGAGTGTGTGAGAGTGTGAGTGTGAGTGAGTGTGTGAGAGTGAGTGTGTGAGAGTGAGTGTGTGAGAGTGTATCATTTCTCCCTTTTTCTTTTTTAGGAGGGGGGGGGGGAAGTAAATCCCCTGAAATCTGTTCCCTTCTTTAAACACCCTAATTCTCGCCGACTACACCCTCTTAATAATGAAACAAGGTGATTGCGGTTAAAAAAAACAAATTTTTCCTTTAAGAGACGTCAAAAGCCGCACGTATTTCTGTGAAAACTTTGGCTTTGTCTACCATCTACACTATAACATCTCAGCTTCCTGTTCTCACATTCGTACTGCCCGTTTGCCAGGGTATCTCAGGGCGATGTAGTGGTGAGGTGTCCATCCTGTGATCAACATCTCACCACAACATCATGCTGAGGTGTACTCGAGTCGCTCTCCTACATCCTCCCTCCCCGTCTTCTCTCCCCCACCACCTTCTCCCCCCTCCTCTTCTCCCCCCTCAGCCACCACCCCCCTTTTCTCCCCTTCATCCCCCCTTCTTCTCCTCCCCGCCTTCTCTCCCCTTCCCCCCACACCGATCGAGGAAAGCCATTCCAAAAAAACACAATTTGTTCTTAACGCTGTGGTGTTTCATACAAACATAGGAACAGGAGGAGGCCATTCAGCCCCTCGAGCCTGTTCCGTTATTCTACAAGACAATGGCTGATCTGTACCTCAAGTCCAATTACCCGCCTTTACCTCATGTCCCTTAATCCCCTGATCTAACACACATCTAATGCACCTGAGTCTGGACAACGTGAATGGATCCAGTCAGAATCCACAGCCTTTTGTGGGAGGGAGAAAGTTCCAGATTCCCAACTTTGGGTGAAAAATGACCCCTTATTTCACTCCTAAATGTCCTGGCTCTAATTTTAAAGATTTCTTAACTTACCAATTGTTAAAAGCTGTGTTTTTCCTACACGGCTTCTCACAACGAATTTAAAAGTAAATTTGTAAATTTGGAAGGAAGAGGTTTCTATTTTTTATTTATTTAGAGTTTTTTTTACACAATTCTTTAGGGACCTGAACACTCAGACAAAATGGCTTCGCAGGCTGAGAACAGGTGGAATTTTAGGCCTCTGGTAACGCAATTTATTAATGAACACAATCTATTGACCGAGCTGTTGTAAACAATCCCACATCGTTTATCCTTACGTAACCAAAAGCCTTTGATTATTTTTATTGCTGCGTTAGATCTTACGATTGTTTAAGTGTAGTGGTTTGTAAACGTGTCACATGGGGATAGACTTTCACTGAACTTACTGCTAGCACATGTTCAGCACGTTTATTACAGCTTTTATAATAATAACAACAGTAATAATAATAAGAATAGTGCATTGACACAGTGCCTTCATCATTCAAATATCTCAAAGCGCCTCAAAGGCTAATTGCCCGTCAACTATAAAGAATGTACATTTTGTGGGTGAAAAACAGCAGCCAATTTGCGCACAGCAACGTCCCACAAACAGCCGTAAAGTGAGCGAGCGAGCGATTTTATCTGGGTGGGGGGGTGGCGGGCGGGTGGGGGGGTGGCGGGCGGGCGGGTTGGGGGGATTGTTGGCCAGGACACCGGGAGAGAGAGACAGAGATGAAACTCCCTTTGCTTTTCCAATAGTATCATCTTGACAACCACCTGAACAGGACATAGACGGCAGCTCGGTTTTAAAACGTCCCACCGTGAAGGACAGGACAACACCTCTGATAACGCAGTGCCCCCACACCCCCCCACCTCACCCCTCACCTACACGCGCTCGCGCACACACACACACACACACACACACCACCACCCCCACACACCACCCCCACACATTCCCGTCACTGAACTCGGAGCGTCAACCTGACCCAGACTGAACGATCAAAGTCTTCCTGAGGAGGCGGGGGCGGTGGGGGTGGGTGGGCGGGGGGGTCGGGGGAGAGCAGCTTGAACCCGCAACCTTCTGAGATACGTTAAACAGAACATACATGATCCGGTACATACACAGTAACAAACATTGGTTTCCTGTCTACCTACCGTCAGCCATACCTTGGGCCGGCTCGGGAACACGTCCAAAACACACTTAGATTTGGACTTCTTGCCTCTCAGCCCCACAGAGTAAGGGCTGTAATTGTTCTTCCCACCTCGTCGTTTGTTCAGCATCCTTCCCCCCAATATTTGTGGGCAGGGGGGGAGGTTTGGGGTAGGGGGGGGTGGTGGGAGTTGTTGGTGGTGGTAGGATGGGGATGTAAAGAGTTTGAAGAGGGGAGATGGGTCGACCTCTCCGAAAAAAACCTCTCGTTATTACTCTATTAATCTTTTTTGGGGGGAGACTGAGGGGTATAAGGGGTTTGAGGGTGGCTATAGGGGTCAACCCCACCCCCCCCCCAAAAAAAAAAAAAACTTCTCTTGTTATTACTCTATTAAAATAAATGAATTTGTTTGGGGGAAAGAAATACTAAAAGAATCTAATTTCACGACACAAAAAAAAGGCAAAGTTGTTTTAAAGAAATAAATATACTGTACATAAAATAATTCCTTCTCTCCCCCCACACCCACCACCCACCACCCACCCACCCACCCACCAGCCCCTCACTCCCCCCTCTCCTCTCCTCTCCCTCTTTGGATGCTCTGTCAAATCATGAATTGGATGGGATTTGGCTGAACCGTCTCTGGGGTTGAGCTGAAGCTGTCGGGACACACACAGTGAGTGTGTGATGGCCAGAGAGCTGCACCACAGTGGTCACAGCCCCCACCACCCAGAGGGCGATCTCAATAACAGTAACTACATTCCAATCCAAACAGCGGACGCTTTGCAACTCACTGATGTGCTGTGTGGTATAGGACTTCCTGTTCTGTTTTTCTTAGATATTGAATGCGTTTTCGTCAATTCCTTTTTCTTGCGAGAGAACATTTTTCCTTCCAACAGTGGAGTGGAGTGGAGTTGGAGTTGGAGTGGCGTCTCCCCTCTCCCTCTCTGTCCCTCTCTGTCCCTCTCTGGGCAATGCTCTCAGCTGCTGCTCAGTGCCTCAGGTCTGGAGCCCATCAAACACACAGCAACACGAGAAACCACAGCTCTTTTCTGGTTCAACGTGGAGCTGTTCCGGAGTCTGATCCGGTGTAGTGTTTAACCACATTCAGTTACTCACTCAACTGACAATTCATGTGACGACAACGCATCAGCTCATTGGTTTCCAAACTGAGACCTGTTCATCTCTCTCTCTCTCTCCAACTTATTTCCACTGTGTGACCACCTGCTCAGTCGGACAGTAAATGTCAGTGCGGGGATTTTTTTTTCTGTGTGTGTGTTGCTTTCATTATTCTTTTTTTTACACTCAGGCAATGATGTGACAATAATACCACTAATAACCATTGCAGTTGATTCAGCGGCTTTATGTCTTCGTCGAAACGTCTCAAAGCGCCTCACAGAGTATACTGTAAAGCGAATTGGCTTTATGTTTCGCGGGCGAAACGCGGCAGACAATTTGCGCACAGCGACGTCCGACACACAAACAGCCGGGGATTGAGTGACCAAATTATTGTTTTATTTCCCCACCAAGGGATTATTTCAACGCTAATGGCACTAAAATCGAACACAACGTTCCCCAACAAATTTACATCTATCCAGCACCATTCAGCACCATTCACGTCTCTGGGCGAACGGCCAATTAATCGAATTTGGGAGAAACTCACTTCTCTTAGGGAACAGTCACAGGGTGTGTAGCAGCCACGGGAAGTCGGGAACTCAGTTTAACGTCGCGGCTGAAGAACGGCACAGCTATCACACAGCCTCCTCCCTCCCTGCACTGTTCTGGAGAGTCACCTTGGACTGTGGGCGCACAGCCCGGAGAATGGCTTTTTTTTGGTTAATGGAGAGATCCATCACCGTGTTAAGAGTCTCCAAACCCAACTGGGAATTCCAGGCATCTCACCTACACATGGAGATTCCAGAGATAGATTGTTAGAATGGAATGCGCTCTCTCTCTCTCTCTTTCCCTGGAGAGACACATCTTGTTTACCTAATCCCAGAGAGATTGAGGTGCAGGTAGGCCAGAGTCAAGGCTTGGGAGGGGTGGGGGGCAACCCGAGCTTTCAACTTGATCCAAAACCTGACAGCCGGCAGAAGGTGAATGAAGAATGAAACCAGCGTCAAAACACTAGACGGAGTCACAGTCCGTGGGGGACCGTGAACAGAGAGTGCCCCTGGGCAGCGTACCGAGTTTATGGAAAGAAATCCCTGGGATTTATGCTTCAAATGGAAAGGAAGTGCTCAATGAGATGAATTGTGATAACTTGCTGCAAAAAAAATATGTATGTCTTCTTTCCTGCCGGTAGATGGCATTGCAACCTGTGGTCCACAGCTGGGCGTTTGAATGATTGACAGCTGTAAAAATAATTATATAATCTATAATAAGAATAATAATCCTTACGTTTGACACAGCACCTCATCACGTCTTCGGGACGTCTCAAAGCTCTTCCCAGGTTATACTGTAAAGCGAAGTGACTGTTCATCTTGTGGATGAAGGTCTCTCTCTCTCTCTGACTGCTGTTACCTGAGAGGGATTCCCAGCCAGGACACGCGGGGAGAAACTCGATGAGAACAAACTCCATTTGTCACAATAAACAGCAAGAGATTGCAAATCCTGTGATCGTTTATTAAGCCCTTTATTTTTGTGAGTAGCACAGACCCTGTGAGTAACATAGTGACTGGTAGTGGAGTCCGGGTGGTGGGGGGGAGAGGTGCCAGGGCTCAGGGTGGGGCAGGAACTCAATCTATATTGCGAGATTCTCAAAACGATTTGCAAATAGTGGAACCCGGAATCTCAAACAACAAATTAATATTAATGATCCTGGCGATTGTTACAGAGCCTTATCACGTCTTTGGGACGTCTCAAAGCGCTTCACAGGATACACTGTAAACTGAATTGACTGTGCTTTTTGTGGTTAGAATTGGAATCAGAGACCCCTCCATATAGGGTAACGTCTTGCAGCTTAGATCTCTCTCCGTTATACACTGACTCTGGCGGCGGCGGGTGGTGGTGGGGGGGGGGGGGGCGGGGGAGGAAGAGGGGTGGGGAGAGAGGGTGGAAGAGCGGGCCGGGAGAAGTGGGGGGAATATCGGGGGGGGGGGGGGGTGGAAGAGGAGAAACTTCTCTGATGCAATGCAGAGTGCAAAACATGGCCAGTGTGTGTTTGGCAACACAGAGACACACACACACACACACACAAACAGACAGACAGACAGACACATACACAGAGACACACAAGCAGACAGACAGACACACAGAGACAGACACACTCAAAATCAGACAGACAGAAAGCTGTGCAGTGGGATGAGAACACCACCTTTGGACTCGCTGAGACAGTAGAACAGGAGGACACGGCTTTGGGTTTGCAAAGGGAGAATTTCAGGACAGACACCAGGAAGTGTCTCTTTACCCTGACAGTATTAACGACGGGATCAGGATCACGATGGGATCAGGAGGGCAGTCGAGGGCAGGGCACTAATGATGGGAGGATAGACGGCGGGTGGGAGGGGGGGAATGAGATCAGATGGGCCGAAGGGGATTGGAGTCGAGATACAGATCAGCCATGATCTAACAGAGTGGCAGAACAGGCTCGAGGGAACGAATGGCCTCCTCCTCTTCCCACAGATGTCTTCGTTACCCTGAAACCAGAGCGTTAGGATGTCCTCCCGACGTTAAAGGCAATGATATAACCGCAATCTGTTGTTGTTGTTGAAACTGATGTCGGGATATTTGCGAAACCCTTTTGGGAACGTGGCAATGCTGAGCCCGGTGACTGCCGGGCCTGAGACAGCCACTAGGTGGTGCCCTTTGGCAACAACAGCACAAAGCACATCCGACACCCAGCCAGACAACAATAATAATAATAACCCTTGCATTTGATATAGAGTCTTATCGCATCTTCGAGACGTCTCAAAGCGCTTCACAGGATTCTACTCTAAAGTGTGGGGACTGTATATTTTGCGGGCAAAAAGCGACAGCCAATTGCGCCCGGCGACGTCCCCACAAACAGCCGTGGTTTGAGCGAACAAATTCTCATTATGTTTTTAATCTTTCTCTCGAGGGATTATGACCAGGCGCGCGTGTGGAGTAAGGAAACTTGCCCAAGGTTTCGCCCGAGTTGGGAAACATCCACGGGCCCCACATAAGCAATATTGTTGTGTTGCCGCTGGTTGGCTGCCTGCCTCATAGATTCTCGTAAATGTCCTGCCCTTTGTGGGGGCTGGGGGGTCTCCTCCTGAGGGACGAATTGTTGATGTACAGTGGACCCTCGTCAGCCTCCACCTCCGTCCTCGTCCTCTGCTCTGCGTACCTCCCCTCCTCAAGTGAATGTCGCTGCATCTGGGACATCTGGCTGTGGACATAAACGTTAGAAACTTACATTTAATCTAGTGTTTTGGGAGGCGGGGAGGGGATGGCGTGGCAGCAGGGGGTAAAAAGGCAGTTAACAACGTGCTAATTAACTAAACGAAACCCCTCAACCAACTCTAGGCTGTTGTTTAGGGGGTGTCAGCTGGTTAATTTCTTGCCCAAAAAGGGAAGGTGGAAGCAGATTTGATAGCAGCTTTGTAAAGGGAGTTGGACAGGTACTTAAAAAGGAACAATGTGCAGGGCTGGGGGTGGGTGGTGAGGTAAGAGCGGGGGGAGTGGGACTAGTTGGGGTAAGAGCGGGGGGAGTGGGACTAGTTGGGGTAAGAGCGGGTGGCGTTGGACTAGTTGGGGTAAAAGCGGGGAGCGCGGCACTAGATGGGGTAAGAGCGGGGGGCGTGGGACTAGATGGAGGGGAGTGGGGATTAGTTGGGGTAAGAGTGGGGGGAGTGGGACTAGATGGAGGGGAGTGAGGATTAGTTGGGGTAAGAGCGGGGGGAGTGGAGATTAGTTGTGGTAAGAGTGAGCGGCGTGGGACTAGATGGCAGCTCTTTCAAAGAGCCGCCACAGACAGGATGGGCCGAATGGCTGCGACTGAGTGAATCAGCAGAGCCTTCAAGAGTAGAGTTTCCACAGGAGGGAACACAGAGTCAGCAATGATTGGGTTCAGGGCCAGTGTTAACATGAGGGTAGGCTTAACCCCAACGCGAGGATGACTAGGGGGGCAGTGGGGAGGAGGGCAGAGCCAGCCCCCAGCTGGTACTTTGGGGAGTTGACAGCAACACAATCTCGGGGGGAATGTGGAGACCGATCGCTGAGGACAATAGCTGCGCTGATTGTTGTTACTCACATATTATGGAGATGTTGGGTTCGCTCTGAAGGAGGTGAAAGAGAAAGAGGTTATTACATTACAACATCATTTACATTTACACAGCGGCTTTCACAGCGAGAGGACGTCTCAAAGCCCTTCACAACACTGGCTGGGCACCCGAGCTGGGGGGGGAGAATTGGGGGGAGGGAATTGAGACACTGCCTTAAACGAAGGGAGGGAGTGAGTGAGTTGGAGGAAGCGAATCGGAGGGAGGGAGGGAGTAGAGATTGAAACTGAACATGCATGGAATACAAGCTCGACTAGTCCACTATTTGTGTAATATTTTAGAGCGAATTTCTGTGAAGGGAAGTGAACACGGCAGCCAATTCACACACATCAGCATCTCACAAACAGCCACTGACAACCAGCTTTATGGTGAACGACCAGGTTTATGGTGAACGACCAGGTTTATGGTGAACGACCAGGTTTATGGTGAACGATCAGGTTTATGGTGAACGACCAGGTTTATGGTGAACGACCAGGTGTTACCTTCGCCTTTTTTCCTCTTCCGAAAGCAGGTGATCACGGTCAGTAAGAGCAGGAACATGGCTATGACTCCGACAATGACAGAGAGAACGATCAACAAGAGTTGGACGCCTGGAGTCACAAAACAATCACAGCGTTACTGAGATCAACTTATTAAGAATAATAGTAATCCTTAAACAGGTTAACACATCCCCACAAACTGCACCCCAATATAACCAGTGTAGTAGGGAAGGTACGTACATTGGACATCGTGTGAGGTCCAGTTCCCCGAGTCCTGACAAACCGTCTCAAGGTCACCGTGAAGAACATATCCCCCATCACACGAGAAATAGCAACTGGCGTTGTAGTGAGTGTCACCGTAGAGACCAGAACAGTTCAGCTCACCGTACTGTGGGGAATCCAGAGCCTGGCAGGGAACAGCTGGGAGGGGTGGACACAGACACACACACACACGGACACACACACACACAGACACACACACACACAGACACACAGACACACACAGACACAATAAAACATGCCACACAACATACACCAAACACACCCACACCAATAAACCACACACACAGACACACACACACACACACACACACAGACACACACACAGACACACACACACACACAGAGTAAAATTAGGTCACAAATTTTTTAGAAACTTTTTTTCTTCTAATATTACATATTAATATTACATTTCACACCAAACCTGGACCCTTATCAGTGTAATTAATGCATCACTATCACTATATGAGCCGCACTCCTCTGAGCTCTCACTGGTGACCGCCCCCCACTCCCCCAACCCCCAGATCGGCTGTTGTCCTGATGGCGTTGGTCGTGTAAAGAGATTTGCCGATAGAGCCATAGACGTTTACACACCAGAAGGCGGCCATTCCGCTTGTCCTGCCTGTGCTCTTTGGGAGAGCAATCCTTTCAGTCCCACTTACCCGAGTTCTCTCTTCCCTTCAAATCCCCGATCTCCGCAAATTACCCCTTTTTGGATTTCGACCTGAGTTCCCTCTCGGAAGTGTAAGATTATATTTGTGATGTTTAATGTTTTTTTTAATGTTTTTTTAATGCTTTTAGAATGTAACCTACCCATAATCCGTTAATAAGATTGATGTGATTTAATGACTCGCTGACCAAGGGCTTAAAAGTAGCTGTGCTGGACGGGCTGAGGTCATCTTCTGATTACATTCCATATTTTCCTGGGAAGATGTTCACTCCTCTGAGATAATGAGAAATCGGGTCCTTGAGCATAGATATAAGTACAATGGACCACAAAAAGAATAGGCTGCAGCCTCAGACACCTGCCTATCTCAAGGCTGTGGGAGGCTGCCCAGAAGTTGCCCATATCTCTCTCTCGCAAGGCAGCCTGTGTAGGGTGGGGGCTATCTCTGTGACCAGGGGAGGGCCTTGCGTGGGGTGGGGACTGTCTGTCTCTGTGACAAGGGGAAGTGGAGGTAGAAACAAATAAAGGAACGATGTAACTTTGGAATAGTTGGAGTTGTGTAGCGGATCAGTGCATTTTCCAGTGGAATCCATATCGAATCTCCTGTAGCTATGGTCTCAGTTATATGCAAGTCAAAGATCACAAGAACTAGGACTGATCAACCCAAGGGACCAGAAAGGAGAACTGTAGATGGACAGGGGGAGGGGATTTACCTCCAGTGTGAAAGTGACCATTAAAAGGGAAAGAGGAGTAGTGAGGTCCGTAAGGAAGGAGGACTTTCTCCAGTCGGAGTCTGGTGTTTTCGCAGGTAATGTACATTTCGATTGTTATGCTGTATTAAAACTCTATGCTGATGTGATAATATATCAATGTTAATGCAGAGACTGTTGCTGTTTGTGTGCGAATAAATGACCTTTATTTACTCTGAATCTGTGTGTGTCCTCATATTGAGTGAACTGAGGCTCCAGCAAACCTAATAAAAGCTAATCTTGGTCCTGCCTCGATCATCACATCCCAACAGCTCTCTCGCTCTGTGAAGAAAATTCCTCCTAATCTTTCCCCAATTTGATCCCTTGTTAACTATTGTAAAACTGATTTCCTCTCTTGGCACCAACTCCCTGACCAGTGGAAATAATTTCTCCCCAGTGACTCTCTCAAAACCTCTCGTCATTAAAACGACCTCGATCGAGGCTTCCCTCAATCAGTCATCACTGTTCATAGCTCAAACCAGTCATCACTGGTGTCATCCCAGCACATCTCCTCTATACCCTCTCCATGTCTTTCCTCAGTAGGTACGAAAACCCGACACATTATTCTTACAGTAATAAATACATGGCCATCTATCTATCTCTGGGATTTCAGTGAATAGGTGGGATGCATGGATTCTCAGTTAGGTTTGGTGATGGGTTTCCACGTGTGTCAGACATCCGGCTGACCAAAAAAAAGATAGCAATGGATGGAAGGTTGGCATTATAAAAGGCTGGACTTCTCCGGGCCACACAACATACTACACAGCAAAATGAAGTATTTCACAGTCTGATCAGCCATGTTTCATTTCCTGATATTGGGTGAAGGAGGAGGTGGAGGGGTGGGTGGGAGGGGAAAGGAGAAGGAAACCACTGCCAAATAATATGACTAAACTCTCAGATGACTGTAACTGGAAACGTGCGACAGTGACATACTGCCAGCTTGCGGTTATACCATGGACGGTCATGCTCAGGGAGGCAGTGGCAAGTTCTCGTTATGTGTGATATTCACACTAGTTTCGTCTGAACTGGTTTCATCAACATTTGCTCCTCTTCCTCCCTCGACTTCTTCAAACCCCAAGATTTCCACGCCCCTCCTCCACCCACGATTGTCTCCCCCCCACCCCCACCACATCACCTTGGTGATGACACACCCTCAGAAACCTCAAACATGATCTGCTCGTCCCCAGGAGGTGACGTTACTGCTGCTATTTATTGGTTTCCGCTATTTTCCGCTGAACTAACTTTGGTTGTAGCCCCACCAACAGCTCCTTCTACACCACACCCTCCCCCTAACTATTCTAAATGTATTCTCACTACAATTCAGTTTTGTTAGTCCATTTTGTCGAGATGTCTAAAATCAAGATGCTCAGTGCATGGGAAATGGTATTGTTCATAGGAACAGGAGGAGGCCATTCAGCCCCTCAAGCCTGTTCTGTCATTCTATAAGATCATGGCTGATCTGTATCTCGACTCCAATTACCCGCCTTTGACCTGTATCCCTTGATCCCCTGACCTAACAAATAGCTATTCACCTCAGTCTTGAAACTCATGCTTGCATTCCAACAAAGTCAACTGCTCTCAGGACCCATCTTTTTGCTCCCCTTGTCCTGCCCTGTCCTGCCCTGTTAACATGCCCTGTGAGAAGAGGCAGACACCACACCCTGTTTGGGGAGGGGCACTTAGGATGTGTGATGCAGGATCCGTATTGGCTTTCAACAGGGAACAGGGATACCTAAAGAGGTGTCATTTGCAGAGGTTTTGGGAGAAAAGGCAATGGGACTGAGTGGATTCTTTGCTGCCAAAGTAGATAATATTCAAGTGAATATCCTTGAGTTTGATGTAGAAGCACCATTCATGTTGGGGGATGCCTCAAAGCCCTTCCTGTAATGTTCAGTGAGAATAAAGTGTGGCTTTATTGTAAGCTAATGCCAGTGCAAGTGTGAAAGGAGAAGCAATCACTATGGTGACGGCTCAGGGTGGGTGTTATATTAGTCCCCAAAACTGTGGTTTACTTCTGCAGAAGCTGAGTCCAGGCAATCACAACAACAACAACAAGATTACATTTGTATGGCACCTTTCATGTCGGGAGGGCACTAAAGAGGGCAAAAGCTACAAACGGTGCAAATATTGTCGTCAATAATAAAAAGTGAAGAATTGCAATAATAATAAAGCCTAAACGGTTTAGCGGTGTCCGGCTCACTTACCTCGGCAGGTTGTACCAGGAGAGCTCCAGTCGCCGGTATCTTGGCACCTTGTCCGTGTCGTCCCGTTCGGAATAAAGCCCACATCACAAGTGAACGTGCACTCAGACTGAAAGTGCTGCTCACCGTACAGTCCCTCACATTTGACGCTGCCGTGGCTCGGTTTGGTAATCGCAGGACAAGATTGGACTGGAGCACATAAACACACACAGGGCAAAATGTTCAGCTCAGCTGAGGGGTAGGGGATGGGGGCTGGGAAGGGGGAGGCTATTCGGCTCACAGTGTGTCTGTGCCATCGCTATCTCTGTGGTGGTCTCAGATCGCTGAGCCAGGCGGGTCCACAGGATTCAAGCACGAAGATGGTCATCGTAGCCGTTCATCACTAAAGTGCCAGACACCACCCGACCGACCCCCAGAATATTCTGCATGCAAGCCATAAATATTCCCGGCTTCATTCACTTACGAGAGATTCACTACAGCAAGACTCTATCGATTTGGTTAACTGACAATTAAACGCTTGTTATGCACTTGATAGCTATTCGGTTAATTAACAGATAAGCGTGTGTCCGTGCTCCACAACATATGATTGTGTTACGTCCCTCGGCTGTCTATACTGTACTTACCGTGTTCACAGTTTTTACCGGAGAAAACATGCTCACAATCACACGTGAAATCATTTGCCATCTCAGTGCAGTTGCCTCTGGAGTTGCAAGTTGTCGGTTTGCATTGAACTGCGGGGAAAGGGGAACGAACGCAGGGGTCAGTGTTGAGCTGGGGGTGGGGTGTGTGGGGTGTGTAGGGTGTGTGTGGGGTGTGTGTTTGTGTGGGTATGTGTATGTGGGTTTGTGTGTGTGAGGTGTATGTGGGATGTGTGTCTGCTCACACGTCACACAATAAATAATAATAATAATCCTTCCATTTAATATAGCGCCTTACCACATCTTTATGATGTCTCAAGGGATTTCACAGAATATACTGTACAGTGAATTGACTGTATATTTTGTGATCACAATTAAATCACCTAAACCAACACTGGTTAAAATTCGTCCATGTGCTTCAAAGGTGTATTTCATATTGCTTGAGAAAGCAGCAATGTCCCATTGCATGAAACAAACAGTCGTGGCTTAAGTGACCAAATTATTATTTTTTTTGCTTCCCCGTTACCCTCAGGAGCCTGATCCATAAGTTTACTACTTGATCACTGAAGCAGTGTTTATGCAGATTCTTTCTGAATTTACCACTTTCAATCGCAACCGACTGATTGGAACCGTGTCCTCTGGTTCTACTGTTCTGGACAAGATTAAAAACACCTTAACATGGTCTACATTGTGATATATCTGTCCCTCTTGGAGGCAACCAAGAGAGAGTAATCCTCACTTACTTCACACAAACTTAGACAAACAGGATAGGTGGGGACTTACATTCCTGGCACACGTAATACTTGCTGCTCGAGCAAGATACACTATTCCATTTGTGGTCATTATGTAACTCCGCACAATATTCATAAGCCAAAATGCGGTTGCTGGGCTCTCCAGACCCCCATTTGGTGTAGGACACTGGTTGATTGGAGCCTGTGAGGCACCAATTGCTCCCACACTTGGTCACTCCAAACCAAACTCTGTTGACACCAGTCACCTCCACCAGATACCGATGGAGCTCTTCGCTGTAGACTTCAGCCAGTCCATCGGAATGTGCTTTGCAGTCCTCGGATGATTGTGGAAATGTCTTTGGTACTTGGAACAACTTGAAGACGACACTTTCAGAAACGCACAGACACCCTAAACACACGGAAACAGCCGATTAGAAACAACATACCGTTCGCTCAGGTTATGTGACCAAATTTAGTGGGGAGAAGCCCTGTCCCTTCCAAGTTCTGCTGATGGGCCAGGCTGGGCTGGTGTGATCAGCAATGCCCTGGAGCACTGCAGACACGTCGCGCTCAGGAACAAGACTACTGAGGGAGAGAGAGAGAGAGACTCTCACAGAGGATTGACTGGATTCCAACATCCCTTTGCCAAGCACATCACCTTAGCTTCAAGGAGAAGCACTTACCTCGTTTCTCTCACAAGGAGAATAGTCATCATTTCCTGCAAATGGACGGCACTGAATTCGGTGGATTTAATATGATTGCGGAAATGGAAATGTAATAGTTTCGAGGTTAGGTTTTACAAAACCACAATTAATTGAAACAACGTTAAAAAAATGACAGCAGTTAAATAATAAATGTTCGTACCAGACAGGAGAAGAAACCGTGAGACGTTGGCAATCATTCTCCCGGGAGAAAGCCCAGTGACCACACCAACCTTGAGGGAGATTCCAAACTAAGTGCAGCTCTGAATGGACTGAGAGACAGATGACCAGACCTCACAGTCTGCTGAACGGAAGCAGAATCTGTCATTAAAGCCAACCCTCAACTTTGGTACAAAATTAGATCCAATCTTTTGTTTCTGAGACTCCTCCCAGCACCGGCAATACTTAATCCACAAAATAGTTTGTGAGTGATTCTAAGAATCCTCTGGTATCGCTTCCCTGTAGATCTTAGCCTTGGTACAGACCAACCATGATGTTTAACATCCCCTCAGCTCTTTCACAATCCCTGAGTACCTACCACATAGTCTGTATAGTCATTACCAGCGCACACGCAGACACATACACACACACCAACCACGCACACACATGCACACACACATACCAACCACGCACACACATGCACACACACATACCAACCACGCACACACACGTATCAACCATACATACTCATATACATACACAGATACCAACCATACACACATATATACACACACACAGTGGACGTAAATGTACAGTACAAGTTATTGTAAAATTAGATTCAGGAAATCACCACAAACTGTACAGCACTGAGTGTGGAGAATGTGATGTGTGAAAGATATTTCAAGATAGAGTGCACAGAGACACATTCTCCACACTCAGTGCTGTACAGAAAACACATACTGGAGAAATATTCACAACAACAATAATAATCATCGTTGCATTTGATATAGCGCCTTTTGGCATCTTCGAAAGCGCTCTGAGGCACTACTCTGTGCGGAGGGCGCTATTCAAGTGCAATTTGTTGTTGTTGTCTCACAGCACTTTACAAGATATACTGTAAAGTGTGGTGACTGTATATTTTGTGGTCAAAACATGGCAGCCAATTGCGCACCGCAGCTTCCGCGCACACAGTTGTGGATTGAGAGACCAAATTGTTATTTTTTTTAATCGATTTCTTGTTGAAGAGATTATTATTCCCAGAAACACACAAAACTCTTCGGGAAGGTTCACATCACTTCCTCTTTTTAATTTTTTTTAAAAAAAGGAACAGTGTAAATTGACAAGGAACTGGCGAGACCGAAATCAACACTTTTAGTATTGTTTTAAAAAAATTTGATACGAGACACAGCAATCTAGCTTCCAAACATCTTTTATTTGTGAATCGGTAAATCCTGACACTCTTTTCCCCCCCGTTACCACTAACTGATTAAACCCACACCAGTACTGGATTAGACCATCACAGCGTACGCTTATATAGGTGACACCTCGCTTAGAGCATGTACACACTCCAACATGGCTCAAGGGATCTCTCTCAGGGGAGGGCTGATTGGTGAATTTACACACGACGAGGGTATAAATCAGAGCTGTACACCCCATGTGTGTAGGACCTGATTGACACTAAATTGAAGCTCTTCCAACAATGCTCTGTGTCAGTGAGTAAAGCAAGTGTGAGTGAGTGAGTGAGTGAACGAGTGAGTGAGTGAACGAGTGAGTGAGTGAACGAGTGAGTGAGTGAACGAGTGAGTGAGTGAACGAGTGAGTGAGTGAACGAGTGAGTGAGTGAACGAGTGAGTGAGTGAACGAGTGAGTGAGTGAACAAGTGAACGAGTGAGCGAGTGTCTCAGTCACCAATGCCCTTGTGTTGCCACTGGTGATTGACTGCCTCACAGATTCTCGTAAATGTCCTGCTCTTCCTTGGGGTCGGGGGGACCTCCTCTTCGGGGCGACACGTTGGTGTACAGCAGATCCTCGTCAGCCTCCGCCTCTCGCCCCGTCATCCGCTTCGCGTACCTCGCGTCCTCCAGCGTTTGTTGCTGCTTCTGTGTCATCAGGCTGCGCACATAGACGTTGGAAACTTAATAATAATCCCGGCATTCGACACAGCGCTTCATCACGTCTTCGAGGTGTCTCAAAGCACTTCACAGGATGCACTGTAAAGTGTAGTGACTGTATGTTTTGAGGGCGAAACCCAGCAGCCAATCACGCACAGCAGCGTCCCCACAAACAGTCGGGGATTAAAGGGATTACTGCTCCCGGAAAAGAGATCCGCCAATCGACTAACAACTGGGTTCCTACTCACTGCTGGTAAACAGAGGCGTGTGGCGTAAGGAAACTTGCCGACGGTTACACCCTGCACGGGAATCGAACCCAGGTCCTCTCGCTTGCGAGGCGAGAGCTCTAACCACCGAGCTACAGGACTCCACAGGGTAGGCTTAACCCCAACGCGAGGATGACTAGGGGGGCAGTGGGGAGGAGGGCAGAGCCAGCCCCCAGCTGGTACTTTGGGGAGTTGACAGCAACACAATCTCGGGGGGAATGCGGAGACCGATCGCTGAGGACAATAGCTGCGCTGATTGTTGTTACTCACATATTGTGGAGATGTTGGGTTCGCTCTGAAGGAGGTGAAAGAGAAAGAGGTTATTACATTACAACATCATTTACATTTACATTTACACAGCGGCTTTCACAGCGAGAGGACGTCTCAAAGCCCTTCACAACACTGGCTGGGCACCCGAGCTGGGGGGGGAGAATTGGGGGGAGGGAATTGAGACGCTGCCTTAAACGAAGGGAGGGAGTGAGTGAGTTGGAGGAAGCGAATCGGAGGGAGGGAGGGAGTAGAGATTGAAACTGAACATGCATGGAATACAAGCTCGACTAGTCCACTATTTGTGTAATATTTTAGAGCGAATTTCTGCGAAGGGAAGTGAACACGGCAGCCAATTCACACACATCAACATCTCACAAACAGCCACTGACAACCAGCTTTATGGTGAACGACCAGGTTTATGGTGAACGACCAGGTTTATGGTGTTACCTTCGCCTTTTTTTCTCTTCCGAAAGCAGGTGATCACGGTCAGTAAGAGCAGGAACATGGCTACGACTCCGACAATGACAGAGAGAAGGATAAACAAGAGTTGGGGCACTATGTCTGGGACGCCTGGAGTCACAAAACAATCACAGTGTTACTGAGATCAACTTATTAAGAATAATAGTAATCCTTAAACACATCCCCACAAACTGCACCCCAATATAACCAGTGTAGTAGGGAAGGTACGTACATTGGACATCGTGTGAGGTCCAGTTCCCCGAGTCCTGACAAACCGTCTCAAGGTCACCGTGAAGAACATATCCCCCATCACACGAGAAATAGCAACTGGCGTTGTAGTGAGTGTCACCGTAGAGACCAGAACAGTTCAGTCTACCGTACTGTGGGGAATCCAGAGCCTGGCAGGGAACAGCTGGGAGGGGTGGACACAGACACACACACACACACACACACACACACACACACAGACACACACACAGACACAGTAAAACATGCCACACAACATACACCAAACACACAGACACACACACACAAAACAGAGTAACGTTGGGTCACAAATGTTTTTGAAACTTTTTCTCCTCTAAAATAATTAATAAACTTGTAATTAATATTACATTTCACACCAAACCTGGACCCTTATCAGTGTAATTAATGCAGCACTATCACTATATGAGCCGCACTCCTCTGAGCTCTCACTGGTGACCGCCCCCCAATCCCCCAACCCCCAGATCTGCTGTTGCTAATAAGCTAATGCCAGCGTAAGTGTGAAAGGAGAAGCAATCACTCTGGTGATGGCTCATCCGGCCCACCTCAGGGTGTTATGTTAGACCCCGAAACTGTGGTTTCTTTCTGCAGAAGCTGAGTCCAGGCAATGACACTAAACAGGGCAAAAGCTACAAACGGTAAAAATATCGTCGTCAATAATAAAAAGTGCAGAATTGCAATAATAATAATAAATAAAAGCGCACACACACAAGCGAGCTAAGGCAATCAACTCTGGGGCAAAAGAGGTGCCAAAGCCTAAATGGTTTAGCGGTGTCCGGCTCACTTACCTCGGCAGGTTGTTCCAGGAGAGCTCCAGTCGCCGGTATCTTGGCACCTTGTCCGTGTCGTCCCGTTCGGAATAAAGCCCACATCACAAGTGAACGTGCACTCAGACTGAAAGTGCTGCTCACCGTACAGTCCCTCACATTTGACGCTGCCGTGGCTCGGTTTGGTAATCGCAGGACAAGATTGGACTGGAGCACATAAACACACACAGGGCAAAATGTTCAGCTCAGCTGAGGGGTGGGGGGTGGGAAGGGGGGAGGCTGTGCCATCTGTGTCTGTGCCATCGCTATCTCTGTGGTGGTCTCAGATCGCTGAGCCAGGCGGGTCCACAGGATTCAAGCACGAAGATGGTCATCGTCGCCGTTCATCACTAAAGTGCCAGACACCACCCGACCGACCCCCAGAATATTCTGCATGCAAGCCATAAATATTCCCGGCTTCATTCACTTACGAGAGATTCACTACAGCAAGACTCTATTGATTTGGTTAATTGACAATTAAAAGCTTGTTATGCACTTGATAGCTATTTGGTTAATTAACAAATAAGCGTGTGTCCGTGCTCCACAACATATGATTGTGTTACGTCCCTCGGCTGTCTATACTGTACTTACCGTGTTCACAGTTTTTACCGGAGAAAACATGCTCACAATCACACGTGAAATCATTTGCCATCTCATTGCAGTTGCCTCTGGAGTTGCAAGTTGTCGGTTTGCATTGAACTGCGGGGAAAAGGGAACGCAGTGGTCAGTGTTGAGCTGGGGGTGGGGTGTTTGTTTGTGTCCGCTTATAAATCACTGGATTACAGAAATAGAAATTTACTGTGCAGGAAAAACCCATTAGTCCCATCGTATCAGAGTCTACACCAACTCTCAGACTGAGGTAGTCATTCAATCCCCTCTAATCCTACAATTGTCTCTGTCTCTATCCTAATGAAACTGTATGTAATAGTCCTTACATTTTGATACAATGCCTTATGACATCTTCAAGACTTCTCAAAGCGCTGCACAAAATATACTATAAACAACAACAACAAAATGACATTTATAGAGCGCCTTTCACATCGGGAGGACGTCCCAAAGCGCTGAACAGTCAGGTGTCGGGGCCCGAGCCGGGGGGAGGGATGGGGTTGGGGTGAGGGAAGGCAGAGAGGTGGGAGTGAGATAAAAGGCACAGTCGAGAAGGGTCTTGAGACCCTCCTTGAAGGAGGTAAGGGAGGAAGCGAGGCGAAGGGACCGTGGGATGGAGTTCCAGAGTGTGGGGGCAGAGAGGCTGGAAGCCCGGCCACCGATGGTAGGGCGGGAGACATTGAGCAGCCGGAGCCCGCTGAACGGATGGAGCGGGCAGGTTGGTAGGAAGTCAGCAGGTCAGAGAGGTAGGAGGGGTCAAGGCTATAAATGGTGTAGTGACTGTATATTTTGTGGGTGAAATGCGGCAACAGCAACAAGATTACATTTGTATAGCGCCTTTCACGGCAGGAGGACGTCCCAAGGCACTGGAAATTATACACAGCAAAGTCCCACAAACAGTCGTGGTTTGAGTGACCACATATATTTTTTAAAAAAGGGATTATTTATTAAACGAAAACTTCCTGGCGTCAGTCTTGAAATTATCCTTTGCAACCCTCAGCTGTGTCCTTTGGGTTTCTATCTCAGTATGTCAGAAAGTATTGCTTTGACTTTACATTTTCACTTCCCATTTATAATTTTATACACAGCTCTGAGCTGTGAGCAACTCGCAACATGTAATTATGACGGCTTCGGAAAATGTAGTCTCTGCCTAAAAAACCCATAGCTCCCAAATAAAGGCAACAATAGGGAACCGGAGGTGCAGTTTGTCTCATCTATTCGCCAGTCTTATCTGTCCCACTTGGAGGCAACCTCGAGAGCATAATCCACGCTTACTTCACACAAGTGAAGAGAAATCTGATAAGTGGGGACTTACATTCCTGGCACACGTAATACTTGCTGCTCGAGCAAGATACACTATTCCATTTGTGGTCACTATGTAACTCCGCACAATATTCATAAGCCAAAATGCGGTTGCTGGGCTCTCCAGACCCCCATTTGGTGTAGGACACTGGTTGATTGGAGCCTGTGAGGCACCAATTGCTCCCACACTTGGTCACTCCAAACCAAACTCTGTTGACACCAGTCACCTCCACCAGATACCGATGGAGCTCTTCGCTGTAGACTTCAGCCAGTCCATCGGAATGTGCTTTGCAGTCCTCGGATGATTGTGGAAATGTCTTTGGTACTTGGAACAACTTGAAGACGACACTTTCAGAAACGCACAGACACCCTAAACACATGGAAACAGCAGATTAGAAACAACATACAGGGAACAAACCGTTCGCTCAGGTTATGTGACCAAATTTAGTGGGGAGAAGCCCTGTCCCTTCCAAGTTCTGCTGATGGGCCAGGCTGGGCTGGTGTGATCAGCAATGCCCTGGAGCACTGCAGACACGTCGCACTCAGGAACAAGACTACTGAGGGAGACAGAGAGAGAGACTCTCACAGAGGATTGACTGGATTCCAACATCCCTTTGCCAAGCACATCACCTTAGCTTCAAGGAGAAGCACTTACCTCGTTTCTCTCACAAGGAGAATAGTCATCATTTCTTGCAAATGGACGGCACTGAATTCAGTGGATTTAATATGATTGCGAAAATGGAAATGTAATAGTTTCGAGGTTAGGTTTTACAAAACCACAATTAATTGAAACAACGTTAAAAAAATGACAGCAGTTAAATAATAAATGTTCGTACCAGACAGGAGAAGAAACCGTGAGACGTTGGCAATCATTCTCCCGGGAGAAAGCCCAGTGACCACACCAACCTTGAGGGAGATTCCAAACTAAGTGCAGAGGCAGCTCCGAGAGACAGATGACCAGACCTCACAGTCTGCTGAACGGAAGCAGAATCTGTCATTGAAGCCAACCCTCAACTTTGGTACAAAAGTGGATCCAATCTTTTGTTTCTGAGACTCCTCCCAGCACCGGCAATAGTTAATCCACAAAATAGTTTGTGAGTGAATCTGAGAATCCTCTGGTATCGCTTCCCTGTAGATCTTAGCCTTGGTACAGACCAACCATGATGTTTAACATCCCCTCAGCTCTTACACAATCCCGGGGTACCTACCACATAGTCTGTATAGTCATTACCAGCGCACACGCAGACACATACACACACACCAACCACGCACACACATGCACACACACATACCAACCACGCACATACCAACCGTTCACACATACACACACACCAACCACACACACACCACTCATACATATAACAGCCCATTTCTTCTGTAATTTTTTATATTTTGGTGTTATGTTTAACAATAACAAATTACATTTACACGGCGCTTTTCACATCAGGACTTCTCAAGGCACTGGACTGTCAGGGATTTGGACCTGAGCTGGGAGTTGGGACGAGGGGGGGGGTAGGAGGGTGACAGTCGACACGGTCAAAGAGGAGGGTCTTGAGGCAGGCCTTGAAGGAGGCAAGGGAAAGAGCGAGGCGGAGGGAATGTGGGATGGAGTCCAAGGACAGAGAGCCTGAAGGCCTGATCGCCGCTACTGGGGCAGGCTGGGCGGAGGACCGGGCGAGGGATGTGGGGTGGCCCGAAGCCTGCTGAGCCGGAGGGAGCTGGCAGAAGAACACAAGAAATATCATGAAAACATTGACACGAGACGCACAAATCTAGGTTTTTAAAATGCTTTATTTGCGACAACGTAAATCTCTTTTCCCCCCCGTTACCGTGGTTTGCTCATTAGCTCCCACACCAGTACTGGATTAGACCATCACAGCGTACGCTTATATAGGTGACACCTCGGTTAGAGCATTACACACTCCAACATGGCTCAAGGGATCTCTCTCAGGGGAGGGCTGATTGGTGAATTTACACACGACGAGGGTATAAATCAGAGCTGTACACCCCGTGTGTGTGTGTGTGTATTAATAAGGGGAGTTTTACTAGTTTATTATTGAATCTCCCACTGGTGCATCGCTTTGCTCTACCTCACTCAAGGCTGCTGTAGACAGAACCCTGAAGCAGAAGCCAATTCTCGTACACTTAAATCCCATTAAGTGTAACCAGCTATGAAACTGAATATCCCATTGCCCCCCCACCCCCCGGTGAGAATTCCAAGTGCCACCCTGGAACACTTGGCACCCAATACATTGTGTGGGCTCTGTTTTGTTCAAACAGCAAAAGAAACTCATAACGTTTCAAAGTTGTCCTATCTACAAGTTAATTTATCTGGCTGCTCCCTGCTAGCAGATTTTCGATTAGATCATTCATTGTACAGCCTTTTCCCCCCTCCGTTCACTCACACCCACCCCCTCGCCCCACACAAACTCTGCACACTCCCCGTACTTTGCGCCCTTTTGTGCTGTGCGCAGGAAGTGATGTGAAAGGTATCTCGACAAGCCCCGACGAGACATATTGCGCGCACTCCCCTTTTGAAGCGAGTGTGAGATATTGGACCCAGTGCTCGGGGATTAGAATAGGGTGTTCCCTGTATTACAGGGGTGGATAGGAACACCAAGTGGCAACCAACAAATGGTGCTGACAAACAGTCATTTCTGTAGACTGACTCACTACCAAGGGTCAGTTCTCAAACCTCCCGCTTTGTAAAGTGCACGTGTGTGTGTGTGTGTGTGTGTGTGTTGGGAGGGGGGTGGGGGGAAACAATACTCGCTGAATGCCAAGATCGTGAAACTTCTGCTGAGAGGACGTGAAGGTTTGCTGTCAAACAAAAGGCTGTGGATTATGGCTGGATCCACTAACATTTCCAAAGCTGAGGGGGAAAGATATCTGTTAGATCAGGGATTCAAAGGATATGTAGCCAGGGCGGGTAATTGGAGCTGAGGTACAGATCAGCCATAATCTAATAGAATGGCGGAATAGGCTTGAGGGGCTGAAGGGCCTGCTCCTGTTCCTGTGAACAATACACTTCCCCATGCACCGGCGAGATTGTAGACATCTCAACAAAAATGGGTTGACAAAGCTGAACTGTAGTGAGAATACATTTAGAATAAGTTTACTGATCATTTTATACATTCATCATACAATATCTAGGATACGAAGTACTCTTGAATTTACAGTTTCACATGATATAGTTGCTCGTGAATGCTAACAGGCAGTTTCAAAAATAAAATTGCCAATACATTCAAGCAGTCTAAAGAAGCAAAAAAAAACTTTAGTCTCCATTAAGTAAAGCCACAGCTTTGTGTACTGACTGATTAAAAGGGCTGCAAACAGCACTTCCACAGGCTGACAAAACAATCATCGCAATACGCCGTCAACCTTCACAGCATTACTGTGGTGCCAATTGCAGTTCACTTACTTGTGTGCGCTTTTTTTTTACTCCTGTTTCTGCTCATCACAGAGTCCATCCACACTTTAGGGCAGACACACGGAGCCAGATTCATTGTTTGTCTTTGTTGGTCAGCCGGGTGTCTGACGCACACCGGAAACCCGTCACCGCGCTTAGAGTATCCAAACCACATATTGACACGCTCTACATGTGGGAATTTGCCTGCGTGAAGTCAGCTTGGTTGTAGTAGTGGCTCCGTCACTGGCCTTTTAAACCGACATATTAGACCTCCCCCCACTCCCAAAAGACAATCCTTTCAGAGGGAGAAGACATCAGAGACTTTGGAAGAGAATTGACTGTATATTTTGTGGGCAAAATATGACAGCCAATTGCACACCTCAGTGTCCCACACAGTCGTGGGTTGAGTGACTAAATTATTATTTTTTGGAGGGATTATTACCTTATTAAGCAATCCACCAATCGACTAACAACCGGGAACCTACTTGCTGCTAGGTAAACAGAGGCGTGAGGATTAAGGAAACTTAGCCAACGTTTCGCCCTGCCCGGGAATCAATCCCAGGTCCTCTCGCTTGCAAGGCGAGTGCTCTAACCACTACAGAACTCCACTCTACGAGTCTGGGAGAAATTATGCTACAAAAGGAGAGAAATTCTGTGGCTCTGGCTTTGGGGATAAATCCCGGTGCTTTGCAAACACTGACTTCAAAATAGAGAAAAATACGTAATTTACACACTTCATGTTGGCCTGACACTGCGAATGCAAAATAAAACACAATACTGTCAATGTTATTTACAAATTCTCTGTCTGTTTCATGTTAGCCACAACTAGTAGTCCCGCACCAACATTGTTGGCCAAATAGCACCTTTGTGGCTACTAGCTTTGTATTTGCAAATTTGTGACTTAATAATAATAATAATAATAAACACAAGTTATTTGACCGTTAATTACAATAGGTTTTTTTCCCCCTACAATTAGCATTCCCAAGATTCCCAAGGTTTCCGCAGAGCTACAAAAGGTATGTGAGGGGCAGGCTCCTTTTAAAGAACTGTCCTCACAACAAAGAGCAAAATGAACAGACACTATTATCATTCCACAATGATTCTCTTCAGTGTTATTATAATAGTAATAATCCTTGCATTTGAAATCTAGCCTTATCACGTCTTTGAGACACCGCAAAGCGCTTCAGAGAATATACTGTAAAGTGAATTGACTATATTTTGTGGGCGAAACGCAGCAGCCAATTGCGCACAGCAGTGTCCCACAAACAATCATGGATTGAGTCACCAAATTATTATTATTATTTTTGTGAAGGGATTATTACCACCGGAAAAGCGAACTGTCAATCGACTTGACAACCGCGCTCCTACTGTGCACATCCCATACAGGTCTGGGTGTGAGATTCAGAGCGCTCCAATCCTTAACAGACAGCATCAAGCCAGGAGGAATATTAAAACTTTTCAGAAAGAAAGTGGGTATGTTTCTTTTTAAAAAAAACAAATCTTTTTAAAACAAAATCTGATTACAACATAAGATTATCGAATGACACTCTCCCATGAATCAAATCCAATTCAAGTGCCATTAATGTTTTTAAAAAAAAGCATGAAACTTTATACTGATAGCTTCCTAAGGTGTACGTGTAGTTGTACGTGTGTGTGTGTATACACGTGTTTAAAACATATGCATGTTTTAAGTAGTAACACAATCAGGATATTACAAAAAAAAAGCAATTATAACCAGATAATTTTACCAGGTAATTGAACGGCCAGAGTTAAAAATAAATAACTGCAAACTTGAACTCACTTACTTTCGACTGAGCTTATGAAGGATTATTTAGTTTACAGACGGAAGGAAAGCGAACGCTGTTTTGGTTGAGAATCGGAGTACAGCTGCTCCCTGTCAGTATGGAGAGGTTACTCACCATCGAGTTACTGCCTTCAGATCACAGACACAATGAGCTTTACGGGACAATACCAAAAGATTCTGGTTTGATTCTGCTCCTTGTATCACAGGTTTCCGATCTAGTCCGAGGGTGTTTGTTTGCTGAATCACATGCTACATGCTCAACTGGAAGCCTTTCTCGTCTGCAGTTTGAATGTTCCAAGGCCCCGCTCGGGACTTTCTCCACTGCAATGCTTTGCTTTTCCTACGCAAACGTCAAGGCGTGAGAGCTCAACTCAGCTCAACGCTGGCTGCAGCCCCTGGTTACATAAGTGCTTTTCAAACGTCACAACGCAAAAAAAAATGTTTCTTTTAAAGAATTGGCACCACAATATCAATACTCCCATATCCTGCCACAATACAGAGCTTGGGGGGGGAAGAGTGGGGAGAAGAAAAGCGATGCGTTTTACACTGCCAGCCATTAACATTTAAAATAAAGCACAATATTTAAAAACTCTGCCCAGCAATAGGCACATCACCCTTCCTTTCAAATATACAGAGTAGTGGACAACCAGTTTGTATTGTGTAGACCAGCCCAGCGAGCGGCTCCTGCCAGTTCCCACCGAGCTCAACTACGTGTAAAAGATGATCTCGGGGACCTGGCCATCCTCAACAGACGTCCCGTTATTGTTCCCAGCAGCGTAACAGAAAGTGAAGACTGTCTTTGTGCCCGTGGTGGGAGACTCGTGGGTGACTTTACGCAGTCCTTTAGTCCCATAATGTGAATCCGGCCCCTGCAGGGGAAACAAACCGCAGAGGGACAGTTTTAAGAGTTGGCGGAAACCAACATTAATAATAGCATTTGATTATACAATAAATAATTACATTTGTGTAGCACCTTTCACATCTGAAGCTTTCAGTGAAGGAACATCCATCAATTCTGCCCCTCGATCTCCAACTTACCTTCAATGTAGCACATGCAGTATAGTTAACATTGGGCAAAATCTCCACCGGCTCCTTGAACATAACCCTGAATGTATTGGATGATCCATCACAACTAAAACCAGTATCATTCTGTCCCAAAATTGTGTTGCTGTCAGTGTGAATAATCTGGGGGGGAAAAGAAGAATACAGAACCTTATTAACAGTTAAGAAATCTGTGCAATCACCAACAGAAATGATCAATTCCAGCTCAATGATTTACTTCCCCAGAGAAACACTATTGGATGAGTACAGGCTGATTGTACTGGCTGGAACTCAGCAACAAACTGCACTGTACAGCACACAGCTACCTATTCCCCATCTCTTCAGGTCCCACCCCATCCACAGCTCAGGTGCCCAGCCAACAGCGTCAAGTGCTTTGAGAAGTCTTCCGGACGTGAAAGGCCCTACACGGATATGAATTGTATTGCAACAAAAATTGTCCACGCTTTCGCCACCCCTCCTCCACCCCTCTCTAATCCTTGCTGTGCTCAGAGTGGTCACTACAGAAGAGCATCCTCAAATAATGCTGGCACCTCAGTCAAGTCAGAGAACTTTGGCCCAGCCAAACTGGGCCAAAGAACTGTGACCTAACATCATGCACTTGTTCACTTCTATATTAGCAGCATTTCCAGAGCTGTTACAGATACGCCAAGTGGGTAATAATGCCAGGTTACCTGTATATTTACTTGATAGTCTGTGGGCCCGTGTATTGATCCGTACAAGCCAAACCCAACCACAAATATCCTCCTGTTTACAGTGAACCTATGGAATGAAAAATGAGTAACTCACATTAGAGGATTCCTTTTAGCTTCAGCTCTCAATATCAAATCAGGACAAATATAATCGTTTTGAAGCGCTTTTTGAGGCATTGTGGAGGGGGGCTCTCAGGGTGGAGGCTCGTACCTTATCCGGTCGCTCGTCCCGCTGTAGCCCCAGCGACTCTCCACTTGCTGGAAGCGGTTGATGCTGCATTCTTTGCCTCGTAAGCAGCAGCGAGGCCGATCTATAAACTCCACTCGGGGCTTAGGGTTGACTGTGAAATGCAGGAAGAGACTGACAACCTCTCGGTCAGTTAGGACTGCTGACTGTGCTGGGCCTGCAGCAACACAGAAACAGAGGTTTTGGAAACAAAACAGACAAAAAAACAAATGTTTTATACATACATACATACACACACATATATATACACACACACAGATATATACAAATATACTGATAAAATCCCTGCATACATACATATATATATAGCGCCTTATCACATCGTTGACCCATCTAAAAGCGCTTCACAGAATCTACTGTAAAGTGATGTGTTAACTTGGTGAGACTACAGAACGTCATACAAAGATGTTCACCCACAAAGTAGTCAATTCATTTTACAGTATATGTATAGTAAGTGCTTTGAGACATCTTGAAGACGTGATAAGCCTCTAGATCAAATGCAAGAATTATTATTATTCACTGAAGCAGTGCTGGGCGCGGAGAATGTTCCAATTGGTCTCACCTGCTGCAAACTCCTCGATGGTCATGAGAGGGAATCTGATGAGGGACAGAGCTTTCCCCAGGACTTTCCGCTTGTTCTCAGGAGTCAGTTGGAGCTGCTGTCGCTGACACTCGGCCTCCGCCCAGCGACCCACCGCGTTAAACAACCGGATCTCGCGAATCCCAAGCGTATCCCGTTCCAGTACAGCCATCAGGGTATCTGTAGGGAGAAACTGTGACATTACACACTGTCTAACCTTTATATATATATATATATACACACATATACACACACACACACATATATATATATATTCAGCCCTCAAGCCTGTTCCGCCATTCTAAAAGATTATACATTTAGGGATTTAAAAAGATAAAACTATTTTAAAAGAAGAATGAAAGGTGACTGTAGCTCTCAGGTGTGTTTACGTGAACGGTAAGTAAATTGTAATCTGTTGACAATACGTGAAACTGCATTGAATATGAACAAAATGTAAGTTCCAGGTCTGAGTAAGATACACATAGAAATGATTTAGCCTTCCTGGCTTATATTCCAAGTGATCTTGGGTTTGACGTAATAATCAATTTTAAATCTTGATTAACTTGCAGAATTTCAGAAAGGGCTTGGATTTCTGGCAAACCAGATTTTAGGAAGAATCCTGGTTTAGGAAGTAAGAGTCTGATTCTTACATTTAAACCTTTGCAAAAGCAGCAATTTTCCACAACGCACAACTTCATGTCAATGCCTGTTTAATTTCAAACATACAGTGACCTGGAAACCTAATGAAAAGCAGTTCATGCCATCTCATCTCACACTGCCTACCAACGCAGTTATCTTTTATCGCCCACCAGACAAGTCAATGTTTTGTTTAAGAGTTAAAACATCGATAGCCTTTATCGCTTACCTAAATCAATATCTGTGAAACCTTCCGCATTGATTGCATCTGAAGTATTTTTATCAATATTTTCCAGGCATAAGCTGGCAAGCTGAGGTTCATCAAAGAGCCTTGCCTGAGGAACAAAAACAACGGGCATTTTAGTCAACGCACGATTTATATTCAAGATGAGACTTTTCTGAGGCTGTAAGTCCCATCTACTGCTGTAGTTAATGGGTTTAAACACACATTATTTCACGTTACTCAAATATTGACTTTTTCTTTGAATAAAAGGCCATTCCTAAAATCATATTCCTCAGTAAGCTCCAAATATAGATGACAAAAAAGCGTCAAAAAGGTCAGGTCTCAAACCTATGTCAAGTGGAAGCGACTCTGTAACGTAACTGGCAATTAAGTGCAAGCTGAGAATCAAAGCTTGGACCCTGATTGATTACACATTAGCTTGAAGATCTCGGATAACTGCATCGGATGTTATAAAACTTTACTGTCTGGATTCAGATAATTAGCTCTGGAAAACGTTGCTGAGCCATTTACATCCAATACAGTGCTCCTCAGCAGAACATCTGTGCCTGATCCCAGTCCAAAGCCCCACCATTTTAGTCACATTGCAAGTCTCTGACAGGAATGGATTGCTTTCCCATTCCAACTAAATCCACCTAAAGGAAGTAGCAGCTTTTCCAAACCACTTCCCTCAGCGTTCTCGAGTTTGGCTTCAATATACAGAGTAAACAGTAGGTGGTTTCACCAGGACTGAGCGAGTGGCAGCACTCAAGTTTCACCCCTAAATATCATAAGTGTGGGATCCCGCGTTAGATCCTCGGCTTTTGTTTAATTAGCTGAACAAAAGCCTGGAAAGGAGGGGAAACAAAAGAGTATTATTGCACAAGCAAACATCTCATTGGTGCCACTGTGCAATCAATCATTGTAAACGCTAAGAAAACTCTACAGTCACTCTAAATGAATGATATGACCCTTTAAGAGGATCAGACTGTACAACAAAGCACTGAGTGCTGAGGAAAAGATTAACTTTCTCATGGAAAAGGTCCACCCAGCCAATTGTTTACCTTGGAAGGTTTCCACAATCAGCACAGGGTATGATCACCAGGAATGTTCCAGCTTCCCACTAGCTCCACTCCCTAAATTATAATCCACATCATCATAAGGTAATCAGCACAAGGGATCTGTACTAAATAACACTATGAATTTTCTGTGCAGGTTGAATCCTAATATTAAAATTCATAGGGCGCAATGCAAGGGACTTGCAAGTCTCAAACTTGCAAGTTATAACTAGTAATGACTAGTTTTCCCCGTGATTTTTTATTTTGCCTAAAGATTCAGCATTTCAACAGAATCCCAACCCAGAGAGCGCTGGAACTCAAGAGCTCACAAATGCAAGACATCTCCTCTCCCAAGCAGATGCACAAGGGCAGGGTTTTTCCAGGTTGCCAACAAGATCAGAACATAACGCTTTTAGCACACGGTCATTCAGGCGAGGCTAGGTACGATAATATAGTAACATAACAGGAATGATTTCAATCAGAAGCTCATTAGTCCATCAATTTCCCTCAGGATTCCTCCGACGTGTCTGATAACCCTTAATTGGGCAGGAACTTGTCTTGTTCCTTTTTAAACCCCTTTGTATTTCTCTCTCACCACTCGTGCTGATAGAATGCTCGAGGGCACACAAACACACACAGCGGAACACTTTTATGAGTTTGGGGTTGAACCACATTACTGAGATAGAGTAAATGAAGCCTTATTTCTGATAAGATTAGAGCTAATTCATTCAGAAGCCTCTCCGATGCTCTCCAGCCAAACACAATAATAATAATACTTTCATATGATACAGCGCCTTATCACATTTTCAAGACATCTCAAAGCGCTTCACAGGATACACTGTAAAGAGAATTAACTGTATATTTTGTGGGCGAAACTTCACCACCATCATATTAAATAAATAAATAAATAATCCTTGCATTTTGATATATTGGCAAGTGTTAAGCACCTGATAGTGGCATAAACAACAGCCAGCAGCTGCTCTTCATGAGAAAGCATTTGACAAATTGTGGGAAGGGAGAGGAGCCAGAGAGAGAGAGAGAGAGTGGTGTCATTTTTGTCCCAATGACATTGCTTATCAGTGCCACAATGACACATTTCCATGTGAAGCAACCTTTGTTTCTTTCAATGGAGCTATTGGGAATCGAAAATGAACGCAAACAATGAAAGAAAGTCTAACTTAACACTAAAAAAAAACTCTAAATATTTCTAAACCTGACCCAATTTTCAACACCAGACAGTCGAAAGGGCGACAAAGGTCTGCTAAATCAGCCCGCTCGCTCTGGATATTCTAAAGCAAACTTCCCCACAAGAGCTAAAACCAGACAGACATTGGTGCCCACAGCTGCCCTCAATATGGCAGAGCTGACAACAGTTGCAAGGGCACCTCCAGCATCGCTGAACAAAAATAGCATCCAGAATGAAAGGTGCCCGGCGAGGGAGCTCTGAAAGCTTCCCTGCGTGAGGGGTGCCATATAAAGGCAAGTTGTTGTAGTTCTCACCCATTTAATAGTTACTGTTAAACCTCCAGCAGTGGCTCGGTGGCTGCTGGGGTGGAATACTCCTTGGGCTGGTTGGTGGAGCCATGCAGGATAGCCCAGGTCAACGTGCTGTAGAAAGGTTCGCAACAACAACAACAACTTACATTTGTATAGCGCCTTTCACGTGGGGGAGTGACATGTCACAGTAACGTACGAACATCACTTGAGTTTGTTAACGGAGCTCAAAATATTTTGTTTTCTCCCAACTCCCTGTTTGCAGTCAAAAGCTCGCTTTCACCGCAAAACACGTGCACGATTATACAGGGGAAGGGCGGATCGAGAGAAAAGAATCACAGAACATCACTGCCGTTCACGAGCTAGCTCTGTGACCTTAGCAGCGGGCTCCTTCCACTCTCTTCCCCCAACCTCAGCCAAAAACAAGTCCTACTAACGTTTTTCACTAGAGCGCTTTGTCAATCTCTCCTTCCCTACCTCTCCCTCTCCAACTCGATCGCCTTCCTTAATTTCCTCGGCCCCGTTTAGTGCTCTCTCTCGATCCTCCCGGTTCCGTGGCCAGACGGACACGGAGCCCTGGTATCCAGGAGGCTGTCCCACGGCTGTGTCACCTGACACTGCGCACGTTTTACCACACATAGCTGTGTGCCTCTGCAATATCATCAAAAACAGTTTGGAGAAACTGTAAATTTAGCTCATTAGTGCCACAGCTATGTGTGGCATGATGAAAACATACACAGCGAGCAGCGATTTACCTACCCCAGTGTACTGACCTACAAGACAAACCCCAAGGCCACCCTCACACTAGTAGGTTTATTTCCCAGTGAAACACTGCCATTTGCCCGTGTGCCCTGGCCAACCATCCTCCCAGATTAATCAATCATTCGTCCCACAGTGTGGGACGTTGCTGGATCAAGTGGCTTCCACATTGCCTACGAAAAACAGTGGCTGTACTCCGCAGTAATTACCTGTGAAATGCAGGACTATTAAAATGCAAATACAAGATCTCTATAAAAACTGATTAGATTTTCCTAGCATGAGAGTCTGAAGGGATGAGATAATGTAGACCGTGATAAGCTGTTTTATGTTGTAACGAACAGCAGAACCAGAGGACACGGCCTGCGATTGAAGAGGGTAAATTCAGAACAAATCTGCGGAAACACTACTTCAGTGAGCGAGTAGTAAAGTATGGAATAGGTTCCCTCGGGACATGTTGGAAGCAGAAAATATAATTTGTTTCAAGAACAGATTAGAGAGTTAACCAAGAACTAACACACTCCAGTTAGATTCCCTGAACCACGATGATGACAGGTTTGATTTTGTCACTCAAGGCGACCACCTTTTCTCTTTTACCTCGACTTTAAGGAGGATAAAAATCTCTCTATTTTCTTCCCTGGTTCCTTCTGAACTCCCTGGAGTAATCATCAGCTGCGGCTAAATAATAGATGGCAACTGGTTCCAAGGGCTGTGCCTACACTTCTCTAATCCACCTTTTTGACAGAGGGAGAACAGGCACAAGCTTTCTCTTCCCTGCGCTGACACGAGGAGTGTCGGGGACTCAACTGACAGGGAAGTCAACCCAGCCCCCTGCCCCACGACCCCCCCAACCTGCTGTCCGGCATTTGATCACTGGCTTTCCAATACACTGCACCAGCCCGCCAATAATGAACACTTCATCAAACCACAGAAATTGCATTTTATGTTTTGACAGCCAAATCAAACCCACAATATATTTTTTATATATAAACAGAAAGTTTGTCCCTAACACTCACACATATAAGACCACTACATTTCAATGTCTAGATATTTAAGTTGCTTTCCATTTTCCTATTATAAACTGCCCAATATCAGATATTTAGACAGTGTAATCAGCACACTACTGTGTGCAAAAAGGTTGCCATGTTTCGTCCGCAAAATACAGTCAATTCACTTTACAGTATATCCAATGAAGCGCTTTGAGACGTCCCGAAGATGTGATTAGGTGCTATATCAAAATGCAAGGATTATTATAATTATTATTACAATACCAGTAGTGTCAAGGTTTTTTTTATAAAAAGGCAAATTCCTAGTTCTTTTTGCAAGATATTGGGGAACACTCCATCTTGATAGTCTTAAAAACAAGTAGTCGAGTTCTTCCAGTATCTGTGGGTGAAGGGGCAGTCTGCTACACAGGCCCGGCGGGGACTAGGATCAATCTCTGACAGCACTAAGATGACTTCAGCCATGCCCGCTGTACAGATGCTCTAATTGGAATGTTATCCAGTTCTCTGCTCTTATATGACGAGTGCCACTTGGGCGAGATTTTGGAGATCAGCCAAGTTAGTGTCTGTGGAACGTGCCAGCACGAGTCAGTGACTCAAGGAAGAAAAGCTTGAAACAACTGAATTTCACGGGACTGGATTTATTCACTTTACTGCGAACTGTGTCTCCAACGCCAATCACCTCCTATACTAACTGTGTCTCCAACGCCAATCACCTCCTATACTAACTGTGTCTCCAACGTCAATCACCTCCTATACTAACTGTGTCTCCAACGCCAATCACCTCCTATACTAACTGTGTCTCCAACGCCAATCACCTCCTATACTAACTGTGTCTCCAACGCCATCCATCATAAAACATCCATCAATCTGGTGGATCCCCTTACTGCAGTGGGGAATAAGCTCACACACACAGCACACTTTAGAATTCATCACTAAATAATAAAACACATCGATTTAGCCATGATGCATATCTACAACTTTCTATCCGCTTCCACTTTTCAGCACGGTAACCAGCAATTTGGGGGTCTGGGGGAGGGGGCCAGGGTGGGGGACGGGGATAGCAGGGTGAACGGGAAATTTTTGAGAGCTTATCTATGTTTATCACTTTCCCAGTTTCTCCTGCAGACACACACATATCACACACAACACTCAACACAGACCTTCCGACGTACCTGCGTAAGCAGCATGAAGGCATTGTCAGCTCGCAGGTTCTTCTTCAAGAACTCCACGCAGTGAGCTTCCAGGGCAGGCACTGCGTACTTCTTAGCAGTGTATAGTGTGGTCATAACAGTCTCTGGTCCAATCTGGACTTCGTCAGAATATAGGAATCTGTAAAGAGGACAGGATAGTGAGCAAGTTCCCAGAACGGACAGCAATCAGTGCTCAGGACTCATCTTGTGCAACTCTCAAAGGACATGATTTTTGATGCTGTAAATTCACAGGATTCAGCTTCCTAATGGCTATTGGTAACTTCATCCAACTTGGTGGAAACTTTAGTCTGTGCATTTAAGTGTTTACTTCAGTGGACAGTTTTGGGGAGCTATACATAGCCTAAAATGGGGAGGGTGGGGACAGATAAAGAGAATTGAAACTCTGATTATGCATCACATTGCTGTTTGGGACTGGCTGTGTTTGCCTGCATAACAAGAGTCACTACATTTCATTTATCAAAAGCGAGCATTATTTGACTGTTTATTTTGACTCCCTCTGACCTTTCAAAGCCCAACTTAAAAGGCATCTTTTCTATCGCATCAGTTAATTGTGAAGCGTTTCGAGATATGCCTCCTGACATAAAAGGGGTTATGACAATTGTTGACTTCCCGAATAGGACGCATTCCTGGGCAACTGTTTCCACCCGGTTGATTACATCCAACTCTCTGAAATCCAATTTCCTTGGAATATTCCTCCTCACCCAAAGCGAACTCTCGTGTGGGCGTCACTGTCACACATTAACAGCCGCGGTCACCAACCCAACCGCAGACAACGGTACACCGCAAAGCCACTCAACAAGTGAAGCGCTTTGCAGCCTGCGGACGTGTTGGGATAGTAGACCAAATATCGGGCAAGCGATATGTCAGCCCCATTTCCACATATTAATACAGAAGCGTGTAAGTCAAGAGAATGTGAGGCAACGGTGCGCCGACGTCGGCCGCAGGGACACAGCACCCTCTCCCCCCCCCACAACACAAAGTACCTCAGCATCAGTGAAAGGTGGGCCACTGTTTTCCCAAAGCATATAATGCATCTGCAAGTCAAATACAATCATCGTACAGCTGTACACATTATAACTGGGGGGGGGGGGGGGGGGCATAAAACCTACCAGGTATATAATACATAAAAAGTCCCCCCACACTTTTTTTTAAAAAAAAAGAGAGAAAAAAAAACATGACGGTGAGAAAAGAGCACAAAATGCAGCGAACATGACACCCGTTCACTGAGAGGAAAAGATACACAACACACACACACACACACACAGATGGTGATGATGGGGATTGGCTTTTGCCTACAAAAAAAACCCACAATGTGCCAGTCAGCCATTTTGAGCTGTGGAGGAGGCAGTGTCTGTCATCTGATGATGAGTTACCGCGTTCAGCTGCTCAGCACAGCAGAGGCCACTGACCTGCGTGAGCCCACCACCCCCCTCCCCACTCCCCCCCCCCCACTGCCCCCCTCCCCACTGCCAACCCCCTCCCCACTCCCCCACTCCCCTCCCTACTCCCCTCCCTCCCCACTCCCCCCTCCCCACTCCCTCCTCCCACTGCCAACCCCCTCCCCACTCCCTCCCTCCCCACTGCCCCCTCCCTCCTCCCACTCCCCACTCCCCCCACTCCCCCCTCCCCTCCCCCTCCCCACTCCCCCTCCCCCCTCCCCCTCCCCACTCCCCCTCCCCACTCCTCCCCCCTCCCCACTCCCCTCCCTCCCCACTGCCCCCTCCCCCTCCTCCCTCCCACTCCCCCTCCCACTCCCCCTCCCCACTCCCTCCCTCCCCACTCCCCCCCTCCCCACCTCCCCCCTCCCTCCCCTCCCCACTCCCCCCTCCCCCCCTCCACCTCCCTTTCCCACTCCCTCCCTCCCCACTCCCCTCCTTCCCGACCCCCCCCCCCCCATGGGTACCTTGATGGGCAAACTGGTCTCACACAATCTCCATTCATTCCCGCAACAGCAGCAACTGCGGGGGCTGTGGGGCTGTGCGGGGGCTGTGCGGGGGCTGTGCGGGGGCTGTGCGGGGGCTGTGCGGGGGGGGGCTGTGCGGGGGCTGTGGGGCTGTGCGGGGGCTGTGGGGCTGTGCGGGGGCTGTGGGGCTCTGTGTCTGTCTGTCCGCTCAGATGGAGAAAAGCAAATCCTCCCACAAAAAAAAGGGCGTCGTATTCCCTTTTAACCCTTTTACTGACGACCTTCGGGACCAGATTTTTAAAACCCGCGTCGACGCGGCGGCGGCGCCGTCTCTCACACACCCGCAAAAAGCCACAGCGGCGCACGGATCGGGCACCAGCGGTACTGACCCGCAATGTTAAACAGTATAACGCTGTGTGTGTGAGTGTGTGATGTAATGGTGGGCACATGTGTATTCAAATATACAATTATATATATGTGTGTGTGTGTATATATATATATGTGTGTGTGTTTGTGTATATATATATATGTGTGTGTGTATATATATATATGTGTGTGTGTGTTTGTGTATATATATATATGTGTGTGTGTGTGTGTATATATATGTGTGTGTGTGTGTTTGTGTATATATATATATGTGTGTGTGTGTATATATATATGTGTGTGTGTGTGTGTATATATATATGTGTGTGTGTGTGTTTGTGTATATATATATATGTGTGTGTGTGTGTTTGTGTATATATATATATGTGTGTGTGTGTGTATATATATATGTGTGTGTGTGTATATATATGTGTGTGTGTGTGTGTAGAGAGAGAGAAATATATCATAAAAACCCTAAGGCAGATTCCGTAATATACAATTATGTGTGTGTGTGTGTGTGCGCATAATTATACTAAATCCAATCACACACACACACACGTATGTATGTGTATATATATATAGAGAGAGAGACTGAGAAATGTATAATAAGACCCTAAGCAGATCCTCACACTCCTGACCTGCACTGAGGGTGTAATTAAGCTTCACAGTTGCAGTGATTTCCTGCAGCTGAAGGGCCGGGGCTGGTTTATTGAGATAAATTATAACATTATAAATACATGTGTGTGTGTCTGTGTATATATATATATATATACACACTGTGTGTTATATATAAAAATAAACTAAAGGCCTTATCCCAGCGCCCCTGACAGGAGGAAGATGCCGGTGAATCCCCGGTGTCTCCTCGCGGTGGAGGCCGAGGAGGAGGTGGGGAGGGGAGGGGAGAGGCCGAGGAGGAGGAAGAGAAGGAGGGAGGGAAGGAGGAGGCGATGAGGGGGTGAGGGGGTGGGGGGCTGGTGCCTGGGGAGAGCCTCGGGGCTCCGAGTAGAATGAGATCCCAGGGAGAGTGAAGCTGAGGTGGGGAGAGAGACACAGAGAGAGACACAACCACAGACACACAGAGAGACAGTGACAGAGAGAGAGACACATACACACAGACAGTGACAGAGAGAGAGAGACACACACACACAGAGACAGTGACAGAGACACACACACACAGAGACAGAGACACACAGACAGAGAGAGACACACACAGAGACAGGACAGAGAGAGACATACACACAGAGCGAGACAGTGACAGACAGTGACGGAGACAAAACAGAGACCGAGAGATAGAGACGGAGAGAAACAGACAGAGAGACACACAGACAGTGACAGAGAGAGAGACAGTGACAGACACAGAGACAGAGAGAGAGAGAGACAGTGACAGAGACACACACAGAGGGAGACAGACAGAGACCGAGAGATAGAGACAGAGAGACAGACAGTGACAGACAGACACAGAGAGAGAGACACAGAGAGAGACACAGACAGAGACAGAGAGAGAGAGAGAGAGAGACAGTGACAGACAGACACAGAGATAGAGAGAGAGACAGTGACAGACAGACACACACACACACACAGAGACAGAGAGAGAGACACACAGACAGTGACAAGAAAGAGAGAGAGACAGTGACAGACATACACACACAGACACAAACACAGAGACAGAGAGAGAGACACACAGACAGTGACAGAGAGAGAGAGACAGTGACAGACAGACAGACACACAGAGAGAGAGAGACACACACACACAGACACAGAGGGAGACGGACAGAGACACACACACACACAGAGACACAGAGGGAGACGGACAGAGACACACACACACACAGAGACACAGAGGGAGACGGACAGAGACACACACAGTGACAGAGAGAGACAGTGACAGACAGACAGACACACAGAGAGAGAGACACACAGACACACACAGACACAGAGGGAGACGGACAGAGACACACACAGACACAGAGGGAGACGGACAGAGACACACACAGTGACAGAGAGAGACAGTGACAGACAGACAGACACACAGAGAGAGAGACACACACACACAGAGACACAGAGGGAGACGGACAGAGACACACACAGACACACACAGACACAGAGGGAGACGGACAGAGACACACACACACACACACACACAGAGCCCCAGTCCGAGCCCCCGGGGCCGGGGCGGGTCGGGTCGGGTCGGGTGGTGGCGGCGGGTCGGGGGGCACTCACTTGAGCAGCGCCAGGAAGGCCGCGGGCTCCACGTCGGGCAGCTCGATCTCGCTGGAGGTGGTGGCCATGCCGCCGTTGAACATGGCGTCGAAGACGGCGCTGCCCACCGCCAGCACGAAGCGGTGCGCGGGGATGCGTTGGCTGCCCACGCCCTTCCCCACCAGGAAATGCACGTCGCTCAGGATCTCGTTGTTGAAGAGGAAGGCGAAGCGCTCCTTGACGGTGGTCTTGGTGGCCTGCCAGTTATACATGGGCTCCCGGTAAATCACCACAGCCGACACGGCCCCGGGCCCGGCCCCGGGCCTGGACACCGGCCCCGGCCCCGCCGCCCCCCCGCCCCCGCCGCCCGCCACGGCAGCCCCCGCCCCGCTGGCCAGGGTCGGGCTGCCCCCCGCTCCGGTTCCGGCTCCCGCCGAGGCCGCCGCCCCCCCCGAGCCGCCCGGCGGGAGGTTGACTCGGCTGCAGGCGCTCAGGTTGCTCCCGCCCGCCGCCATCTTGGAGACGCGACTGTTGACAAGGCGGCGGCGGCGGCGGCGGCCGAGACACACACCCTCACACACACCCTCACACACACAATCACACACACAATCACCCTCACCCTCATACACACCCTCACACACACCCTCACACACACAATCACACACACACTCACCCTCACACACACACTCACCCTCACACACACTCACCCGCTCACACTCACCCTCACACTCACCCTCACACTCACCCTCACACACACACTCCCGCTCACACTCACCCTCACACACACACTCACACACACACACTCACCCTCACACACACCCTCACACTCACCCCCACACACACCCTCACACACACCCTCACACTCACACTCACACTCGCTCACACACACCCTCACACTCACACTCACACTCGCTCACACACACCCTCACACTCACACACACTCACACTCACACACACCCTCATACTCACACACACACACACACACACACACACCCTCACACACACTCACACACACACCCACACACACACTCACCCTCACCCTCACCCTCACACTCACCCCCACACACCCTCACACACACCCTCACACTCACCCTCACACCCTCACACACACCCTCACACACACCCCCACACTCACCCCCACACTCACCCCCACACACACCCCCACACACACCCCCACACACACCCCACACACACCCCCACACACACCCCCACACACACCCTCACACACACCCTCACACACACCCTCACACACACCCACACACACCCTCACACACACCCTCACACACACCCTCACACACTCGCCCTCACCCCCACACTCACCCCCACACACCCCAATACATACCCTCACACACCCTCACACTCACCCTCACCTCGACACACACCCTCACACACACACCCACATTCACCCCCACACTCCCTCACTCACCCCGACACACTTACCCCGACACATACCCTCACACACACCCACACCCTGACACTCACCCTCACACACTCCCTCACACTCGTCCTCGACACTCCCTCACACTCACCCTCAACACACACCCTCACACACTCACCCCGACACACACACTCACCCCGACACACACACTCACCTTCACACACACTCACCCTCACACACCCCGACACACTCCCTGACACACTCCTTCACACTCACCCTCAAACACTCCCTCACACTCACCCACTCCCTCACACTCACCCACTCCCTCACACTCACACACCCCGACACCCTCACCCTCACACACTCCCTCACCCTCACACACACCCCGACACACACCCTCACCCCGCCTGTCACACTCACTGCCTGTCACTCACACACACACTCACTGCCTGTCACTCACACACACACACTGCCTGTCACACTCACACACACTCACTGCCTGTCACTCACACACACACACTGCCTGTCACACTCACACACACTCACTGCCTGTCACTCACACACACACACTGCCTGTCACACTCACACACACACACTGCCTGTCACTCACACACACACACTGCCTGTCACACTCACACACACTCACTGCCTGTCACTCACACACACACACTGCCTGTCACACTCACACACACACTGCCTGTCACTCACACACACACGCTGCTTGTCGCACTCGCAATCCCCTCACCGCACACACTCCCATCGTTAACTAACAAACTCTCACTACACACTCACCGACTCACAAACTACACACACACTCCCTCGCACCACAGCGCACTCTCACACTCCCTGACACTGACACACTCAATCTCTCCCGATAGTCACACAGCGACTCCACAAACAGATCCACCGACTGTCCGACCCCATAGTCTTTCCCTCAAACACACTTAAAGTGTCCTCTCCCGCACCAGACTCCGTGACCCTATCCCCCCCATCCTTGACCACTGGCTTCCCACCACACAGAGGATACGGTACACGATCCTGGTCCTCACCTTCAAAGCCCTCCATGGTCCTGCTCCCCCCCCGACCTCCTAACTCCGTACCATCCTGCTCGCTCCCTCCGCTCAGCGGCTTCCGGTCTGCTTCATGTCCCCCGCCTCGCTCGCCCTACTATATGCGGGCGGGCCTTCCGCCACTTTGCCCCCACCCTCTGGAACTCCATCCCGCATTCCCTCCATCTCGCCCCCTCCCTTGCCACCTTCAAGACCCACCTCAAGACGCTCCTCTTCGACCGTGCTTTCCATCTTCCTGCTTCCCTCCCACCCCCCCCCACTTAGACCCTGACCCTGAGCTCGGGTCCGTAACTCTTTCTGTCCAGTGCCTTGGGACATCTTCCTGACATGGAAGGAGCTATACACATGTAATTTTGTTGTTGTTGAAGAGCTCAAAAATTTGTTATATAAATACAAGGGCGTTATATAAACACAAGTTGCTGCTGTTGTTGGACTCAATCTCACTCACACAATGTCCCTTTAGGTATAAACTCCCTCCCTCGCTCCCACTCGCACACTCACTCCCCCTCGCGGACTGAGCCCGAGAACAAGTGGCTGTTCAGCGAGGACCATGACGGTTCAGGTGCAGTAACGTCAGCCCGGCTCAGTTCCACACACTCACCTCCGAGGCAGAGCAAGCGAGTTCAAGCTTCATTCACGTCAGGGCTTAAGAGCCTCGTGATCTTGGCTGACTTTCCAACTCAGTGGTTACAGGCATAGTCTGGGAACCCCATCAGAGACACAGAGACTCACTCACCTCCCTCCCTCACTCACTCACTCACAGAGAGTAATCCACAACCTTCTGACTCGAGAGAGGAGAGTACAGGCCAGCAGAGACCTGTGTACAGCAGCCACCAGGTGGGGCACGGTCTTGTCATTGTAACTTTTATTCATAAAAACAGTTAAATGGGACCAGAACAGAAGCTGATGGCTCATTGGGGATTCATTCACATCATCACTCAGTATCTCTGCGCACCCACCGCCCCCTGTGAGCATGGTTTCTCTCTCTCTCGCTCTCTCAGGTACGGTGTTAGATATGACATGGAGCCACATGTTAAACAAAATCTATTCATTTCCCCTGAGAGAGTTGCAAACCAATAAGTGTGTGTGGCAGCTTTAATGCACTCTTTGCAGCCAGTACAGCACACAACAAGGCATCACAAACAGCCATGAAGTGAATGACCAGTTCTGTCTGGTGGGGCGGGGGCAAAGGTAAGTATTGTCAGCCAGATCAACGAGAGAAAGAGAAACTCCCTTGTCCTGTCCATTATTGCAATGGGATCCTTAACGTCCACCTGAACGGGGCTCAGGTGGGACCTTGGTTTAGCTTCTGATCCAAAGGATAGCGACTCCGACAATGTGCCACCCACACAGCATTGGGGCATCAGCCTTAGACCAAGAGCTCAAAGTCCCTGACGGGCTTGAACCCACAACCTTCTGATCTAAAGCTGAGAGTCAGGCTAACAGACAAAACCGATGCATTTTTAATGTGAGACGGGGGCAGGAAGACAAAAAGCTGATGTGGGTGTGATTGAGATAAGGCTGTGCAGCAGCACGTGGTGCACTTGGAGATGTTGGCTTCTCAAACCATTGGCTCATTGTTGTCAGGCCTGTGACTCTCTCAGCTGTAGATTCTGGGGCCTCTCTTCATTGGTGATACAGCGGTTACTAAGGGAACATTTGTCTGTGTCCCGTCAGCCGGAAGGGAAATAGCTGCTGGGCTTCAAACAGTCACTTACTTGTACACTTAACACACAGTTGTGGAGAACTTCCACCTGGGTCGAGATTAACCGTAACCCAGCCAAGAATTGGCAAATTCATAAAGGCAGCTTTGATGAAGCTGGGTTTTCAGTAAATAATAATAAACAAATAAATATATAGATCTTTGCATTTGATTACCTTTCGGGTTTCCTCTTCCGAGCACGTTCCTCTGACATGGTCAGCCAGCGAGGTGACCAGACTGTTGGGAAACCCTTTTGTGTGTGCTGTGTAAGATTATGTCACAGACTGACCAGTGGTGACAACTCTGACCCAACCAGCAGCTCCTGCTTTGCTTTGTGACTGGTCAAGTGGCTACAAGCTGCCATGAAATGAATGAGCAATTTTATTTGGGGGTGGATTGTTGGCCAGGATAATCCAACCAAGGAGAGAGAAACTCCCTTTTTTCCAATAGGATCTTTAGTGTCCACCTGAAGGCCTGTTTTCATGGTGGAACATTCTATGTGGGGCAACAAGGTTTAGGACTGAAAACTGGAGCTCTGATAGTGCCGTTAGGATTGGAATTACATCACCAAGCCCTTCACGGATTCTCGTTTCAAAATGAGTCTCCTTGACCTTATACTTTGCAGTAATCTGGTCCAGAGAAACAAGAAGTGAAACGTCTCACCCAGAAACATCTCCGCAGGAGAAATGAAGACCTTTTTAATAGTTGGTTTCAAAATATATTTCAGCTTCTGTGTATTTACATAGGCAGCAGGAAGACATTGGTCCAAAAGAGAAAGGAAACAGTTGCACACTGATAGTGCCGTTAGGATTGGAATTACATCACCAAGCCCTTCACGGATTCACGGATTCTCGTTTCAAAATTAGTCTCCTTGACCTTATACTTTGCAGTAATCTGGTCCAGAGAAACAAGAAGTGAAACGTCTCACCCAGAAACATCTCCGCAGGAGAAATGAAGACCTTTTTAATAGTTGGTTTCAAAATATATTTCAGCTTCTGTGTATTTATATAGGCAGCAGGAAGACATTGGTCCAAAAGAGAAAGGAAACAGTTGCACACTTCAATTGACAAGTTTATTTACTGTGTACAAAAATCAGTCAATCGTGCAAAGTTACACACACACACACACACACTCGCGCACAATAATCTTTCTATAACATTTCATAGTCTTTACTGCAATTTGGTAGCACGTGTACTAATAATATAACTGACCACCAGATTTTTTTATAAAATACAATATCCATAAAATTACTGTTTATTTTTATATTAAAAAAAAGTGAAAAGAACACAGTAGGTTCCAGCCATCCCAACTGCTAACTGGATACCAAATACACAGACAGACCACAGACTGGGAGATTCAGGAACAGGGTTATGTAGGCACATTTACTATGAATTCCTGAAGAAACTTGGTCTAATTGTGCGATACTCAAATAATTTAACTGGAATTGCCGTAACGCTGTAAAAATCAAATATACAAAGACCCCCCTTGAGGTTCGAACCTCCAACTGCCCCCCCCCCTCAGCCCAATGACACAAATGTGGGGGGAAAAAAATTCCCCCAACTCTGGGCTTAATTTGGGAGCTAACTCTAATAATTTAAAAAATATTTGAAGTTCTTAACAAATGATACCATCAGTAACCCAGCCCCAGACCTTACATCAGCTGTGTTAACATTCCCTCTGCGACTGGTCTGTGTATGAGATTTGTTCATTATTATGCTGCAATGAAATGAAAGAGCCGCCCGCAGCCATGGATAACGGTAATGGGTTAAAAACTGGAAATGGTATCATCCTGACATGATATTTTTTTAAATACATCGAACGTAAAGCAGATCGTCGCTCTCTCTCTCACCTCACCCGCAACGCCTAGAAAATAGGGTAAAACTGCGAGCGGAGACTGTGTCTTTGCAATCGCACACCGCAAATCAGCGTCAATCAGCCGGGAGTGGGGGGAGAGAAGAGTGAGGGACAAGCCTCCCCCATAGTTATGCCTGTTCCCCCCACCCCCACCACACACAGCCCCCATAGATTAATGACCATCATTGTCCTGCACATCAATTTAATGCAACACACACACACACTGCCCTTCCTCGCTCATCAAAATAAATAGAAGGAATGACTGTCCTGCTCAATCGCTCAACTCCAAAGCTTTACATCAGCCTAGTGCAAAATGTACGATTACCCGATTTACACATCTTAAAGCAACACACAGTGAGGTACATAGACAGCCAAGCCCACTCCACAGCGACTGGACAGTTAGAGACAATTACAAAACTCCCCACTGAATTCGGGCAGCGGGGGTGGGTTCTGAGACGTGTTACACCAACACAATAAGAAATATATTTTAGTAAAATAGGAGTTAGTGTAAGTTTAATCACTACATTAAAAACATGCGTTTCCTCCTCTCTTTTCCCCCTATCACCACCACCCCACCCCACCCCAACACTCACACAGGCAGGCACACAGGCGCGCGCACACAAACATGCAGACAAAATGCGCGCACTCACAGACACGCACTCTTCCAAAATCCAATGCGCGTCCAAGCTCCGAAAACCCGTCCGAAATGACTCCCAATAAGTTAAGTTTAAAAAATCCAGAAAAAAAAATCAATAACAAATGGGAATCGGGGTCCGACGAGACAGGTAACCACGGACAAACTGCTCGGTTTGTCGATCTCCCCCGTCAACATCCACAGTCACCGTGTGCAAAACACCCCAAACTGAGCAACCGTAAGCCCCCCCACAACCCACACCTCCCACCCGCTCAGCCACAAACACCACCAGCCCAACCCAACCCTCCACAAGGACAGGCAGGGGCTGGAGCACAGCTCAGGGTGTGACAGTCTCTGCTCCAGGATGTGTTTTGTTTGAAGTCTTAGTGGAACATGCAGCCGCCTGGGCTGGAAGCTGATCGGAGGCTGATGGGGGACGGAATTCTGAGGCTGGGAGAGGAGCGGAGGCCGGAGGGGGGAGAGGCCAGAGAGAGGGACGTGCCCCCAAGGCCAGCCTTGCCCGCTGTGATCATGCCGGGAGTGAAGTCCGGGTGTCTGCGGGCGTGCTTCATCAGGTGGTCGCTCCGCATGAACCTCTTGTCGCACATGGGGCACCGAAACCTTTTCTCCCCAGTGTGTGTCCGGTAGTGACGAGCCAATTCGTCCGAGCGGGCAAACTTCTTCAGGCAGAGGGCCCAAGTGCACGGGAACGGCCGCTCACCTGAGGGACAGACAATCAATCAATCAGGAAATCAATAAAACAATCAATCAATCAATAAGAACTGCTGGGACGAGCACATTCACGGCGAACAAATGGCCATGTATTAGCCCACGTGTCTGTCCCTCTCTCTGAGCCACTCCACTAGTAATAGTAATAATACTTGCATTAGATACAGCACCTTATCACGTGGTCGAGACGCCCCAAAGGGCTTCGCAGAATATACCGTAAAGTGAAGCGACTGTGTGTTTTATGGGAGAAATCGGTCACCAACTGTGTGCGCAGCGCCATCCCACAAACAGCCATCAAGCGAGCGACCAATTTTATTTGGGGGATTGTCAGCCAGGAGAGAGGGAGAGAAACTCCCTTCTCTTTTCCGACAGTGTTGACTGGTGATGCAGTGCATTCCCCTGGCCGGCTCGGTCTGCCTGTATCACACACAGCCCCCACCCCCCCAGACAACGTGCAGCAGTCAATCTCGTCACCCACTGATCATGATTCGCAGTAATGCGAGAGAGCGCTCGTCTCTGCCTCACACTCGCTCACGTAATAATAGAAAATATAATAATAAAATACATTTTATAAAAATATAACGTCCTCAGTCACAAGCAAACTAGTTCATGCGGGAAGTTATTTTATTTTACCAAAAAAAAACACAATGAGAGAGTTCAGAGGAATGGTTTCCATGTAGAATAAATCCCATCCCCCCACTCACCCGAGCACCCACACACACACTCCACCCCACCCCACCCTTCCACAGACAAACACACACATCCTCACACCCACCCACACTCAATTTCCACCCTTCCCCTCCCCTCACACATGTGCTCTAGGTTTATTGCTGACAAAGTGCCCGAGTGTGACTCTGGTCTGTTGTGTAGATGGTTATACGGTCGCACGACATGGTCACACTGCTCTCAAACCAGACACGTTACATTTACTGAAAATCTACTTCATACAACACCCAGCAGCACCGAACCCCGCCCCACCCCAAACCCCCAGCAGACAGGGTGGGGGGTTTCAGAGCAGCCGTTTGTGGGTCTGTGTGTCTGTTGCTCTCACTCAGTCACTAACTTAAAAGAAAAGAAAATTCAGTGCCTCCCACGTTCTCAGCTTTTATCCCTTTCGGGATCACTGAAGATCAGAAACACACCCAGTGCTGAAGGGAACGGCTGAATTCTGTCCACAAACCACTCGCAATAATAATAATCCTGGCATTTCACATCACGTCTTATCACGTCTCAAAGCAATTCACAGAATGCACTGTAAAAAGGTATTTACTGTGTATTTTGTGGGTGCATACAAATACACATGCCCCAATACACAAACACACGCCCCAACACACACATAAACATCCCAACACACGCACACGCCCACACACACATCCCAACACACATACGCACACGCCCCAACACACATAAATACGCCTCCCCCAACATATATATACACACGTACACACCCCAACACACACCCCAACACACATACATACACACACATCCAGCACACCACGCCCAAACCAGGAAGCTGCAAGGACAAAGCATGAAACTGACAAGAGACTGATCCAGCCCCATGGTTTTAGAAGAAGAAGGGAGGGAGAGAGAGATGGGGAGAGAGCTGGGGGGGGGGGGGGCAAGAGCTGGGGGGGAGAGAGAGCTGGGGGGCGGACGAGACCTGGGGGGGGGTGGGGGGCGAGAGCTGGGGGGGGAGAGAGCTGGGGGGGGAGGAGAGATAGCTGGGGGGGTGGGGGCGAGAGCTGGGGGGGAGAGAGAGCTGGGGGGGGGGGAGAGATAGCTGGGGGGGTGGGGGGCGAGAGCTGGGGGGGGAGAGAGGTTTCTAACTGGAATAGTTAAAACTTAAATTTATAGCTCAGTTCATTTGGTAAAAGTTGCTGTGAAAAGGTTGGGTTTGACTAGAATAGGATGGGGTGGTGGGGGGGGGTATGTGTGTAGTGGGGGGGTATGTGTGTGGTGGGCGGGATATGTGTGTGGTGGGGGTGGGGTATGTGTGTGGTGGGGGTGGGGTATGTGTGTGGTGGGGGGGTTATGTGTGTGGTGGCGGGGGGGGTATGTGTGTGGTGGGGGGGGTATGTGTGTGGTGGGGGTGGGTATGTGTGTGGTGGGGGGGGTTATGTGTGTGGTGGCGGGGGGGGTATGTGTGTGGTGGGGGGGGGTATGTGTGTGGTGGGGGTGGGTATGTGTGTGGTGGGGGGGTTATGTGTGTGGTGGCGGGGGGTGGGGTATGTGTGTGGTGGCGGGGGGGGGTATGTGTGTGGTGGGGGGGGGTATGTGTGTGGTGGGGGGGTATGTGTGTGGTGGCGGGGTGGGGTATGTGTGTGGTGGTGGCGGGGGGGGTATGTGTGTGGTGGCGGGGGGGGTGTATGTGTGAGGTGGCGGGGGGGGGTATGTGTGTGGTGGCGGGGGGGGGGGTATGTGTGTGGTGGCGGGGGGGGGTATGTGTGTGGTTGAGGGGGGGGTTCTCAGACAGTGAGGGCTCCACAGGGGGCGTTGACTCTGACACTCAATCAGACCCAGAAATCTAACCAAAGGTTTGGAACAGCCCACGAGGTTCTGGTTACATTGGGAGCCAAAGAGACTCACATCCCCACCTCCCTCTTACCCCCCCTCTCCCCTATATATATTCTGGGAGGACAGTGCCTGGGTATGTTGGGAGGGGGGGTCAGTGCCTGGATATGTAGGGGGGGGGGGGTCAGTGCCTGCGTATGTAGGGGGGTCTGTGCCTGGGTAAGTTGGGAGGGGGGTCAGTGCCTGGGCATGTAGGGAGGGGGGGGGGGTCAGTGCCTGCGTATGTAGGGGGGGGGGTCTGTGCCTGGGTATGTAGGGGGAGGAAGGGTCAGTGCCTGGGTATGTTGGGGGGGGGGTCAGTGCCTGGGTATGTTGGGGGGGGGGTCAGTGCCTGGGTATGTTGGGGGGGGGGGTCAGTGCCTGGGTATGTTGGGGGGGGGTCAGTGCCTGGGTATGTTGGGGGAGGGGTCTGTGCCTGGGTATGTAGGGGGAGGAAGGGTCAGTGCCTGGGTATGTTGGGGGGGGGGTCAGTGCCTGGGTATGTTGGGGGGTGGTGGGGGGCAACTTGAAGGAAGGACAAGATCCAATCCATACAGTAAATGGTCCCCACCCCCCTTCAGTGGCTACTACTGTTGTCTGGCAAACCGAGACATATTACCCCCCCCCCCCCCCGCCCCCACCTGGAGACAATTAACCCCTGAAACCAGTGTGTCGATATAAAACAGCCTTTAAACCCGGTCCCCCTCCCCCAGAGAAACAAGTTCCTGTTTAAAGTGTATAACATGGGATGGGAACCCCACCCATCATCATCTGGTACAGAAGATCCACACAAAAAGATCTCAGTTCCCCCCCACCCCACACACACCTCCTCACTGCCCCCCCACCCCCCTCCTCACTGCCCCCACCCCCCTCCTCACTGCCCCCACCCCCCTCCTCACTGCCCCCCCCCCCTCCTCACTGCCCCCCCCTCCCCCCTCCTCACTGCCCCCCCCCCCCTCCTCACTGCCCCCCCCACCCCCCTCCTCACTGCCCCCCCACCCCCCTCCTCACTGCCCCCCCCACCCCCCTCCTCACTGCCCCCCCACCCCCCTCTTCACTGCTCCCCACACCCCCCTCCTCACTGCCCCCACACACCTCCTCACTGCCCCCCCCCCCCCCTCCTCACTGCCCCCCCCATCCCCCTCCTCACTGCCCCCCCACACACCTCCTCACTGCTCCCCCCCCTTCCTCACTGCTCCCCCCCTCCTCCTCACTGCTCCCCCCCTCCTCACTGCCCCCCCACACACACAATTTGTTCCTTAACATCTACGATGTGGGGGCGGGTGTCCCGGCCACAGGCAATGGGGAGGGGATTTCGTGAACAGAAAGGTTCCCGGTCAGTGTTTCGGGGGGGGGGAGCGGGGGGGGATAGGGAGGGGGGGGATAGGGAGGGGGGGCGGATAGGGGGGGGATGGGTAGGGGGGCGGGGGGGATGGGGGGGGGGATGGGGGCGGGCGGGGGGGGATAGGTGGGGCGGGGGATGGGGGGGGCGGGGGGGATAGGAGAGGGAAATCAAGAGAGAAAAGGCAGGAAACGTGGCCATTGGGGCGCCTTATCTCAGCAGAGGTTGGGTTGGGCAGTGCCCGGGTATGTTGGGGGGGGGCGTGGTGGGGGGGGGGGGGCAGTGCCCGGGCGTGGTGGGGGGGGGGGCAGTGCCCGGGTATGTTGGGGGGGGCAGTGCCCGGGTATGTTGGGAGGGGGCAGTTGGGGGTGGGGGGGGGGCAGTCCCGGGTATGTTGGGGGGGTGGGCGGGGCAGTCCCGGGTATGTTGGGGGGGGCAGTTGGGGGTGGGGGGTGGGGCAGTGCCCGGGTATGTTGGGGGGGTGGGCGGGGCAGTCCCGGGTATGTTGGGGGGGGGGCAGTCCCGGGTATGTTGGGGGGGGGGGGGGGGGGGCAGTCCCGGGTATGTTGGGGGGGGGGGGCGGGGCAGTCCCGGGTATGTTGGGGTGGGGGGTGGGGCAGTGCCCGGGTATGTTGGGGGTGGGGCAGTCCCGGGTATGTTGGGGGGGGTGGGGGGGTGTTGGGGGTCTCTTACCTGTGTGAGTCCTCACATGAGCCTTGAGATGGGAGGATTTGCCGTAAACCTTGTCACAGCCGCTGTAGTAACAGCGATGGCGTTTGGGCGGCCACCTGTCATCCCGTCGGTGTCTCCTCCTGTCGGGGCTGCCGCCGGAGTTGGGTTTGGAGTTGGGTTTGGAGTTGGTGTTGGGGCTGGTGTTGGGGTCGGGGTCTGGCCCCGGGCTGGTGCTGGGGCTGGTGCTGGTGCTGGTGTTGGGGCTGGTGTTGGGGCTGGTGTTGGGGCTGGTGTTGGGGTCTGGCCCCGGGCTGGTGCTGGTGTTGGTGTTGGGGTTGGGGCTGGTGTTGGGGTTGGGGTCTGGCCCCGGGCTGGTGCTGGGGCTGGTGTTGGGGTCTGGTCCCGGGCTGGGGCTGGTGTTGGGGTTGGGGTCGGGGTCTGGCCCCGGGCTGGTGCTGGTGTTGGGGCTGGTGTTGGGGTCGGGGTCTGGCCCCGGGCTGGGCGCCCCCTCACACACTGTGCTGTAACCACTCTCCCCCGAGGACGAGTTGCTGCTCTCGCAGTGCGAGGAGACGGGGGTCCAGGGCTGGAGGTCGCTGTTGGCGGGGGCCAGAAGGCGGCCCGCGGGCCGCAGCGCCTCGCTCACCTCTTTGTCTTCGCTGTAACTTGTCCGCGAACTTTCCTCTCCCCCCGCGGCGGAGGGGCCGTGAACCACCGCCCCACTGGAGATGGACATCAGGCACTCGGCAGCGAAATAATCCCGACAGCCAAAGGCGGACATCGTCATGAGGTTCTTTCTATTGGGGAGGGGGAGGGGGAGGGGGAGTCCTGGCCTCGCTCTCTCTCTCTCTCTCTCTCCCCGAGTCTCTGTGTGTGTGTGTCTGTAAGTGGGTGTGTGAGAGGGTGTGTCTCTCCCTGTGTGTGTGTGTCTCTCTCTCCCTGTGTGTGTGTGAGTCTCTCTTGAGTGTGTGCATGAGTTGGTGTGTCTCTCCCTGTGTGTGTGTGTGGGGGGGGGGGGGGGGGGAGGGGCGGTGAGAGAGAGTGGGTGGGCTCTCGCTCTCTCTGTGAGTGGGTGTGTCTCGAGTGTCTTCTCCTGTGTGAGCTGTGTGTGAGCTCCTGTGTGTGTGTGTGAGCTCCTGTGAGTGTGTGTGAGCTCCTGTGTGTGTGAGTGTGAGCTGTGTGTGAGCTCAGCCCGGGCTGCTTTGTGTGTGTGAGCTCCTGTGTGTGTGTGTGTGAGCTCCTGTGTGAGTGTGTGTGAGCTCCTGTGTGTGAGCTGTGAGTGTGAGCTCCTGTGTGTGTGTGAGTGTGAGCTGTGTGTGAGCTCCTGTGTGTGTGTGTGAGTGTGAGCTCCTGTGTGTGAGCTCCTGTGTGTGTGTGAGTGTGAGCTGTGTGTGAGCTCCTGTGTGTGTGAGTGTGAGCTGTGAGTGTGAGCTCAGTCCGGGCTGCTTTGTGTGTGTGAGCTCCTGTGTGTGTGAGTGTGAGCTGTGTGTGAGCTCCTGTGTGAGTGTGAGCTGTGAGTGTGAGCTCAGTCCGGGCTGCTTTGTGTGTGAGAGTGGCTGAGAGAGGAGGAAGGGAGTGAGTCAGACTGACGCCTACACGCGAAGAGAGGCAGAGAGAGAGCGAGTCTGTGACGAGCATCACAGGCGGGCGGGCGGGTCCCGGGCTCCCGACCACTCCGTGACGTGTCCTTAACACTGGGAACCCCTGTCTCTGGGGGGAGAGATGGAGGGGGGGGTGGGGAGAGATGGAGGGGGGGGGGGAGAGATGGAGGGGGGGGGAGATGGAGGGGGGAGGAGAGAGAGAGATGGAGGGGGGGGAAGAGAGAGAGATGGGGGGGGGGGAGAGATGGGGCGGGGGAGAGAGATGGAAGGGGGGGGGAGAGAGATGGAGGGGGGAGGAGAGAGAGAGATGGAGGGGGGGGAGAGATGGGGGGGGGGAGAGAGATGGAAGGGGGGGGGAGAGAGATGGAGGGGGGAGGAGAGAGAGAGATGGAGGGGGGGAAGAGAGAGAGATGGAGGGGGGGGGGAGAGATGGGGCGGGGGAGAGATGGAAGGGGGGGGGAGAGAGATGGAGGGGGGGGGAGAGAGAGAGATGGAGGGGGGGGAGAAAGAGAGATGGAGGGGGAGGAAGAGAGAGAGATGGAGGGGGGGGAAGAGAGAGAGATGGAGGGGGAGGAGAGAGATGGAGGGGGTGGAGACAGAGAGAGAGAGATGGAGGGGGGGGAGAGAGAGAGAGAGATGGAGGGGGAGAGAGGGAGAGAGAGATGGAGGGGAGCGAGGAGGAGAGAGAGAGAGATGGAGGGGGGGAGAGAGAGATGGAGGGGGAGGGAGGAGAGAAGATGGGGGGGGGGAGAGAGAGATGGAGGGGGAGGGAGGAGAGAGACAGTGATGGAGGGGGGAGGAGAGAGATGGAGGGGGAGGGAGGAGAGAGACAGTGATGGAGGGGGGAGGAGAGAGAGTTGGAAGGGGGAGGGAGAGAGAGATAGAGGGCGGGAGGAGAGAGAGGGGGAGGAGAGAGAGATGGAGAGGGTTGGGGGGAGGAGAGAGAGATGGAGGGGGGGGGGAGGAGGAGAGGAGGGGGGGGGGGAGGAGAGAGATGGAGGGGGTGGGGGAGGAGAGAGATGGAGGGGGGGGGGGAGGAGAGAGATGGAGGGGGGGTGGGGAGGAGAGAGATGGAGGGGGGTGGGGGAGGAGAGAGATGGAGGGGGGTGGGGGAGGAGAGAGATGGAGGGGGGGTGGGGGAGGAGAGAGATGGAGGAAGGGAGGAGGATAGAGGAAATCTAACTACACTGGGAGGGAGAAATCCTTCCACCCACACACACACACACACACACTAATCCTCCACTGCAGTCAGTCTTACTCTCTTAGTTCATCTACAATTTCAACAACACTGACATTTACGCGGCCGGGAGGACATCCCAAGGTGCTGGACAGTCGGGTTTAGACCTGAGCAGGGGTTTGAGATCAGGAGGGTGGAGGGCAGGGAGGGGTGTCTGAAGGTGCAGGCGAAGAGGAAGGTCTTGAGGCGGCCTTGAAGGAGGTGAGGGAGGGAGGGAGGGGAGGTGGAGGGAATGTGGGATGGAGTTCCAAGGGGTGGGGGCAGAGAGGCTGGAGGTCCGACCCATGATGGTGGGACATGAAGCCCACAAAATGCAGTCAAAACTATTTTACAGTCTATCCTGTGAAATTTCCAGGTGTAGGTGATGGTTCAGCTCTCAGTTGGTTTGGATAATCTTAAACACAGCAACAGGTTTCCACTTGTGACAGACACCAGACACTCCGCTCCCCTCCACACCCCCTCCCGGCCAAGACATCAGAGAACAGGACACGAGTCAGGAAGCACTAACATCGGAGATGTAGCTTTAAATCTCCGGGTATTTAATCAGTTTATGAAACAAGCCCCAGAGACATACATCACATCCCCCTCTTCTCCCCCCACTCTCCTCCCCCCCCCCCCCCCCTCTTCCCTCCCCCAAAAAGTCAAACCCTTTCACGGAACTAATCCGTTTATGTAACCAACAAAGAATGACATTTTCGGTATATAAAGAAAGTTCAGCGGCTATTCCCTAAAACTCCGGAATACTCTTCCCCTCTCCTCGCCTGTGGGGGGGCGGTGGGGCCCCACACTGCGTGTCCACGCCATTCCTGGGACATCGCGCTGCTGCTCACTGTCTCTCTGTAGCAACGGCCGCTGTTAATAGCTCGTCGCCCGGCTTAAAACGGACCCTTTTAAGACGATTCCCACTTGTGTCCGTCTGCAGGAGACACGTCCATAACAAGGCGTCACTTGGGGACTGTGTGTGTGTGTGAGAGACTGTGCGCAATTGGCTGTCGCGTTTCGCCCACAAAATACTGTATACAGTCAATCCACTTTACACTTTGTGACGTCTCGAAGACATGATAAGGCGCGATACCAAATACAAGGATTATTATTATTAATATTAATATTGAGTTGAGGTTTTATTTTCTGTTGAAATGTCTCTCTCTCTCCCTCCCTCTCTCTCTCCCTCCCTCTCTCTAGTTTATGACAAGTGATCAGGGTCTCCGACAAAGGTGTCCCCCCTCCCCCCATGGAATCAGATGGGAATCAGGAACTCTCAACTCCTCACGTTCACGCAAATTGTCATCCACCCAATTCGGATCTTAGCTGTTTAGCTTTTTTCGCCGAGCCAGGGGGAAAACCAATTGCATTTTCAGACGAAAAGGAGCCACATCATCTGTTTAAGTGGTTTCTTTTCATTAGTTTCTAACTGAGATGGACCAGGGTGGGGGGCAGGGGTGGGGAAGTGGGGGGAGGAAGTGGGAGTGACGGATCTGACAAGGGCAGATCTGATCTGTCAAGTCACACCCACACTCTTGGGCTCTGCTCGCAATTTCAACATTCAGTGTAGTCAGGAGCCTGGCTCAGTCGCTCGCTCGCTCGCTCGCACTCTCTGGTTCGATCCCCCACCCCCCACATTGGGGGACTTTGAGTTCACAGTCCAGGCTGATGCACCAGTGCAGTCCTGGGGTTAGGGGAGGTGGGGGAGCATTGCATTGTCACAGCACCGTTCTTCAGATGAGACATTAAACCGAGCTCCCGTGTGTATATCTTTGTGTGTGTGTGTGTGTGTGTATATACACATCTGTTTATCTGTACCTGTGTGTGTTTACCTGTATGTGTATACCTATGTGTGTGTATACCTGTGTGTGTATGTACACCTGTGTGTGTGTATATACCTGTGTGTGTGTATATATACCTATGTGTGGACACTTTCCCTGAAGCCTGACTGTCGTGTGTTCACCTGCTCCAAGTCAGACATGAACACACCCAACACTGACTTGACTGAGTGAGTGAGTGAGTGCTGTGTCTCCTCAGTGCTGATAAACATGCTAACCCTGGACCGGCCCAGCTGGTTTGACAGTGAAGACCCACTTGTGTGTGTGTGTGTGTGCGTGTTTGCGTGCGTGCGTGTGCTCTGTCTTAAACTTGATACTTAGACATTTAGCTACAGGCAAAATACCAGCCCCAACAGGAGACCTGACCGCAACCAACACAAACCCCACCTCAGCCACTGAAATCCAACCCCACAGTATAATACAGCTATACATGCAGGTACTTGCACTCGCACGCACAGTCACTACACTTCACTGTAAAATCCTGTGAAGTGCTTTGAGACGCCCCCCCCCCCCCCCATGTGTAAAGATGCGTATGTCAGATGTAAGGATTGTTATTGCAAACACAAACACGTTGGTATTGATTAACGCCAGGATTATTATTATTGTTGTTTTTAGTTTAACTCAAATCGCTATGAGAGGAGAAGTGAAAGGTTGGCGTTTTGGGGTGAACTCTTGGGTGGAGCAGTTTGAGACGCGGTGGGGTGGGGAGCCCATAATTATAACCAGTGATAAGTATCACATCACATACATCAGCATTGCCCCCCTCACCCCCCTCCCACCACCTCACCGTCAGAAAACGAGGAGGAAAAAAGGGGGGGCAGTTGTGGGATTCTTGTACAAACAGCTTTATTTAAACAAATATATATTTTAAAATGCAAATAAGCAAAAAACATTCTATTCTGAAGTTAAATTTCTGTCGAATGCCCCAGTTGGGGCTGGTGGGTGGGAAGGTAGACTGGGTGGTGATCAGCAACAGGAAGCCTGTCTGACTTTTACCGCTCACCAGCATCACCCCAATCCTATCGCCCATACCTCGCCCGGTTTCACTGCCTCCCTATCCCCCAGAGGGTAGAGTTCAATAATAATAATAATCCTTGCATTTGATATAGCGCTTTTCACGTCGGGAGGACGTCCCAAAGCGCTTCACAGAACACACTGTAAAGTGAATTGACTGTATATTT